GAGACAGAGAGAGAGGGAGAAGGAGAGAAAGACAGTAGAGCAGGCTTGTTCAAGAAGATCGCAAGACTGTGTCTAAAGGCCCATTCACAATGCCACTTTTTGTGACGTGACATGCGACACCTGCGATGAGCTGCGACTGCGACACACAATTCACTATCTTTTACGTGTTTGCGACATCCCTACGCAGTGCGCCCAGAGTAGAAACTGTACTCCATTTGTGTATGTCATGCGTCGCTCGTGTTGCAAAGTTGAACTTCGGTCAACTTCTGCGACAGCGGCCTTGCGACTGCTTGCGATAGGCATTCCTTGTCGCAAGTGTCGCATGTCGCAGTGCAGAAAGCGATATTGTGAACGGGCCTTTACATTGCATCAAGGTATCCAGCACAAGAAGTGCCACATACACCATGATGCACACGCAAAGCTATGGATACCTAACAATACTACAGCGCACAGCACAATGACCATGCCATACCTGCTCGGGTTTGTCCAGGTTAATACGGATCAACTTGTAGCGAGGAGACTTCAAATTGGTCATGAATGAGAATTCGCGGCCATCATTCGCAATGTACTATCACACACAAAGGAGAGAAGAAAAAATGCAAAACAGTAAAGTGGAAACAGCAGGAAATTTCTCTATTGGCCCAGCTGGAATGTAACTAGTACGTATCGACCAGCAAACCAGTGCACACATCAAATATGCACTTTCCTGTACAGAGAAGCTGAGAGAACACGATACTTACATCATACTTGGCATCAAAGTTGTCAATCAGCTTTACACAGGGCAGCATATCTGCATGAGAGAGAGAGAGAGGGAGAGAGAGAGAGAGAGAGAGAGAGAGAGAGAGAGAGAGAGAGAGAGAGAGAGAGAGAGAGAGAGAGAGAGAGAGAGAAGTTGAGCAGAAAATACAGGATACGATAGCATACAAACAAAAAGTTCCAAAGACTTCGCAGAGCTGCAGAGCCGATGGAAACAAGTAGCAACTGCGGTTATACTTCTTCAGGACTTAGACTCAGTACTCAGTGGACTAACAGTTAGTTTGAGCTGACTTAGTACTTATATATAGTACCACGGACATTACACACACACACGATACAGCGCCGTTTGTGTCCATACATACCAACCTGGAGGCTTGAGTTCCCTGGACAACGAGGCTGAATTCCCTTGAGTGTGACCGTTTTCCCTGGACACCAATTTTTTTTAGCGAATCCATCATTAGCAGACTGATGTATTTTTCATGACTGCTGCTCAAGCAAAAGGGATGTCATTGCATGGAGCTGTAGCTGCACAAGTAAACTTTCTGTTGACTACCGTTATCTATACCGGCGATCCGTTGCAGTTCCAGATGTTTTTTTTTGTCTAGTATGTACCGTGTGTACTTACAACGGATCTACAAGTTCGAGGAAACACTAAAAAAGCGTCAAAAAAGGAGAACTTCGATTTCAAAAGTTCCATCTCAATCCCTGGACTTTCGCAGGACATCCCTGGACCCCGGGACAAACACCCTATTCCCTGGACGGTTGACATGTATGTGTGTCTGGGGACTGGTCAATACGGCCATACAGACAGAAAAGGCTCACACAGCTGGGAGAAGGAAGCGCTTGCTGCTGTTCGGAGTTTCATCCTAAAAAAGTATCAGATGAAGACAACTTCTCAAGCGTGTATAGAATAACGTTAATACATGTAGTACTGTCTGTATGTGACCAATGCGGGCCCGGACTCACCAGTGCATCCAGTAATGCCATTAGGTAGGTCAGAGAGCTTGCAGTAGTAGAGTCTGTTGACCGGGTCACATGACTCCACGATGCCAAGAATAACGTACTCGCCATCGTCTGTTACTTCCGCCGAGCTGACAAACACACACAGGCACACGCACACACACACACACACACACACACACACACACACACACACACACACACACACACACGTGAACGTGCACACACACGCACACACACACACACACACACACACACACACACACACACACACACAAACACATACGTACACACACGTACACACACGTACACACACACACATGCACACACACACACACACACACATGCACACACACACACACACACACACACACACACACACACACTTGTATTTCTCCAGGACAGCTTCTTTCCAGCTGAACTGGACATCGCACACCTGAGACAGCACTTCCAGAAACAGTAATCTCGCGCCACAACAAATTCAAAGCCAACCACAACCAGCCCACAATCGATACAAAGAAGTCTACACAGGGCCTAGTGTGCAGAAACAATCAGCCAAGTTTTCTTTTGTGGCCAAAGCAGGAGTGCACTGGTTCATTCACGCGATTTGAACCCGTGGGACTAAACATAATAATGGAAAATGCCAGTCCAGGCATTCACGTGCTAGTATCAGTTACGAGTAACCAAACATCCCTGATAAGTTGTGTGAGAGCACGGAGTAGAGAAGGACTGACGGCAGCGGGATATCCACTCTCCGGGAGCCAATTGCGGCAACCCACACAGACGCACATACGCGCGTAGATACATTTGTACAGTCAAAGACTTGAAAGAGACCCTTACCACATCCACTTGGGCTGCTCGGGGCATTTCCAGCACAGGACGTCATCAGACTGGGCTGTGCCCACAATGTGATAATACAACTGAGGTTGCAACAGAACAGAACAGCAGTGCAGGATAAAAACCATTAGTATGCTTGAGAGGGACAGGGTGGGTGCACTGAACGGGCAACGGGCATACAATCATGTGGATGAATGTAAGTCTGATGAAGTTGACTTCACTGGCATACACCGTATACACAAGCAAATGAAAGATGACCATCGTCACGGCAGGGTTAAAGAAACGCTATGTAGTTAGTACACAGCAAGTTATTGACAATGGCAACAACGACAGCAACAACGACGACGACAATGACAGCAGCAGCAGCAACAAGCATGACTGTGAGATAGGACCAGGACCAGGACCAGACCTGGTCTGGCATGCACACAAGAAGGAAGAAAACATCGCCGCCGGACTTACCATCTGATTGAGATTGGCATCGGTCTCCGTGCCATCAGACTTATCACCAACGGGGTAACGCTGGAAAAATCAAGCAATCGGCAGAGAAAGTGTTACATCTGCTACTCAGAATAACTCTTTCCCCTCAACAACAAGATAGACTGGCATCGCCACAGTAGTAATGCACCCTTGTGCAGCAGGCAGATACATGAAGCTTAAAAGCATGCACACCAAACAATGTTTGAAACGACATTTCTCTTATTGGCCACAGGCCATCGTGAGAATAAAAGATTTCAAACATTCAAGCAGGGTGCGAGGCGAAGTGTTCAAATTCATATGGCAGGATTATGTACTCAATGGGTAAGGCAAGGGTAAGGATTATGTACGTGCTGTAAATGACATTGAGAGTCAGATTAGGGCTTGCTCACAGAATACAGTGATATTGCCGAATGCACCCAGGATATTATCAGTGGTGGTACAATGTGGTTCATACTGTTGACAGTACTACACTCCCGGCCAGAGAAATCGGACCATCAGAATAAAGCGCTCAAGTGTATGTTTGAATTCTCAAGAATTTAATCTTTAAACAGGACCATAGCCGGTAAACCATCAACAACATAGCTTTCACAACATACACAATAGAAGAAGCCTTTGTTATCGTGCGTCCATGCGATTGACGAGAACTTGATGTGCTCCAGCACGTCGCTCAGCTCAGCACTCGTGTCAGCATCGCGTACCTGAGCAACAACAGCAACAGCAGCAACAGTCATGAGCAGCAGCAGCAACAGCAGTAGTAGTAGTAGTATGAGAAGCAGAAACAACATCAATGGAAATAGGACACCAGTACACACCAGAGGACAAACACACACACACACACACACACACACACACACACACACACACACACACACACACACACGCGCGTGTGCGCACATGTGCACACGCACACACACACACACACACACACACACACACACACACACACACGTGCACACACACACACACACACACGCGTGCACACACACACACACACGCGCACGCGAAAGCACATGCACAAAACATACATCCACATCCACATCCACACACATGCACATGCACGAGAGCACACGCACACACCACGCTGCCGAAGATGACCGTGGGCACTAGGCATCCTGTGCACATCACACCATACCTTTATCGTCTGCCAATCAGACCCGCTGCTACTGAGGCCATACGCCACCAGCTTGCCATTCTTGGAGAATGCCGTGCTTCCAAGGGCCACTGTGCCATCTTCGGAGAATGTGTTGGGATCTAGGAACACCTTCGGCTCATCTGTCAACTCCTTGTATGAGTACAACACGCTGCAGGGGAAGAGACAAAGAATCCTCAAAACTGGGGAAAGACCGGGACGGGTGCAAGCTTCTAAACGCAAAGCATCATCTAGGGGAATCGTGTGTTGCTCCCTACATGGGAGCTCGCACACATAGTATTGTCTAGAATCAAAATTTCACCAGTTGTAGTCTTCGGCGTGCTAAGTCGAATGGCCTCGCTCCGAGGAAGCGAAGACGCTCTGCTCCCTTCTTGCTATACTCCCAATCAAACTCGCATGTATACTCCCCCGAAACTGGGCGAGTGCACCCCTACTAGGGTGTTCAGTCACGTGATTTTTGACAGTGATTCATCCACACCGCGACTTCACGTATTTTCGTATTGCGTGATGGCACACGTCAGGTCACGCGTGATTGCTCAGCGCATGCACCTTCCTGCGTAAAATGGCAGTGTTCAGTTCAACGCGTTCGCGTGCAGCTGTTCGACAGCTTCTTCACAGTCCAAGTCCTGTTTCCGTAGCCCATTTCGTTTCGGAGTGGTGGTGTCTTTCAGTTTTACGTTGCATGATATTCTCCTGTTTGAAGCAGTTAGCTGTGGTGTACGCCTTGTGAACTGTGGCCATCGTCTTCTACGTCGTCGACTTCATGAAGGTACGTTCACTTGGGTAGCGTAGTGTGTAGCCGATTTGAGCAGTTTTGCAATTTCTTCTTTCGTATCTACCTGTGTACAAAAATTCAAAAATTTGAAATTTGCATTGTTCGTCTGCATAGGTGTATTGCCGTAATGGAGGATTTCCCTGGCGAGTACTGCCGAGAAGCTGGCCTTACGACGCAACTGCTGTTGGACGCTGCTACAAGTGGGTTCGATGGAGGCCGTCGTCGCTCCAAAAGGCCGAGGGGTGACAAAAATACACCCGTGTCCAATGGCTTGGTACTTGAGCTTGCAGTGTTCATGACCAGCAAGAAACTGCCGTGGTCAGCCCTCCATACCTGGCTCTCAACGGTCGAGGAAACGTTGCTGTCCTGTACTGCGAACGCCCTCACTGCCAAGGTGAGACGGTGAGACGGCTTCAGGCAGCCAGAACCAAGCTGCTCAAAGCATCCGATCACAAGTCTCTGTCCACACTCTGCAGTGAGGAATTTGCATACCCTCAAAGCCAAACACGACCAGAGCATTATTCTGGCACTACATCTGTGCATGCGTGTAGTGGTGGTACTACTAGTAGTGAAGATAGAATGGGTGATGTTGACCGAAATACCAGTGGCAGTGGTGGCCGTGTCCTGCCGATTCCAACACTTGTCAGTAACCTGAAGAAGCTGATAGGTGAGAGCACCACACCTGGAGGCAGTGCCACTGAAGCGAGCTCGTCCACTGCCAACCAGTGACCTGCTGTTGAAGGAACCTGCCTACTCCGTCTGTTTATACATTTGTACAGTCAATAACAATTATTTATTCTTCTGTGTGTGTGTGTGTGTGTGTGTGTGTGTGTGTGTGTGTGTGTGTGTGTGTGTGTGTGTGTGTGTGTGTGTGTGTGTGTGTGTTGATTATGACGATGATCTTGGTGCGCCTACACAATGCTCATGTTGTGCGACTCCGCCTTTTAGTCATGCGTGCGGTGAATGTGAATATCACTGGTCTATTTAATATTGCTTTAGTTTTCTTTGCTTCCGCTGAGTGCCCTGTTCCCAGCAAGCCCAGGTCTTCACTTTGACACCCTACTTGTTCCACTGTGCTTTTTGCTGGTGTTGAATTGGACCATGTTGCTTTGCGTTTTCCTGTCAATGTTGATGGCCGGCGCATACTCGCTCTCTCTCTCTCTTGTAGAATTTTTGGTTGCACTGCCATGCATTGGTGAACTGAAGTGCTTTGTAGCCTGCAGCACGTGTTGGTACTGTTGTCCCGTTGCTGTATTACTATTTGTCGATCTGTGGTCTTTAGTACTCCAAGTATGTTGCTTTCTAGTGGACTTCTTGCATTAATCGCTTGGTTGCTATGGTGGTTGCTAAGGCCCATATTTAAAATTTGGCCGTTAAATTTGAATTTTGACGGTAACCCTAGGTTTTGTGGAGGGGGGCAATCAAGCAACTAGAAAATCTAAGCAATCTGAGCTTTTTTTCCCGTTGCCATGCTGGTTGCTATGGACGGCCGAAAACAGTGCATGTGCCATATCCTCAATGTACTTGGTCCGACTTATTAAAATGTGCGCTTCGCTTCAAACCTCAAGCCTATGTCCAAAGGAGCACCTGTACTAAAAAATCGACCAAGAGACGATAGATAGATTACTACTGTGTCGTTTCTTGGCCTGACCTTGTAGTTTTCATCTCTGCTGGTGTCTCAGGGCGCTTCTTCAAGTGCGTCAGCCTGCAAAACGTCGACATTTTTTCATCTCCTCCAAGCTACACTGCGCTTCCTTGATTTTTTCACTCCATAGGCACAATTTAGACGATCGACTTCGCCTCCTCCTCGTGCAGTACGACTGCCAGAATGGTGGCTGTAGGGGTTTTCGCCTGACGCTCCCACGACACTTTCAAATGAGGCGAACAAGTAAACCACCACGCATAAAAAGATCACTTCTCATCAGGGAGTAGTACAATACCATACTGGTACTACTGCCTGCTTCTCATCACCGTGTGCCGCGCGCGTAGAACTACCGAGTCTGATCTGTGTCGACATGACTGTCGACACAGTCAGCTGCATCAGACCATGCGTGCTCTTCCCTGCCTGTTTCACGAATCTACTGGCCCCTGAGACTGGCGATCTTGTGACGCATCGCGGCTCCGAGGAGTCGGCGGGGACTCCGCACCATTCACGTATTCACCCTTTCTGCGCTTCAGTTTTCCAGCCAGGTTGTCGCCTGAAAGTCGACCTCAAGGGCGGTTGTTTATATCGATCAACTTCTCGACAATCTCTTCTGTACTCTTGATTCGTCGGCCGCCACATCGTGAACGAATGCGAGAGAGATCAGCACAACCTGGACGGAGCGATGCAGGTGCTTTCTGCACGAGTTTCTGGATGACGCGTTTGCTGTTACATGTACTTGATTCTTCCAAGGAAACAGCGACTGCACTCGGCGATTTCAATCCGCCAGGAAGCACTCGAGAACGATCACCCAGGAGTTTCTGGTACTCCGTGACAATTCCCCATCGTAGTGGGGTGTTGATTTCAGCACCAGGCCTTCTCTGTGTTGCGCGAGAAGCAACAGGAGTCCTCTGACGACAAAATTTGCACGCAAAATACTCGAGTCGACTAGGATCCTGAGACGCTGCCTCCTTTGGGGTTGGAGCCATTTCTTCTTCAACATCACAAATCGACAACTGAAGGATAGTGTTAGGTAGCTGAAAAGTTTGTTCCGTCCTGAGATTATTTGAATTTGTTTGGCTGACGTTCGAAGCGAAACGCACATTTTAATAAGTCGGACCAAGTAAAGACTATGCACGTATAGTGTGAATAGCACGGAACTTCAAAAGACCATAACTTTGGTATCCCTTGGAATTTTGACCTGAAATTTTCTCTGCAGTCTTGTAATATGTTGGTCTTTCAGATAAAACAGACCTTTGTACTTAAATCTCTCCCAAGTAAAACCACCTAAACTCCCTACCCCTACTACAGTAGATACTGTATAGGCAGAAAATTTCGTCGGTCAATAATTTCGTCCAACTCCAAAGAAAGGGAGTTCGTCCCGTTGTAAATTTCATCCCTGGATCATAAGATTGTATTGAAAAGCTGGACAAATCGACATTAGTCTGGCATTTAATTTAGTCCAAAGCTCCTTGGACGAAAAAGACGAAATTAAATTCCAGACGAATATTTCTGCTTGTAGAGTAGAGATAGACTCCTGTTTGTTTGTTAGGTGCTTACCCTTTAGTTAAGAGAAACACTTCGCTAAAAGTAATACACTCACGCCTATAATGTCTTATCCGGACTGTCCGGGACCGGGCACTGGCCATAATTTGAAAATATCCGTGACTCTGAAACACATTCATTTTGATGGGGAAGTACCAGAGATCTGGCATATGGCATCACCATTTCCACAAAAACAGGCAAAAGCTAGTAATAAAGGGTTTGCTCCCCACACCGGAGCTCGCGCTATTCCGCCGACTTTACTTGACACTTGACTGGCAGTCGTGAGTCAGTCAAGTGTCAAGTAAAGTCGGCGGAATAGCGCGAGCTCCGGTGTGGGGAGCAAACCCTTTCTTACAAATCATCACCGAAGTCGCAACCACTACTTCGTACAAAAGCTAGTAATATTTAAACTAAAACTCGCCCACAGGGTCCTCGGTAGACTGAGGGAGAGGGGGAGAGAGAGAGAGAGAGAGAGAGAGAGAGAGAGAGAGAGAGAGAGAGAGAGAGAGAGAGAGAGAGAGAGGAGGGAGGGAGGGAGGGAGGGAGGGAGGGAGGGAGGGAGGGAGGGAGGGAGGGAGGGAGGGAGGGAGGGAGGGAGGGAGGGAGGGAGGGAGAGAGAGAGAGAGAGAGAGAGAGAGAGAGAGAGAGAGAGAGAGAGAGAGAGAGAGAGAGAGAGAGAGAGAGAGAGAGAGAGAGAGAGAGAGAGAGAGAGAGAGAGAGAGAGAGAGAGAGAGAGAGAGAGAGAGAGAGAGAGAGGAGTCGATGATACAAACTGCCAGGACCTTACTAAGCACTAACCTCTGGTTTTGCAGGCCGGTGTTGTGGTAATGGTAGAAACTATCGCCGCGCCGATATGGACAGCCAGTCTTGGGATAATTATACGCGTCAGTGAGGCTGATGGAAGAGAGAGAAAACGAAGAAGTAAGAGAACGAGCCTCGACGAAAAAGAATTACAGCTACTTGTACTACACATAAATAAGATGTGGGATCACATCCACATGGTCATGTGTGTAGATGTGTGCATGTGTGCATGCAAATGACACTGTACCTCATAATGTGTTTTGAAATACATGTATCATGCCTTTCAGGTGCACATGCACACACATGCACACACATGCACACACATGCAGGGGGTTGGAAGGTGTTCTACATTGGTACAGCCATCAAAAGGCGTCCCGGGGCCCGACCTCGGGGAAATGTTTAGGAAAATTGGGCCCAAACAGCCCCATAATTATTTCATTGCTTCAGAAATCACAGGATAAAAGTATTGGTGCGGCTTTGGCCGCACCTGTCGCACCGGTTCCGACACCCCTGCCATGGCTGACAATCCACCAGCTAGCCACGTATAATCACTATAGCCACTATTATTATAGCGTGCAATGCATGTTCTGATTCTGGGATAACATCGTAATATCCGATAAAAGGCCACACACAAGGCCACACGTTTTTACTTCTATGTTTCTCGTCACCCGGCGGCATACGATTCAGGAGTCTGGAAGAAAGAAAAAAAACTGTGCTGCACTGTGGGGACCAGCACATGCACATGTGCACCCTGGCCTGGCCTGAGCGACACATGATGCCAGGTCGCTGCATGCAGTTTTTGTTGCGCAATCTAGCTATGCGCGCACAGAAGCTCCTACCATGTACTAGTTGCTAACTTTGGATGCTATTTTACACGGTGTATTGGTCGATTTTAGTATGACCAAAGGTCTAGTAAACTTTCTTTTTTTCGGTAATTTTTTCCCACCTCTCGCATACGATTTTAGATTTTCGGGTGACGAGCTAGAAACATAGAAATAAAAACGTGTGGTTTAATTATCACTACATGTATACAACCGATTACTGGTTGGGCCAAAACAAATAATGACCTTGTTTCGGGTCGGTCGACCGGGCCATTTTTTCCCAAATTCTGAAACTTTTTTTGGTCCCAAATGTATACGAAAGGTACCAATGCCATGTGTGCAAGTGCACTCAATGAGTCATAAGTCCGTCAAATCTCAACCGAATTCTACAATCAAACTACCGACGAGGTAGCAGAGATTCTCAGCTGTCGGCTCCAAACACTCCGGGGTTGATGCGAGCTAGTATAACGGAGCTGCAAGCACTCGAACGTTTTGCTTGGTTTCTCAGGATCTAGGACGACAGGAATACTGCTGTACAAGAACAATCAGTCAACTGTGACATTGATCCTTACCATGATACATGTACAAGTATTATGTACATTGTGTACAGTGCGTTTCAAGAATACAGTGCGTATCGGTTATAGCGTGGTCGTGTAAAAGAATATACTGCCTACAAGAATGAACTCTCATGTTTTCATAATCATAACATGGGTTTCAAGTGCACTTTTATTCTTACAAGCAATGTTATCGCATAGCAGAATATATCGGTCCTAAGAATGGACTTTGTGTCGCGAAACATGCCAGACTAGTACAACGTGTATCACCTGTAGTAATAACATCTGTCCAATGCAGTTCTGATCTGACTCGCGTTGCGTCATAGTGCTGCAGGTTCAACTGTTTTGGTTATGTAACTCATGTTGCATAGCCAAAATGGTAACTACAGTAAAACCTGTAACTCAAGACCACCGTGACTAGCGACCAGCCTGGTACTACCGACCACTTCGCCAGGCACGGACGGTCTCACATTCAAAATGCACTGTGACTAGCGACTACCTGCTGAACGCGACCAGCGACCGCCTTTTCTTGTCCCAAAGATGATTTTTGACCCGTAACTAGCGACCGCGCTATAGGAAATCAAATGTTGCTCGAAGCTCCTTCTTGAAATTTTGATGATTTTCCGTGGTCCTGAAAGGAATCTTTCGATGCTACAGCTGAAGAAATGAACGCAGGTCATTTTGACTGTGGAGTCGGTGTGGACTGCACTACACCTGTCAGAATTTCAAGCGCTGTCTAGAATAAAAATGAGAGGAAACGTCTTGGAGAGCGCATCGAAAGCGCTCTCTGATTGATGTTACTACTCGGAGGAGACACAAAGACTAAGCGGCTCTGTCACCCCAGTAATACACACGAATCGACGATGGCATCAAGGAATCCAGAAACAAAGCAGCACCGCAAGGTCCTGATGCTGAAGGATCGCGTTCAAGCAATCGAGAAGTCCCAACAAGGACAGTCGGTACGATTGATCGCATGAACGAATTTGAAGCCCAGCGCAAAACGAAACTTCCACAGGGAACGTTTGACTCCTGGCTTCAGAAGTAGGAGCTGAATTTGATGTCCGCAAAAAATACTAATCTTCTCTCTCTCTCTGTCTCTCTCCATCTCTCCGTCTTTCTCTCCAAGGGTGGTTTGACCTGAAATAAGAATGGCATTGCGCAAGTCTTGGAGAATTGTACTAGCTGCATTTTGATATACATAATAATTATTATCATATAATGGGATCCATATATGGTCGCGCGGTGCAAACCTCTAACTAAAGACCACCTGCTACTAAAGACCGCTTTTGCTGGCACCAAGGGGTGGTCGGTAGTCACAGGTTTTACTGTATATGTGACTATGACCAGCTGCATGCACAGTAGCACTATGTTGCATGTACGATGATGATCTTCCTGCCTCTGTGCACATGCATTACATATGATATGTCACACTTGATGTATCGTGTGTAAGAAATATCGGAAATAAGAATAGAAAGTCGTTTTTCAAACACCCACGTATAACCGATACCTACAGTACTGTATAGACGCATGATTTCAAAAAACCGTTAGGCCAACATCTATACCACATAAAATCTGTGATCACTTCGTGCATAAAAAAATTGAAATAATTGGGCGTTTGCTATCCGATCGCTTAAAAATCTGACAGTAATTGCGTGAAGGACCTGAGCAATATTCGGAAAAAATTCTCAAAAAGCTCCAGCCAAATTTGAAAATTTTCAAAAATACTATGTGCCTATATTTTTGAAATAGACTGTAGGTGCTCTTGTTCATCAATAACACAACAATTGATGAACCAAAAAAAGTATCCAAAAAAAGCTTCATTCTGGCCGACCGAGTCTCCTTTTTGAGGGGTTGCCGACCCGAAACAAGCCTATTTTTTGTATTGGACTTATAATGATAATTATTCTGACTGAATTTTGATTTAACGTACCTTTTCAAATATGTTTCCTTGACCGAGCTACCATTAATGTATGGCACTGATAAATCGTTCTGCGCCTCCACGAATTCCTGCGTCTCCTTTGCATCGGGATCCTCGAGCGACCGGTACGGGTCGGCGATGCTCGTGCCATGGTAGTTGTCAACAACACTATCGTCTCGTCTGACCTCTGGGTACTGCCATTTCTGTGTGTGAGAAGACATGATTGATGTTCTCTCAGCTGAGAACAGTCCAGTTACTGCGGCAGAACGAAGGCAAGAAGTAGAGAAAGCTCTCAATGACAGAACACGTTGTGATTTCCTGATAGCATCAGCAGCAAATGTATATTGCATGATCCAGAACAAAAATGAAAAATTCTAAACTGTAGTGTAGATCTATTGTACGTGTTGTGCTTTATTTTACGTAATTACGTAGATCTACGTAGCTATGTACGTAGACTCTACGTGTAGTAGGCTAGGTACACGTGCACGTGATAGACTGTCTGTCCTGTAGGCTGTAGGCTGTAGAGTGTAGTACGAGCTCATGTCATGATTATCAAGTCAAGAGTTCATAACCCGGCCCAGGTGGGTTATGAACTCTTGTTCTTACATGACACGTGAATCTGTGACGTGATCGTTGCCGGGGCCATGGCCAATAGGCGATCTTCCCGCCGCGGGCATAATCAGGCCATCAGGACCATTTGACGTCATTTCGGGAGTTTCAGGACCGTTTGACGTCATTTCGGGAATGTTCGGACCGTTTGACGTCATTTCGGGAATAATTTTTCGACCTTTCGACCTTTGACCTTCCCTAATATGTTGCTTCGCGATGTAAGAAATCAAATCAAGCACGCTCTGTCTGCCATGATGGCTGAATCTTGCCCTTGCCTGCAGCCCTCGGGCCTACGGCCCTTGGGCTGTAGGCTCGGGCAAGATTCAGCCATCATGACCTCCTGAGCGTGCTTGATTACATACATGTACATCATATCAAGAGTCCTAACCCAGGTGGGTTATGGACTCTTGATCATATGAGTAGGTCTACGCGCTTTCTGGAGTTTTTTTCATCGACACCATGCCCACATACTGTGACATAGTCATTGCCCACAGGCGCTAGGCATGGCAGGAGGGTACCTGGGTTGTACACCGGACCAAGTTACGAACGGCAAGTTGTGGCGCAACCGTAGTGCGCTTGGTTTTATTATTCTTCGGAAAACGAATCGAGATGAACACTGTAAAAGCAGAAATTTTCGGTGGTGTTTTATTTTCGGTAACTTCGGTGCCGAAATTTTCACCGAAAATAAAACTCACCAAAAATGTCGGTATAGTACTAGTACACTTACCTGGAACGCGGGTTTACCGAAATTTCCCTCCGCCGAACCGCCGATTTTGGAGAATACCGAAAATATTACACCACCGAAAATTTCTGCTTTACAGTAACGCATGTAATGACGTCATGCTAGACTAATGACTATGTGGAGGGTACTGGGTAATAAGAGTTCATAACCCCCAGGGGTTATGAACTCTTGGTAATAGTACCGGTGTAATCAGAGTCCACTACAAAGCAGTAAATTCATCATGCATTGTGCTTCAAGTCTGCGTTCGAAACTTATAACAGTTTCTCCAACTGCAAGAATCGTGCAATATTGTAGGGAGAGTCGGCTACAGCTTGACTGACGGATGAAGACGACTGAAGGGCTGCAGAGTGGCGGCTTTGTGCTCTTCCTGGGCAGTCGAAAAGGAAGTGAGTTGCATCCTCGACGACTCCAGGGCAGAAAACACAGTAAGGCAAGTCTGCAGCTCCAATGCGATGGAGGTAGCCATTCAGAAGACTACAGTGGCAGGTCATCAGCTTGTTCAGCTTGCAGGACGCTTTCCGCGTCCGAAGTTCTCCGAGCTTCTTGGTGTCTAGCAGTGGTGGCGGGTACCATGTTGCCTTGTGGACTGCAGTCTTTGTGGCTTGCATTGGAAGACGGACATGCCCCTGGGGGGTGTAGGCCTTGGCGGATAATGCCGGCAGAAAAATTGGCAGAATTTGGTACTTTTTCTGGTAAGTTTCATGCATGTTTGGTATGTGGATAAAGAAATGGAGCAGAACTCGAGGAAATGCCCGCCATAAGGTTTGTATGGTTCTGCCAATTTCACTGCTTTTCGAGCAGAATCTGCCACCTTTTCGAGCATTATCCGCCAATGCCTAGGGGGGGGGGGGGGGGGGCTGGGTACCAGCCGCAGCCAGGCGATCTACTTTGTCATTGAGGAATAAGCCACAGTGACTGCCAACCCAGACAAGGTGGATGCTGCTAACAAGCTGGCTAATGCTCTTGATGGCCTCAACTTGAACACAGGTATTGTATCTGGGCTCATACGGTACGGATCGCCAGCAACAGAATAACAGTCAACGAACGACTGCCCGTAACAAGAAGGTCTGGCTGCGAGGTTTGATCATCGGTGTTGGTGAGGCCACCCGTAAGTAGATCTCCTGCCACAGAGAGACCGGCTACTGCTGCAGTTACCTCGGCGGTGAAGGAAGTTGCTACCACGCCTGCAGGATCGCTGCCACTGCACACTTCGTCTTCAGAGCGTTGGCCTTCAGTGACTTTTATGACAAGATAGCTGCTTCCTCCTGTACCCTTATCAGTGACACTACCATCTGTCCAGACCTCATATGCCGGACTGAGATTCAGCACAATTTAAAGAGAGGAAACCTTGGCCTGTCCAGGCACTCCAGGGCTGCAGACAACCGGACATGCGGGGATCATCTCTGCTGCAGTCAGTGATCGTCAGGTTCTCTCCACCTTTGCCCATGGCGGTGGTGGCGAAGGCAGCGGGATAAAGACGTGCTCAGTATAGGGAAAGTCTCCTGGGCTAACTCAGTGTTGCCAAGTGGTCTTGTCATGGTGTAGGCGTTGGGGGACCTGAGTGGGGTGAACGATGCGAGCAGGGGTTGGGGCCCGGTGTTGTGACGATGAGCAATATTAATATAATTAGCCAAATTCCCAGCCTGGCGTGTGATCTTTGTATGCAGCCGCGGCAGGGCACCTGCAACCTCGTAGAGCTTGGCCAGTGGTGTACAGGACACACATCCTGAAGCGGCGCGCAGGCACTGGTTGCAAGCTGTCTCCAACAGTCGTTTTTCACTGTTCGTTGTGAGGCCATAGTATGCAGCCGCGCCATATAACCCGAGAGACCTTCAAGTTCAACCACTGATACTCGTACTACTGTCAGTACTGAGTACTCCCTGCTTTCAATCGACCGACAACGACGAGGACGAGGCGGAGGTGCTCCGCCTGGACAACCTCTATGCGGCCTGTGCTCTAATGTGGATCTACCATACAGCGGTGTTGTCATCCAGAAGAAGCCAGAACACCAAGACTTACGGTTGACTGCCGAACGACAGCCGGCCAAATCCGAACCGTGATAGAACCAGTACATTCCTGAATCTTCATTCAACCGCTTCGGGACTTGCTTCTTTACCTTGCTGGGGACCGTGTGCGTCGGTTCCGCTGTTCCCCTTGGCCGTGACTTGGTTTCCTGGGCCGTTCCTCTAGCCAGGTGGTTTGCCTGTTCGCTGGGTGACCATTGCAGTTTTCTGGTTCTTCCCTACTTCTGTTGTGCCTCCCTGTTTTCAACACAGTGCGTCATCCGCCTTGTAACAATACATAATTGTTAGCCCTTGTACTTGTAAGTACAGTACAGTTGTAGTGCAGGGTGACACACGCATTTTGCGGTTTACGCGACTGTTACGTGTTTGCGCCTCTCGATCTCCTTGGCTTCACGAGGACGGCTACTCGTCGGCTCATATAATTATAGTGTATCCTGTTACGTGGCACACTGCATGCTGCCTGGTAGGCCCAGACAGATTCTGCTCCGCTCGCCTCGACATTTTGCCGCAAAATGTTGCTGCGAAATCTTCGATATTTTGCCGAGCCTGGCACAAGAAACTCGATATTTTGCTCCGGAAAACGTGTATTTTATCCCTTTCCCGTACAATTAATCCCGTACAACGTTTCATAAAAGTCGCAGGGTCGGTTTCCCAACACGGGTTTCCAAGCACGTGTCCCTGAGTTCTTCCTAAATCATGTCGATCCACTCGGAGTGAATTCCAGTGATATTTCGGTGACCTGATCTCGTCCTGGGCAGTGTGTCCTGCTGAACGAGTAAGGAAATCCAAGTATCAGGCATCGATTTTACCCAACATCTCGATATCTTGCTCCGATTTTGCCGGCAATTTCCGCTCTTTCAATTCTTCGATATTTTGCCGAAAGAATTGCCGGCAGGATCTGTCTGGCCCTACTGCCTGGCCAGTGATCACGTGAGTGGTCACTCTGAGTGAGGTGCGACACCTCTCACGAAGCCGAGCAGTGCTGGTTTGTCGATGCTCCGATCCGAGAGTGTTATACATGTAGCTGTGTGCACGGAAGACCCTTTGTAGAGTCCCGCCATGGCCCTATGCATATGGGAAAGTATATCTCAGTCTCAGACTCTGCTCGGCTCGTTTCGGCCAGTGGGACATAATCATTGCTGTTTATGCAGCTTTCGCGCCGACGCGTGTAGTGCAGGTTGTCCTTGCTGTGAGTCGCGGAGATGTTGCTCTGAATGTGATCCTGGCAAGTTATTCCGCTGGCACTCTGTCCTGTGGGCCCTGGAGCGGATGCAGGTATGGGAGATAGTCACCCTTCAACACATCCGGGTACTCTACTCTCTGACGGCCGTTGCCCCTGGCTGCACTGGGTCAATGGGGTGGCATGGCTTGTTGATAACGGACACAGTGAATGCTGTGCATGATTGACGGCCTCCTGCTGTTGGCCAACACTTGACCATACCACCTCGATGTGAAATTATCGGTCGGACCACGCCGGGCCGTTGCTCTTCTTTCAGAGGGGCAGAATGCACACGCATTTCTCCTGCTGCTTGGGATCGGTCGGCCGGTCGTATCGGCAAGGCACATCCAAGTTTCTCATGTGGCTGGGTCCTTGCCGGCTGTTGTTTCGGCCTCGTCTCATACTCTGGTCTGGATGTCCATCCCAATGATAGCACTTCAGATCATGGTATCAATTCCAATAACTTCGGAAGAAGAAGAACAAGAAGAATATCACTGCAGATGGTCGCATCATGCGGTCCCTATTGCGGATGTTTCCTCAGCTACACCGGACGTTTGCTGTCGATGCACATCAACGGGTGACCTGTGTGGACATTGTAGGTGCAGGAGAGCAGGACGTTCCTACATGTATATCAATTGCTGACCGGGAATGCCGGATGGGACCTGTCGTAACCTGGACGGTATTGCCACCGGGCATGGTTCCTCAGTGCGGGCGAATTCACCGCCATCATCTGATCACTCCGCTGATTTTTCACTGGACTCTGGCCATGGTCAGTACAAGGGACACTGGAAACACTTTTAAGACGGCATGAAAGATGCATGATAATGGAGATGATATCGGAGATATTGTCGGTGCTACTACACCGGACTTGCCAAGTCCAATCATACACACAGCCCAGTGCCATGGATACCAACTAACTTGGTGGGATCAATGAAACATAATCCATTGACATAACCGTGGATGCTTACAATAGTTCACCAGAAGAAAAGGTGGTATGGGGAGCGCGTGAGGAACATTGAGTGGACGTCATTTGTTCCAGCGGTGATGTCCGCATCTGGAGGATCTGTGTGATCAGTCGTGTTGAGTACTACATGAAGAAAAAAACTAGACTGTCAACTATTACTGTCTTGTCAAGAGATCATAATAATACAGTCATGCACTACTTGTACAACGCCATGGTAGCTAGATTCTTCACACGGTCTTGCTAACGTTAGCGTCAAGCGTGAGTTTACTCTTGATAGGCACTAGTAACAAGGCAGCCAAAGGGCACACGGTTCCATGAGGGAGTTTGTAAGGTACAGACTGCCAGTAAATCTCCTCTTCTTCCTTCCCGCATTTCTATCCTGACTCCGGGTGACTCCTGCTGAAGTGAAGGAACAGGGGCGGAGCGTGTGGCTGACGTCAGTGATTCGTCTTCTACTACGAAAGTACGATGTACAATGTACATGTAGATTGTAGTAGTCTTTGTCTTCTTGCGATCAACCGTGGTTTCCTGAAAGTCTCCACCACATCATGTGTACAGTGTACTAGACTCCAGTGACAAAATTAATACAATGGTGACACGCTAGTAGTGGAGCTCATGAGTCATGGCCATAACCACAGGGAGTAGTACTCCCTGGCCATAACCAGTGATAACTATTAACTAGCATAATCACAGGACACGTGACTTGAGGGCGTGGAGTACGAGTACGTCGAGTAGCTAGCCACGTCGAAGATGACGTACTATCAATCATGCGCATGCATGCAAAGCCGGATCGGAAAGAGAGCGACACGTAGATCTACGTAGAAAGAAGTGTCTACAACTAACAGTCTACATCATGATCAGGTCATGATGCAGACTAGATCATTAATAATATTAATCTAGCCTCTACCGGTACCATGCCTACGACTAGTACAGTACGACTCCGAGTGACTAGGGCCTAGCCTCGGCTCCGCCAGGGCAAGACCGCCATGCATGCATCACCTGAGGCTGAAGTAGTTATGCCTACCTCAGTACCTGTACGCATAGCCATAGCCAGGGCCATGTATGATGTAGATCTACTGCCTTACCAAGCTTACTGGTCTGTAGATCTACCAAGTCAAGGCCATCCAAGTCCAAGACACAACTCATGAGTCATGTCATGAACTATCACCGGTAGTACTACTACTAGGCAAGAGCTGAGACAGAGATAGGAAGGGAATCCGGTGTTCTCCAAGACTACATGATTTGTAGTATAAAGTCTGGGTGCTCGAGTCGACATCGCTGTACAGATCAGACAGTAGTACTACATGTACCGTATTTTTCGGAGTATAGTGCGCACCTTTGTATAACGCGCACCCCCAATCTTCATCGGGGTGCGCACTTCAATCTTCATTGAAGTACATGCATTTCATATTCGGAGCATAGTGCGCACCTGCGATTTAGGGCCTAAAATAGCACATCTAAAGTGCGCACTATACTCCGGAAAATACGGTAGTCACTACTATGAACACTGGTTAAAGACCAGTATTAGATAAACCTGTCAATCTAACAATACTCAAATGTCTAAAGACAATACTAGTTCGACTGCATGCATGACTCCATGCCATGGTATGACTCTATGACTCATAATATGAGCATAATGACTCCGTAATGCATGCGTTTTAAATAGGCTGAGCAATGAGCATGCAGTGAGCATGCACTGAGCAGTGAGCACAGCGTGCACTGGCGGCGCGCAATGCCGCGCACGCGCATGGCATGGCCATGGCCTAGTACATACCAGATCTACTACATCATACATGACTGTAGTTCCGGTAGCGTCAAAATGACTTTCTAGGCAGTGATCATGGTGATGATGAGTGCCGGCGGCGCTACTCGCCGTGGTGGCTTTGTTCGTCACTTCTACTTCTACTGACGAGTACTGTACGGAGCTGTTCGAATGGTAGCGACACTCGGTGACTCGGTAGATAGAGGACGGGTTAGGCTTAGACCGGGAACCACTACTATTACTTGTCCTGCGACCATTGTAGTCCCCAGCAGAACTGTTGGGCAAGCAGCAGCAGCAGCAGCTCTGAGCTGCAGGAGGGGCAGTGGTTTCTACGGCCGTGCAGAAAACGTCTTGAATGGCCGAGCTGAACAGGATGTCGAACGGTGGTCGAGGCAGGAAAGGTGACGGTCAGCCTTTGCTGGATGACTCCGACTCAGACGTGCAGGAGTTCGCACTGCATGACCTCCCCACTCATCGCTCACCTAGGACGTGAGTTGCACGATGCTAGCGCTCAAGTCGCGATATCCATAATAATGACACTGTCACATTATCCATTGTTTACCTGTGCCAGCATGCAGCGGCCTATGTCAATGAGTTACATTCTGAAATTTCGAAAGAATTCACAATATTAAACTTATGAAATTCAATTCCAATAATATTAGAGAGGGTGGCTTGTCACCTGCCAACCGCTCCACTCAGTGGGTACGCACTCAAATTCTTAGTCAAAGGGAAGAGTAACAATTACTTCAAAAATTAGTTTATCGAATCGAATATTTTCAGTATAACGGAACAAAGAGTTGGGTTGAGAACCGAAATGTCAGCGGACTGAATTGTCGAGCATGACGACAGCATGACGACAGGCGATATGTGCTCGCTCCCTATTACATGTATTCTGAAATAAGCTTTCTAACGTTCTTTTGCGACAGTATCAAATGTGTTACGTTGGAACAAATTAAATTATTTGGTAGGGATGGGGTGTGTGTATGTGTGTGTGTGTGGGGGGCGGGGGGTAGGAGGGTAGGGCGAAAACACAGATCGCTCGTTGCGGTGCGCATTCCTGTCCACTCTCCTGAAGTTAGTCTCTGAGTACCGAAACATGTTGCCGGATAAAGCAAACCGGGCTGTCTGAGGCTTTGTCAGACACAGTGGCGTAGGATATCCGTTGTGTCTTGCATGACGATGTTCTGCTATGTTGCAATATGCATAGCGGCTCCATAGTTATGCAGTCTAGAAGCACAGCAGGCAAAGTGTGCCTTAGCACCTCACCAGTAGAACTATCCCCACTTGCCAACCATGCATGCTCTGGTGCCTGCATCCATCACCTATCCAGGATTTTTCCGGGGCTTGTGCGACATTCCCGCACACAGTGTACCTGTGTCATGATGTCATTATTTGCCCGTCTACTGGCAGGAGGAAGCCCCGTAGCGTACACGTGAAGAAGCGAGATGGATGCTGCCGTACATGCTCTCGCTGTATGTTCCTGGTACTCAACATCGCCATCCTGGCATGTATTGGCTTCATAGGGTATCGCGGCTGGGAGTTGACTAAGGATGTCGAGGCATTGAAGAAAGAATGTAAGCCTGCACCTCTGACACATGTTTATCTGGAAAGCTTGTGAAGCGAGTCTGTGGTGTGTGTGTGTGTGTGTGTGTGTGTGTGTGTTTGCATGTGTGTGTGTGTGTGTGTGTGTGTGGTGTGTGTATGTGTGTGTGTGTGTGTGTGTGTGTGTGTGTGTGTGTGTGTGTGTGTGTGTGTGTGTGTGTGTGTGTGTGTGTGTGTGTATGCATGTGTGTGATCCAAATGGGAGCAGTGACTCTGATGTAGATGCACTATGTACACCCAAGGGGGCGAGCATGGTAGATTTTTACACGGACTGGCCCCATTATGCATAGCGGTATATGTACGATGTACGACATGTAGCTGAAGAGGCAACTGCTCACTACTGCTAGTGCTCCATTATGGTCTTACAACAAAAATGCACCCTTGCATTATTGCATCTGATGAGTTTGCCTTGCAAGCTTTGTAGCCAAAGTTGATTGGATGTTACTTTTGTCATAATCATAGGTACCGTAAGTTAGGTGCTAGGTGATTGGAGCAGAAGGACAATCATGAGTCCTAAACTCTACATGGACTAGTATAGTGACAAAAAGCGCAGACACGATTAAGAATTAGTTAGAACTTGAACATACTCCGGCGCTCACAGCAAGGTGGCCTTTTCACATCTTGTAATGCAAGGGCGTCGGAACCGCACCATGGCCGCCCCACTTTTTCGGGGTTTTTTTTTTTTTTTTTTTTTAGCACCCTGCAACAAAGCGCGATGATCTCAGCGCAAACGTGGCAAATCCTTGTCCCCGATCGTGGTTTGTTGCAGAATCAAAAGTCCATGTACACTGAAATGGCACCAAATGCCTGGGAATGCTTGCAATTGGCTTCAATTTTTGAATTTTTTTCCCGGGGGAGGGTAATGTTTGTCCCCGATCGTAGCATCTTCTTGTTTTTTTTGCAGAATCAAAAAGTCTTTCATTGTAGTTACCGTACACTGAAATGGCACCAAATGCCCGGAAATGCTTGCAATTGGCTTCAATTTTTTAATTTTTTTCCCGGGGGAGGACCCCCGGACCCCCCTTCCATGGCCGCCCCACCTCCAAAGTCGTTCCGACGCGCCTGTAATGTCTTGTCGGACCAGGCAGGCACAGTGGGTGGTCGAAGACCATGATTGAGATACGAGAGGTACCTGGTTCAAGTCCTGCCTGGGAGCGGTTTTTCCAGCCGTGCTGCTACCCACAGTCAACTGGGAACTTGTGGCCAGGCACAAGGGGTACATGGATGCAATGGCGCATTTAATTGTGTGGCTAGCGCGTACGTGGGCATACCTGCTCTACCCTCGAGCATTTGAATATTGCTGTGATTGAAGTGAAGACGTAATTATTTTAGTAAATTATGTTTCTGTGTCACAGTGTGCATGCAAGGGTGATACGGTAGAATACCCCAGACGGACACTGCATGCCCAAAAGTGCCACGGTTTGGATAACTGCCTGGGCTGTACTAGCGTTGCTGCCTACACATAGTAGTGTACAATAGTACGGTACTGGAATTGGAACTCCGCAACATGTCGGTCTTGTTTTCCTGAACATCTTGTGTGCAGACCAGAACCATCTGTGTGCATCGCATTCACTTACGGATACTCATTGTGTTCTGTGTCTCCATTCCTACTGTGTGGAACCATGGTAATGATGGTGACTCTGCTAGTATCATCGATGAAGGACACTGAAAGTCAGTACAGGCTCAACATGGAGGACACTGTGGACAAAGCAAAGCTGGTGAGGTTTGGACTCGGACAATGGCTAGTCATTGTGCATGCACACGCACACATGGATATACGCACACGGATATACACACACGTGCACACACCACACACACACACACACACACACACACACACACACACACACACACACACACACACACACACACACACACACACACACTGTGTGCGCCCGCACACCTCACACCCCCCCCCCCCCACACACACCCACACCCACACATGCTCAAACGTATCGACACTATAATGATGATCTCGAGCGTACGGTGTGATTGCTAAGTTTGGAACTAGAAGTAGAGCAGTCTCTTTGCGATGAGCAGTAGACTGCCAGGATAAACATCATGACTACTACCCTCGTACAGTGCTGGCAACTGAAATCCGCCAAGGGGGTCGGATTTCAGTTGCCAGCGCTGTAGTATATACATTATAGTCATATTGCATGCTGATACTTTGAAGTACATCCATCTACTTCGAAGTACAGCCATCCATCTACACCCATCTATCGTTACTTCAGTACACTGTATAGCAAAGACACCCTGGCTATAACAGGTGTTTCTCCTTGCAAGGGATATAGCACTCATTGAGGTCCCTGCGTACATGTGTATTTCTTCGGTCATGTGACCTTGGATACGCAGTACCCTGGCTTATATTTACGGATGTCTAGGTACCTAGCCTAAGCCGCACCTAAACATCCGTCCGTCCGGGTATGTTGTACTGAAGCTTCACTGTAACTTTCTCTCTCTGTCTGTCTCTGTCTCTCTCTCTCTCTCTTTCTCTCTCTCTCTCTCTCTCTCTCTCTCTCTCTCTCTCTCTCTCTCTCTCTCTCTCTCTCTCTCTCTCTCTCTCTCTCTCTCTCTCTCTCTCTCTTCTCTCTCTCTCTCTCTCTCTCTCTCTCTCTCTCTCTCTCTCTCTCTCTTCTCTCTCTCTTTCTTTCTCTCTTTCTCTGTCTCTCTGTCTCTCTCTGTCTATCTCTCTCTCTGTCTCTCTCTCTGTCTCTCTCTCTCTCTGTCTGTCTGTCTCTCTGTCTGTCTCTCTGTCTGTCTCTCTGTCTGTCTCTCTGTCTGTCTCTCTCGCTCTCTCTCTCTGTCTCTCTCTCTGTCTCTCTCTCTCTCTCTCTCTCTCTCTCTCTCTCTCTCTTTCGCTCTCTCTCTCTCTCTGTCTGTCTGTCTCTCTGTCTCTCGCTCTCTCTGTCTCTCGCTCTGTCTCTCGCTCTCTCTCTGTCTCTCTCTCTCTCTCTCTCTGTGTGTGTGTCTGTCTGTCTCTCTCTCTCTCTCTCTCTCTCTCTCTCTCTCTCTCTCTCTCTCTCTCTCTCTCTCTCTCTCTCTCTCTCTCTCTCTCCTGTAGGTCTCAGGCCTTAGGAGTAAACTATTAGAAGTGAATAAAACGCAGACAGCCGCACACTCGGCCATGCATGGCGAGATGAAAGCGATGAGTGAGAAGATGGAGATAGACATTGCAGACACTCGCCAGCAGTTTCAGCAACGCCTGGCGGCCCTGAGCAGCAGCGCGGCGAACGACCAGAGTCAAGCGTCGCAGTCGGTGCAGTCGCAGCTCGGCAGTGTGCGCGAGACGCACGCCGCGTTTGCCAGCGCCGTCGCTCGCATGAACAGCAGCATGCTTCAGCGCATGAACGACATGGTCAGCGACCTGGACGAGGTGCAGAGCGACATCGCCACCATCACCACCACCCACGATGAAATGGACGCAGGCATGCGCAGCAACATGACCAAGGTGAACGTCAACATCGACAGCATGGAGGTACGTGAAGCGCCCACTCGTGGGGTGTTGCTACTAGTACCTGGTCCTACCCTACTGGTGTTAATAACACTACAATGATAAAACCCTGAAAAAACGGTACTCTAAAAAAGGTTGCTATAGGCGCCACTGTTGGCAGTATTCCACTGTGCAGTAAACAGAAAGCAATCATTGCAGCTTACGATGCATGGTTAGGCGAGACCAAAATAAAATCGAGATTCCCGGGCAGGATCCATGTGAAATTGGTGCGGGCGGGCGAATTTTATTTTTTATTTTTTTCCCATGTATGTACATGACTTTATGTGTGCATGCCATGTTGAACTTTTTTTACAGCATTTTCCGGTAATTTTTATTTTACAGACAACAGGTACGCGGTTTACCCGTTCTATTTTTCTGTATTTCGGCCAACGATGGCCCTGATCTGTACATCAGGGAGTTGTACAAGCTCGGGTTTGTGTGACTCCACGTCACAGATCTACTCACACGATCAGTACTGTACATGTATGAACTGTTCAAGAAAAAAAATTGGCTTTGGCGCGATTTTGGTGCGGGAGGGCCCAGGAATCTCTATTTTTCTGGTCTCGCCTAATATTAGAATCCAGTCAGATATCTTGGCCACCAGGCCATGGCTAAACGGACATGATGATAATGTGTGTTTTAACACCACCAGCTCACTGTCTTGTCTGTGTATTTTGAGTCGGATTTTTGACACTCGAGTGTGGAGCGTAGCAGCCTATATGGTTGCGCTTCGGTTTGCTCTCTTTCATCTTCTTGCCCGAGCTCGCAGTGCTAATAGTTCGTTTTTTTTTGTCGCTGTTATCATCATATGTGTGCCGGCTTAGGCGGACATGTTGGCAATGCATGGTAACATGGAGAATATGAAGACCTCCATGAACACGATGACGTCCACCATGAATGTAATGACAGCGTCGATAGACGCCATGACAAACGGGGATGAAGATGACGCCATGCCAGTAAGATTGGTTGCTCGTTTAGAGCCCCTTCTTCCTTCTTTTGTTCTGCCTTGCGTAGAGGTCATGTGATTACATCATCATTATGTCATCATTTGAAGTGTTTTGTATCAAGAAGACAATGTAGTTAGGCAACGCAGGGCTTTAAAATGTATTCTTGTTTGTATTCAGTTGCATCACAAGCACTCGTTTGCAACTGAACACAAGCATATTATTAATCACAAAGGCGTCACTTGCACAACCTCTATAGAAGCCTAGCTTGAATGAAAGCCACTTTTGAATCAAGCTTGACCGTGGTGATGTACATTCTGCGCATACTGCATATCATAAGCCTGGTGTTTGTGCTGACATGTCAGGGCCGGCGCCACTGGTACGGCCGGTACGGCCATGGCCGTACCAAAAAAAAAAAAAAAAAAAAAAAAACTTCTCAAAAAGTCGGGTCTACATGGAACGTCCAAAACCGGGGAGAAAAAGTTTCGATGTATGATTTTGTACAGGGAGTCGCCCAGAGTGCAGGATTTGCCGTCTAAATTCCAAAAAATTTCTGGGGGAGGACCCCCAGACCCCCCTTAAAGATGGCCCTTCGGCCGTACCACTCCGCGGAAGCTGCCTCCGGCCCTGCATGTGTGGAGACAACAAGTTACATGAAGTTACCAGAGAACTGCTACCTCATGATCATAAAGCACTAGGTGCTGCAGCGCCCTATTGCCACCAGCACTATTCTGAGCACTCAAACTTGGCGCTACTTTATTCACGAGGTTTCGTTGGCCAGTATAATTACAAGACTGGTTTTAATAGAAGTCTAGCTCATTGATTATAGTCATAATAGAGAGAGAGTGTGTGTGTGTGTGTGTCACTGTGTGTGTGTGTATGTGTGTCACTGTGTGTGTGTGTGCGTGCGTGCGCACGCGCGTGTGTGTGTGTGCGCGCGTGTGTGTGCCTGTGCCTCTGATCCACTCTGTGCTGTCTCTGTGATCTGTCGTTTGTGATGGCAGACACTCCCACCCATCATAACACAGGCACAGGTTGCACTGGACACTGTGGAAAGGCTCAACACTTCACTCAGGCACTCTATCCAGAACCTCAACGCCTCGGTACAGCAGACTATGCATACTCTGAGCAGCTCGCTATCCGAGTCCGTTCAGGCAGTGAATGGGTCGCTATCCAAGTCCTTCCAGAAGCTCGTTGCTATCGTGAAGGCTGAGCATGGATACCGCGTGGTGAGTTCCAGTGGCTATGTTCACGGTAATACCCACCACCCTATTGGATTGGCAGTTTTTCAAGGCAATAGTTATACCGTATGTAACTCTCATATTGGCGATGGTGCCATCGTGAGAATAAGCAATTCAACATCAACAACTCACTCGAAGGGTCTCGGTATACGATGTGCTTCTATTGTTGCAGTTGCCACATCTACTAGAGCTGCACCTTGAGAACCTGTCACTGTGATCGCTTTTCAGTTGCACTGCTGCGTTGCTGTGGGCCAGCCAATTTTCTTGATATCCTGTACGATGGATAAAAGAATGCTAGGTACCTTGAAAAGCACAGGTTTCACTGTGAATGCACTCAACCAAACACAGGTTTTGCTGTGAATGCACTCAACCAAACACATGTTTTGCTGTGAATGCACTCAACCAAACACATGTTTTGCTGTGAATGCACTCAACCAAACACAGGTTTTGCTGTGACTGCTGACTCAACCAAACACAGGTTTTGCTGTGACTCTGATGATGCAGGCTCTTGTGCACATGTGAGAGTGTAGTTACATTCACTTAGTCTTTGTTGCTCTCGTGCACTGTACATGTACTCGCATTCTCTCTTCCTGACACTGGGTATCCCTCGTCCACTGTGTGCTCGTACTCATTCTTCCTTGCAGAGTGGCCAGAAGAATATCTCCATGCTGGTGACCGAAGTCCAGTCAGAGGTAGCAGAGCTCGGCAACGCCGTGACCTACATGAACACGACGAGTGCACTGCTTCTGCAAGAGCTGCTACGGCCGGCTCCGACGACGACGACGCCCAGACTGCCGGAGCACCCCGCCACTGAGCCGCCACAGGTCGCGGAGACCACGAGCGCGGCCGAGACAGGCACAACGGCTCAGCTTCGGGAGGCCGGCTTTGGCATGGGCACACGTAGCGGAGAAGTTAGCATAGCAAGTGTGCGCAGCACGCTTTCTGCGCTTGTTGGCAACATGACGGCAGCACAGACCAAGATAAGTGAGCTGGTAAGTCGCTATTGGATATCCAGTGTGCTCAGGGTATAGCTGGTATGTAATAAGTCACGAGTAAATATCCTGTTTCCTCAGCTTATAGCATACGTCACAAGTACCCGTGCAACTGAAGGACACTTGAACTGGCTTTGTAACCTTCCTCCCACGATGTCGTGTTTATGTCCGTGTCGTACTAAATGCATGGCTTGTGGGCATGTACAGTGGGACGATGCTGGTCAGACATCAGGGATAGGATCTTTCTAGTATACCTTTCTCCATCAGTATTTATAGACACGCTAACCTAGCCAACCTGTGCTCACGGAGGGTTTACTGCATGCTAGAAACAGCAAGATGGCATTGCGAGTAGCGTGCAGCGAAACAACTCACCTCAGCATTGCCTGCAAAACACTTTTTTGCAGTTTGAAGTACAAGTGCATTGTACCTGTTTACTTTAGAACATTTTTAATTAAAACTCTTTCCTAACCATCATCGCCAAAGTCGCAACCACTATTTCGTAAAGCTCTCTTTTGTCACAAGAATTCTCCTGTCCGGGGGACATGCCAAGCCTATTATGATTAGAATATATAAATGTTCCACTTCCCGGATTGAGTGTTAGCTGTGTTTCTCATGTACTCTGCGCGGCAGTGAGTGCGCCAGGCATATGTATACATGTATATAGTTAGCCTACTTAACGTCCGGACATTCATCTCTGTGCTTTGTTTCTCAGGAAGCTGACCAGCGATTCCTGAACAGCAGCATCTTTGACCATCGGGTGCATGTATCACGGCGCATCATGCAATTGTATGACTTTGTGCGCTCGAAAACGAACGTCTCTCGCCAGCTGCAGCCCGCTGCGCTGAATGCCACCCTGGAGGAGTTGAAGAGTGTTGACTGGGGGTCCGTGATGAATATATACATCAACTCTGGCTACCTGCAGTCTGTGCTGGAGCGTGTCAACTTCACGGCGATGATACCGGCCGTGACCAACCTGACCCAGCACCTCATGCCGGTCATCATGCGGGCATTCCCTCCGCAAGCCATCAGTCCCCTCCTCCATGTACTCGTCCCCAATCTTCATTATCATGCAGAAGAAAACAGCGAGTCTGTGAATGGTGTGAAAACTGCCAGCAATGCCGGTCAGGTCCCGGAAGAAAATGCACAAGTTGGACAGGGAGCCGCCAACCAGGCTGAGGCAAATACCAACGAGGAGGAACAACAGCAGCAGGCAGAGGCAGACACCACTGACGAGGACGAGCCAGCCAAAGAGGATGCAGAGCAGACCGGCCACACTGCCATCAACGAAAATGTGCACAGTGCTGAGCAGCTGGATAGCAATACCCAGCACGAGGGTGAGACAAGTAATACCAATGATGAAGATGAACCAGCTGAAGAGGATCATCCAGAGCCAAGTAGCACTGTCAGTCCCGCACATGAGCAAAACAGTGACAATCTTCTAGGTAATGAGCAAGTGGATGGCAATACTCAGAATGAGGAAGAGCCAGGCACTAATAATAATCATGCGGATGAAGATGAACCAGCCAAAGAGGATCCAGAGCCAAGTGGCACGGCCAGTCCCGCACATGAGCAAAACAGTGACAATCTTCTAGGTAATGAGCAAGTGGATAGCAATACCCAGCATGAGGAAGAGCTAGGCACTAATAATAATGATCAAGATGAACCAGCCAAAGAGGATCCAGAGCCCAGTAGCACGGTTAGTCCCGCACATGAGCAAAACAGTGATACTCTTGCAGGTAATGAGCAAGTGGATAGCAATACCCAGCATGAGGAAGAGCCAGACACAAATAATAATGATGAAGACAATCCAGTTGATGAGGATGGTGAACAGGAGCCTCAAAACAATAATGCCGAATTGGAGACCACTGAGAGGCCAGACGTCGACACTGAATCGCAGCAGTCACCCACAGAAGAGGTGCAAGAGGAGACAACAGAGGACCGAGGTGCTGTGACAGAGAACAGCAGCCCTGAACAAGAGGCGCCCGACATGACAGCTACAGGCGGCGAGAAGGATGATGAAGATGCAACCATGGAGAAGGACAATGATAGTCCTGTCGAGGCGAATGGCGGGATTGCGCGAGAGGATACCGGCGATGCTGAAGTCGCCGGCGTCAATATGCTTAACGGTGAGTTCTAGGGATAACCAACCCGTTTAGGGCCTCCGCAATCACCGCATTAAGCACGTTACTGCGATCCTGAAGCAGCCGGTTCTGGCGTCATGGCTGGTACTTTAACTTGCCAAACTCTCGTGCTTCACGGCCATTGCCTGAATGTCACTGTGCCGGATGGAAGGAATAGAGAGCTGCAGCGAGTGCATGTTGACATGACGGTTAGTTTTCAGTGGTGGCAAGTCAACAGCTGAGTGCATGTTGTGTTGCAGTTGTGTATTTGTATTTTGTATTTATGGATTCTCCACAGGCCTTAGCCTAAATCGAGGGAGTCTCCGTGTAATGGGGTAAAAAGGGAAATTGTTCAAATTTTCTCTAGCTTCTCGGAGAAATTTATCCTGCAAGTCAAGGACACTGGAATAATTTAGGAACAGGTCTCGAAGAATTTGGATATCTCGCCCATGTGAATGTAGTATGCACTGTGCATATGCCAAAAGGGAATGTTGTAATTTACGCTCATGATCCAACACCTGGCGTTTCGCAAAAGTTCAAATTATTGGACCCCAGAACGTGAGACTGATCTCCAAGTTTCAAGCCCGGGGAGCTTGGAGAGCTTTAGAGAATCTCCTAAAAGTCAGACAGGATATAAGAACCGTGAGTGCTCCAACTTTTCGGAGAGTCTTGAACTTTTCCGGGGCGGGGGGTATAAAAAACACACCCTTAGATTGTTCATGAGTTAAGATTTCGCTCACAACCAGTGTATTTCAGGTCAATGCGGCAGTGGCGTAACTGACCATACCCGTATGTGTCTGGTGTTTTGCAGTTCTTGAGTTTCTCGCTAGCGAGTTTGGTACGATAGATGCGAACGGAAATGGCTACATTGACGTCGAAGAAGTCGAAGCTGCTATGGTGGCGCAGGGCTGGCAGGAATCCAGAGCAGCCCAATCGTTCATTGAACAGCTTCAAAACGCCAAAAAACCGTATCTCAGTCGACAGCACATGGCTCGAGTGTACCTGGATTTAAAAGAAAAATATGCACAGAAACATAGAAGCGAGGGCTGATCGCATTTAGTGCCAGTATGTGTGCGTGTGATCAACGAGTCTGATGGTTAATGGAGTGGTGCCGTGCTGCCGGGCAGTGGCCGGTCCGGATCATCATGGAGGAAACAGGTAGCTGTGATAGCCACCAGCCCTCTCCCCGCTGCGCTTGCATTCCTTGCCACGAGCAGCCAATCCGGTACTACAATGCTTGTCGGTATCAGGCACAGCTCCCCCGGCCGGACTTGCCAGTATATCAGACAACTCATCTTGCCTGGACTGCAGCCATCGCGGACAACTCTAGCAGTAGCACCTGATCGCTCTGCCCTCCAGATCTAATATAAACCATTCGGCCCGTTTGTTGCATTTCAATCAATGTCAAGATTTGTTGATCATGCTATATTCCCTGAGCCAAAGCGTCAGTCAGCGTGCTCGTATTGACGCGTGCACTTGCCGTGACATAGCATAGCCGCACATAGAGTTGAGAAGTTTTTTTTCTTTCTTTTGAACGCATGTACATGTACGCGTACTGCAATTACATCCTACATCCCATCTTAGCATTGTTGACGTATGAAACTGCAACACGCCTTGGCAGAATAATGGTGGTACATGCACTATCTTTGCATTGTTTATACTGTGGTCAAGCTGAACTTGTGTACGAGTTATGCACGTGTCTCAGCACGCGCACGCACGCACGCACACATACACACACACACTCACTGCCAGAACCGGGCACAATGGTCTCCTCCCCGGGAGAGCTAGCGTGAAAGATAATTCTTTCGAACCGCCCAACGGCCTACACACTCTGAACAGGGTGGTGGAATTGGAAATAATCCCATTTACCCGCTCAGAACGTACTTGTAGGCACAGCACATACACAGTAACGAACACAACCACAACCATTGATTTAACGTAAAATAGATAAAAATAGGAAGAAAGAAGGAAATCAGTAGACTTCTTTGAAATTTCAATTTACTTCCTGAAATAGACACACATTTTCTAAAGGAGTCAGGCAAAACAATGTGATTTCAACTTTTTCGGTCAGATTGAATCACTTATCAGTGCTGGACTCAGGGGCAGTACCAAGACCTGTTGCATGTTCTAGTCGGTTCATGACACGCACCAGAGATTTCTTGGCACGCAGTATATCGGCGTCCAGTTGTACATATTCCTGCTGTAGAGCATCAAGATCGGCGTCATCGTCAGGGGCAGTAGTAGCTGCAGCGGCGCTAGAGGTACGCAATGTGATTGCACTGCTACCAGCCCTCGCTGCACTGCTACCCGCATGCTCAATGTCACAGCTGCCGCCGCCGTCACCTGCACTGCCAGTGCCGAGCACCTCCAGCTGGGCCAGCACGTGCATAGCCCGGTCATGGGTAGCGGACAGTTCGTCGCGCAGCTCCTGCTACTGGTGCTCGAGTTGTAGCACTTCCTCGGTCAAGTTCTGCTGCTGCCTCTGCTCGCGCTTACTGGTCTGATGGCCAGATGGGAGCGCGACAACGCTGCTCAGGCATTTGTCACGGCGTTCGCTTGCCTGACCCTGCTGCTGGCGAGAAGAAATGGCTGGTCCGGGAGACTCGTTGCGTAAGATGCCATGCGATTTTGGTGAACGCACTCGTTGCTGCTGTTGCCGATACTGTTTAGCACCTTCCCGACTGTGCCTCTCTTCCCGGCTGTGCCTCTCTTCCCGGCTGTACATCTCTTGCCTCTGATTACTGTCTCGCCGAGGACGTTTTTCCTGGGAATACCGAGAGACTGTCTTCATACGGCCCGCTACATACTGAGGTCTTCTTCGGGGGCTAAGAGAGCGGCGTCCGTTGGAATTATTCCGTCTGGATGTTCGTCTTCTTCTAGGCGAAGAAGAAGATGAAGATTGGCGTATTGATCTATGATTCCGGCCACGGTCACGGCGAGAAGAATTCCGTTCGTAACGTTCATGTCGAGCTCTGGATCTACTTCTTGATGATGATGATGACGACGGTGATGATGCTGTTGATGTGCGTTCTCCTTCACGGCGACGGTGCCTCCATGAGTAAGACATCGCCGGTGAATGGGCCCTGCGGCGGCGGCGTGACAAGGACGATGAGCGGGACCTCCGTCTCTGGCGTGCACGTTCGCTACTGCGATCTCGACTGCGGTCTCGGCTGCGGGCTCGACTGCGACGTATCTGCTGACGATGGTGCTGACACACGTGGCGGTGACGGCTGCGCGTTTCGCCATGATCGCGAGCCGCTGGGGAGCGTGGATGCGAGCGACGTTGGCTGCGCGAGTGCGACTTTGACCTGGAACGCGCATGCTTGCGGTGGTGGCTTGGCGGCGAACGCGAGTTGCTGGTGTAACGGTGTTTGGAACGAGATCGACGATGTCGATGGTGCTGTTCGCTATGCTGCTGTTGTTGTTGCCGCTGTTGCCGTGACGTTGGAGAGCGAGAGCGACTCGGTGACTGTGCATGCCGGTGTGAGCACGGAGAAGCATTGCTGTGCACTGTAGCACGGCGGGTAGGCTCAGCTGCACTTCCCACATGCCCTCCGCTCGGAGAGGACTGGCGTTGAGAACGACCTGGGCTAGATATCTGAGCAGTGCCACTATGTCGTTGACTAGCTTGCTGCTCATCGGCCTGGGTCAGTACAGGCGGGTCCTGCTGCTCTGCACAAGGCTCAACGGCAGCCGTACTTAAACTGATATCCTGCGCAGTCCGCTCCGACTCTTCAGTGCTACACGGTGATAGGCGGCTGGGACTTAGCTCGCGCTTGCATTCTGCAGTGTGACCATCGGAACTGTGTGCTTGATTTTCATGCGAGGACAGCGGACATGCTGCCTCTCCTTGTCCATCGACCGTGGGAGAGTTTGAGTGGGGAGCGTCACCAGTCGCTCCACTAAGTGCAGTCGGACTAGACGAGGACATCAGTGTGATGGTGTGGTCGGAAGTGTTGCTATCATCATCAATATCAATAGTAACTAATGGGTGATGATCGCGGCCTCTTCTGACCGCTGTGTTTGGCGAATACACGGCAGTTACTAACAGACTGTCATCATCTGATTCACGATCAGACCAAGCACTGCCGCCACCACCACCACCACCACCACTGCGTGCTGGTCTTGCTCCTGGTAGCTCGTCACTATGGCCAGGCGTGGACTCGCCACCTGCAGGAGCAGCAGCATGAGCCGGAGTGTCCCAACTGGTGGCGGCGAGCTCCTCGAATATCGCCTGCTGCAGATGAAGCTGTCCAGCATCTGTATAGGCAAGTAAGAAAAATAGATTCCTGGTTGGAGGAAAGCAAATCAGCACACGAAGCACAGAAGCCACTAGGCCTTTCGTACCATTACTTTTCAAGAAAAAAACAATGGTGATTGGGCAATGGTAAAAATTATCTTTGATTCTCAAGTACGCGCCCACCGATTTTTGGCGGCGCACCGACGGATTTTTTCAATTCTATGCGTGCATATGCGCGCATGAAAACGGTCAATGCGAAAGGCATGAATCAGGGAGTAGTAAAATACCGGTATTTTTCTACTCCCTGGCCTGAATATTATGAACATGTGACCATGATATATGTGTGACCCTATCTTTGGAAATAAAAAAATTGTGGGAAATTAAATAAAAAATCGCTCGCTCGCACCGATTTTCACAGGCTCATGACCTGAGAATCAACTTTTTTTTACCATGGCCTTAACAAGGTAGCAAGCAAGTCCTTATAACCGGCACTTTGGCGGTCAGAACGTTGACAAAATAGCACTTTAGAAGATAGCGCTAGTGGCGCCAACTACATATTTGGCGGTCAGAGCATTGACCAAATGGCACTTTAAAAGATAGCGCTAGTGGCGCCAACTACATACCGTAAAATTCCGTAAATAAGCCCACCCTAAATAACGCCCATGTCCGATAATAAGCCCAGTTTTAGGCGGTGTACACTTCAAGTCCGTTTTAGCGCCCATGCCCGAAATAAGCCCAGGGCGTAAAGTGGACTCAAAATGACTAGCGCGCGAGCGTGCGTTCGCGTACAAACTGTAGAAACTGCTTGAGCGTCACGACGTTTTCAGTCATGCCGGTACCTGTTGTGCCTTGTACTTACCATAGCAAGTGGTTTACCTATCAGATCTGTAATTTATCGCTACATTCTTGGTTACGACCAAATTTCCAGCTGTGGTTTGATGTACCTGTACCGCGCTCAGTGTGAATGGTGGTTCACTGAAACTAGTGGGTTGCTGATAGATTGATCTTCTGCAGATTGTGTCCGAAATAACGCTCATGCCCAAATATACGCCCGGTTTTTGACGCTCTGCAAAGTATACGCCCGGGGCTTACGGTACCGTATGTCCGCACCTTTAAAGCCATGGCGGTATATTCGATTATAAAGCCATGGCGGTATATTCGATTATAAAGCCAGTCTCAGTTATAAAGCCATGGGCTTCATAAATGAAATGACATTTGAAGTATGTTTTGTAAAAATGAAGGAATAAGTACTATGCTAACAAACTTACAGCCCAGCAGGTATGGTGAACAAGTGGATTTTGATTGAAATATCTGTGTGGACTTTGACTTTTATGGCATGGCGTAGTGGGTGTGTCATTTTGCATCTAAAATTGCTAGGAAAGCAACGGTATTTCGAATATAAGGCCATGGCTTTAAAGGCGCTGACATACAGTAGTGAAACAATGAATATTACTAGTATCAAACAACAGTGGGGACCACGGTACTACAATAGTGAGGTTCTGCCACACGGTAAAACGTGCCAAAGTACGTATGGAAACTTCGCCGCGGTACGGGATTTAGTTTGATACGGATTTTTTCATACCGTTTTCCGTGTGAAGCGCGCTTCACACGGACTGGACTCCGTGTGAAAAGTGAGCGTACAGAGTACATGTGGCGTTGTGTTCGTGCATGCTTCGAGCATGCTACGTACAGCAGAACCGGTGCAACGTACGAAAATTCCGTGTCAAACTTCACTGCAGTTGACACAGAGTTTGGAACGTAGTTCCGTGTAGCAGAACCTCTCTAATGTCAAAGCAGTGACAAATTTCGCACATACTGCTTTTGCGCACACATTGTAGTACCGTGGTCCCAGTGATCTAGCCAAAGCCGGCTCAGCCGGCAGAATGCAGAATGCCGGCTGGGCTGGGTGACCTCCCAGCCGGCGCTGGGAGGGCGACCTGCCAGCGGCATTCTGCCGGCTGGGAGGGCGACCTGCCGGCTGAGACAGCTCCAAGGGTAGGGTAATTTTGGCCGGCTGCAGTCACCCCCCATGTAGACTGTAGTGCCCCATATCCTAGGCGTAGGTATGTACAGTACAGTACGTAGCACTGGCTACTCAGGCTCAGTGCTAGCTCTTCACTCAAGCTCAAATGCACTTGAGTATGCACTTAAGTACGTCAGTAAAATGTAACAGGTTGGGTCATGGTTCGCTGCTTCTGGTGGTGTACACGGCTGTGGCTAGGCTGGGTCTTGTCAGATGACCAATGTACACTGCATTCAGACATGACATTGGTGAACACATGATCCATGATCATGTAGCTGTTTGCTTTCTTTTTCATATTTTGTTAATTTACCTATAATCACATTCACGTTCACAACTGCCTGATGAATGCCCATACTTGGACGAAGCGAAAGGAGATGCAAGCTGCAATGAAAGATTTGTAGTGGTGGGTGTGTGTGTGTGTGTGTGTGTGTGTGTGTGTGTGTGTGTCTGTGTGGATACGTGACTGATGGCGGGGTCTCCCCCAGAACGATGCATTTTAACTAGAACGTTGGCCGGCTGGCATAAAATCCTGGCTAGACCTCTGGGTCCCCATTGTTGTTTGACACTAGCAAGAGCACATAACCAAGAGTGTGCAACTCCTATCTTGAGCTGCGATATAATTATGTAGTTGGCGCCACTATGTGCACTAGCCCTATCATGCCCACATTTCAAAAATGCACCATACCTCGCAATACACGTTCAGTTTCTCCGCCATCTTGTAGCGAGCGTGGTTCTTCAGTGACCCGAAGGCCGTTGTAGATACATGCAGAGTCATAGCCAGTAACATCAAACGGAGAGCGTGCGAATGACAGAAGCTCTTGCACAAAGAGTGGTGACCTGTCGTGCAGGAATGCCTGGACCTCGTCAGCAAATTCATTCGAGTCCATGTCGATCCTAACAACAGCAACAGCATCAATCACAGCAACAAGAACAACGGCAACAACAACAACGACAACAACAGCAACAGCAACAGCAGCAACAAAAACAACAACAACAACAACAACAACAACAACAACAACAACAACACATCTCTTATCGGCGATGATGCCATCGTGAGAATAAAGAATTCAAAATTCAAACAGCAACAGCAACAGCAGCAGCAACACCAGCAACAGCAGCAGCAGCAGCAACAACAACAGAAACAACAACGCAGAGTACTGTCATCACCACCAGCAGGACCAACAAACACAAGCGCATGACGACGCTAGCAAGCACGTCGATAACAAAACCCAGTACAGTAATACACAAGGCACAGCGAGAAGACAGCCAGACTTCATACACCTAAAAATGAGTCCGTCCTAACAGTTTCAATCTACATAGGTTTGAAGTTGATTGTTCCAACTAGGAACACACGCTTCTTGCCGAACTTGACACTTGACTGACTCACGACTGCCATCCGGAGCACACGAGGAGCACGTCGCACCTTCCACTCGGCAAACCTGCAAGAAAGCACCACTCCCTGCTCAATACACGGTGTTTCGGGGAATTCACCCCTCATCAGTTGAGCTTGAGTAGGCTGAGGAAGATTGTGCCTGAAAAGCACCACTTATATACTGCTCTCCAGGCCAAACCATCACCAGGGATACAAACTTACAGAGACGCTTTGTTTCCAGCGCGACAAACACCTCGTAAAGCTCCAGGTAGCAGCGTGAGTCAGAGTCGCTCATGGAGTTGTGATAAACAGACGTTGAGAGCCAGTATAGCTATTTGCAACGCTGTCACCTCCAACAACTAGGTGTTTGTCGCGCTGGAAACAAAGCGTCTCTGTAAGTTTGTATCCCTGATGATGGTTTGGCCTGGAGAGCAGTATATAAGTGGTGCTTTTCAGGCACAATCTTCCTCAGCCTACTCAAGCTCAACAGATGAGGGGTGAATTCCCCGAAACACCGTGTATTGAGCAGGGAGTGGTGCTTTCTTGCAGGTTTGCCGAGTGGAAGGTGCGACGTGCTCCTCGTGTGCTCCGGATGGCAGTCGTGAGTCAGTCAAGTGTCAAGTTCGGCAAGAAGCGTGTGTTCCTAGTTGGAACAATCAACTTCATGACTATTACCGCCGAAGTCGCAACTTCTAACTACATAGGTTTGTAAAAAATATTGGACAAGGCAAAGCCACACACCACCTACTCGGGGGGGGTTCTTTTTTTTCCGGGGGTATTAAACGGCCCCTGCTCGTTAGTACAGGAGTGCTGTCACTGCTGTGTACAATCAGTATTACTTACCGGGAAACTAGCTTCAGAATGAAGTCAGCGACAAAATTCGTATGCTCCGCATCACCAAGCAGAAGAATGCCCAGGTCACGGGAGAGCCACGGCGCAAGCCGGTGTGTTGCAGCCGGATTATTCCTGTAGAAAGTTGCCGCTGCGACAAATAACACAGGTCACAATCTCATACGCTTGCATTTGCCACAATCACGCACACACGTGTAAGACAGTGCAAAACAGTACCACTACATACGGCTGGTTGCATGTATGAATTACTGCCCACTGTGTTTGCTTGCACGTAGCAACAAGACAACACAACTCCCCAGAGTATCAAACTCCACATAAACTTTCGTCACGTTTACAAAATTGCTTTACTCGTGACGCAATCCACTTAGCTGTACAAAACCTGCATTGGATGCGTCAACCCCGCGTATCGAACACATGCAGAGCTGATTTATGTCATGAACAATTACGTAAGACAGAAATGAAATCATGACAGCTACCCATCGCTGGTTGCACACTCTGGGCAGGTATGTACTCTACGTAACAACAGCAGCGGTGTAGTAGCAGGGTAGGGCAGCGTACCGTGGTGTGGTATGCCTGCAGCCGTCAGTTGTTCAGCCGGCCGAGGCAAGAGTAAGAACAGAGAGATCGCACTATGCCTTGCTGTGTGAGCTGTCCAGGATTGAGCAGCCCCTGTTGGACTTGCTGCGCACGCTGTCGGCATTGACGCCGGAATCTCGAGCAGAGTGGAGCTACATGATAGTCCCTCCAAACACAGCTGCTTCTGCAGCAGTTCCTACTCCCCTTTGTTGCCTGTACGGACATACTCTTTTTTATTGCTCTCTGTTATTCTAGTTGTCTTCGCTCTCTTCAGCTTTACCCAGTAGGGCTTACACAAACACCTGCAACTGGATGAAGATGACATGATTGATGCAAAAGCATAATGGGATTGCACCATCAGGCTGACATCAATGGCCACAGCATCTGAACTCACTGATGTTACGTTGGCGACGAATTCGATCTGGCGGCAAGTGTGTTGTGATCTGATTTGCGTAGACCATTCTGAACACACAAATAAACACACACACACACACACGAGCACACACTAACTTCATCATCAGTCCACAAGGGACAAAACTGCATGCTGTCCCCAGATTGAATAAGTACATGTATGCATAATTACAATAGCATACACCTGGGCGTACACTGACAGCCGCAAGCTGACAATTCCACACAAACAGCAACAGAGGTGCACAGATTTCTCACCTGCGACGCGCGATGGCGGCGTCGTTGCGACGCTGGCGAACGGACACAGCGCCGGCGGCGGTGCCCGCACGGGAGGATGAAGAGGATGCGGCGGCGGTAGTGCTGGACGACGACAAGGAAGTCACTGCCACCGACACTGCTCCTGAACCAGAAGCCACATGGTGTCTAGTATTCGCATTCGTATTTGTGCTGTCCGTCGCTGAAGTGGTAGAACGGTGATGGTCACCTATCATCGTTGAGCTGTAGTGAAATCTAAACACAACATCCGAATACAGTGCACAATGTTCCATCATCTTACATCAGCAGTGCCCAATTGACACTTTAGCTTTTCTTAAACACTCCTCAACCGCGAAAAAACAACAATTATGCGACTCAGGAATAAAACTACAAACTTCACACTCTTCTCTGTCTGCCTGCTTGGCTTTTGAACTGTAAATAGCAGAAGCGCAAAAAGGAAAAAGACTCAAGGCGTATACTGCTATACTTAGCGTTTCAACAAGTAAATGTCTTCATCAGGAAAGATGATTGGTTGGATCGGGATCCAGATCGATTGAGTGGATCCTTTGGATTTCTTCATGCTGCTGATTGTCACCTTATCACTGCGCTGCCCCTGTTTTCACTCCTAGTTTTACACTGCTTTTTGGCACATTCCTATACCCTGTATTTACTGTGTTCTCGTGGGCGTTCAACATCATTTCTCAAGAAGACATTCTCTTGTTGAAACACGTAATATATCGGTGTCCGTCGGAGGTCTTGCTCCTGTTGTGTGGTTCAGCATTATGAGCTTGTAGCTGTGTAGCATGAATCATCTAGCTTGATCTGTGCCGGTATGCCATCATATCGAAAATCAAGATTCTACGAAACGTCAACCTGCCTCTCTCTCTCTCTCTCTCTCTCTCTCTCTCTCTCTCTCTCTCTCTCTCTCTCTCTCCCTCCCTCTCTCCCTCTCCCTCCCCCCCCCCCCCTCTCTGTCTCTCTCTCTGTCTCTGTCTCTCTCTCTGTCTCTCTCTCTGTCTCTGTCTGTCTCTGTCTCTGTCTCTGTCTCTCTCTCTCCCTCTCTATCTCCGAATTTGACTGAGTTTTCAGTCTTCTAGACAAGTACCAGTAAGCATTTTTATTGTGCGCCTTGCTTTTAAGCATTTACGTTGTGGGAAAGACACCCCGGAATCACTGACCTGCGTCCGTCTGGCATTGTTTCCGAGAAATACAGCCGGCCACCTTGGCGTGGAGCTCCATCCTTTGATGCCAGGCCTGGCAAATCAAACTGTAGAGGCAAGTAAAGACAAGGGGTAGAAACGGTTTTAAGTTTAAAACAATAGAGCCCGGCTTTCGCGGGGCACATACTTAAGTACTTGCGTGTAGCCTGCATACACAAATGTATACTATGATGTGTGTGTGTGTGTGTGCGCGTGTGTGTGTGTGTGTGCGTGTGTGTGTGGCGCATGTCGGACGACAGAATACCAAAGTGCGTATTGTTTGGTGAGCTCCAGAAGACGCGCCCTCGCCACGGGCCACGCAAGCGCTGGCGTGACATCGTGATTGATCTAGAGGACCGTCACCGCAATGACTGGTTCAGCCTAGCCGAGGACCGTCGTGCGTGGAGACTGGCCTGAAACACCATCCAGCCGCCTAAACCTGTGTCTCGGGATTTCAGGTGCCACTGCGGCCGAGATTTTCGCCGTCGCCAGGACCTCACTCGCCACTCGAAGTTCTGTTCCGCGTGACTGAAACACTGTCGGTCCTTTCAGGACCTGCCATCATCTCCGGATGGGCATTATTGTATTGTATTGTGTGTGTGTGTGTGTGTGTGTGTGTGTGTGTGTGTGTGTGTGTGTTTATGTGCGTGTGCTGTGTGTGTGTCCATGCATGAGTGCACATCTACGTTCACGTAGCACATGCGCGGCATGTCAGATTAGCAGCTGATTAGGAAATAACGTTGTTTGACATTCAAGTGAGCAGGCTGCAGTAATAACACAGGTCAGTCCTGGCCGGAATACATTATCGTAAAGTCCGTTAACAAGTAAGTAATTTATAGAAGAACAAAAAGGACCAAGCAACTACAAGTAACGCTATAATGTCCCCTAACACCACCAGTTACTAAACAATCAGCTCATGCGATAACATTGCACGACGCTGACCGACGGTACTGACGTTCTACAATTAACTGGCTAACAGCTCTAGCACATCTTGGATGTGAGCTGATTGTTTAGTAACTGGTGGTGTTAGTGGACATAATAGCGTAATTTGTAGTTCCGTGGTCCTTTTTGTTCTTCTATAAATTCGGTGTTGTGGCACAATGATTATAGCCATTTGTCGTCTCCATTCTTGTGCAATCATGCATATGTAGGTTGGTTCTCTTCATGTTCATGTTATTGTGACCTATTTCATAGATGTTGGTTGCCTTGTTGTTTTCTCTCCCCTCTCCTCTCACCCAAGCCATTCTGCATAAGCGAAGCTGTGGACGCAGCATACTGCTGCTACACTTCAACGCGGGAATGCGTATAATAATAATAATAATAATAATAATAATAATAATTACGAAGGTACGTGTTGGGTCGTAAGTATCCACGCAAACACACATCCAGTCAAAATAAGGCACTTGTCAAAGTATCCGAACGTTTTCGGTCCCTTCTCATCAAGGATTATACAGGGAATGGCTCAAGTTGGAAAGACTAAAACTTATATAGCGTAAAGATATGAGATAACAACACTCGTGACAAGGTGGAAAATTATCAAGTTCAGCACGACACAAAACTCGAAGGAAATAATAATAGTGACAAGAACATAGTGAACAAGTTAAGTTACATTGTTAACACCTCGACGAGGAGTAACACCAAACAATTGTAGCGACAACACATTTTCTTTCTGTACGCAAAGTTCAGGATCTAACTTACGGATATACAAAGCTTCTAACACAGCCAGATGCAACGCACATCTACCACGTGACAATATTGAGAACACATTATCACTGTACAACTCACGACAATTGGTACGGGCTGACAGATGTTGCTTGATGGACGAAGTGCGATTCTTAGCTCCGTTGGGTGTTGTCTCCTCCAATGTCCCGTCATCTCGCCTCTTCGCGGCATCACCACTATCCGTCTCTTTGCTTTTCCGCGGCCTTCCACGTTTTCTGACACTAGCCGTTGTGTGCGCGATGCCCAGTGTCCTTTCAGCTACGTCTCCTCCATTGTGGATTTCTATTGATCTTCTTACTCCAACTTGTCCGGTGTTCGATATTGAGGTTCGTTTTCGCGGTCTACCACGTTTTCGAATATTGACTGTTGTTGTCACTTCCGTTGTCGTTGTACGTGCGTAAGAAGTTGGAGTAAGAAGATCAATAGAAATCCACAATGGAGGAGACGTAGCTGAAAGGACACTGGGCATCGCGCACACAACGGCTAGTGTCAGAAAACGTGGAAGGCCGCGGAAAAGCAAAGAGACGGATAGTGGTGATGCCGCGAAGAGGCGAGATGACGGGACATTGGAGGAGACAACACCCAACGGAGCTAAGAATCGCACTTCGTCCATCAAGCAACATCTGTCAGCCCGTACCAATTGTCGTGAGTTGTACAGTGATAATGTGTTCTCAATATTGTCACGTGGTAGATGTGCGTTGCATCTGGCTGTGTTAGAAGCTTTGTATATCCGTAAGTTAGATCCTGAACTTTGCGTACAGAAAGAAAATGTGTTGTCGCTACAATTGTTTGGTGTTACTCCTCGTCGAGGTGTTAACAATGTAACTTAACTTGTTCACTATGTTCTTGTCACTATTATTATTTCCTTCGAGTTTTGTGTCGTGCTGAACTTGATAATTTTCCACCTTGTCACGAGTGTTGTTATCTCATATCTTTACGCTATATAAGTTTTAGTCTTTCCAACTTGAGCCATTCCCTGTATAATCCTTGATGAGAAGGGACCGAAAACGTTCGGATACTTTGACAAGTGCCTTATTTTGACTGGATGTGTGTTTGCGTGGATACTTACGACCCAACACGTACCTTCGTTATTAAAGTATTATCCGCCTCCGACTTCTTGTAAAATAATAATAATAATAATAAATTCATCCTTGGCTTTCCATCCGAGTCCATTCCTGCACAGCTGACAAGTAAGTGCCGGAAATAAACACGCACGAGCTGATTGTCAAGTAATTGGTGGTGTTAGTGGACATTATAGCGTAACTTGTAGTTCCTTGCCCTTGGTCCTTTTTTTGCTAAAAATAAACATCCCTTCATCTTTTCGACTCTGTCTGTTGCAGTCGAGTTTGGCCCGATAAACATACTGCCTGAATTAGTAAGTACCGGTATGGTTCTCACATGCAGAGCGTAGCATGCATGTGTACATGACGTGCATTGTGCATACATGTACTACGGCATGCTCTGGAGAAAAAAACGACTTCTCTGCTACGGGCAAGTCGGGTTTGAAAGTTCGTGCCCGAAAGTCAGTACGGGTGTGACCATTAAATTGGAAAATGTGTACTTCTTAACGGATCTCACCGGCAGTGTACATCCAGCACACTGGTGTAATGCTAAATAGCTTGAAGCACTCACCTGCTCATAATCGTAGATGCTGCGCACTTTGTGAATGATGCTCTTGAACGTCATCTTGCACAGCGGACAGGAGCGATTCACCTCGGCCCATTTCATCACGCAGTCAAAGCAGAACCGGTCTGCAGCATGGAATCACCGCACCAGTCAAGGAGATTCACAAGAACGGTACAACCTCATTGACTGCAATGCATTCAGCGAACAACATGATGGAGTCCCAAGAAGCATCTGCCCTCATCTATGGTGGTAAGAAACCAAGGGTGATAGTCAAAGCGCTAGAGATACCCCACCCTTCGGAACCAAATACCAGTCCTCATAGCTTCTACTTCAAAGTATGTCTTTGAGGCCATCCGTAACCACTATGGACAGTCACTCTAAGAGGATATGCAGAGTCAACACCATAATATGTGCATCGGGGAGTGGTGGCATCTGGGGGAGATAACACAAGACCACAGTAGACCCCGGATTCGGAACTTCTACGTGGTCCATGCTCTGTGCAGGTCCCAATCACAATCGTGCGCTTGACCTACTGATCACAGACGTGAACAAGACCAATGATGCCATATGCGGGTGTGCATAAACCGGCCCTGCCCCAAGGGCGACTGAAACAGCCAGCCTGGGAGCGGAACCCACCTTGTTTCACATTCCAGTCACCCATGTCATCTCCCTAGGTACTACGACACCCCAATGTACATGCCACATACCTTTTAGTACGCTGTTGGCTTTCATATTGCCTACGTACAGTCAGAACTCGATTAACTGGCCCTCTTTTATCCGGATCCCTCGCCATCCGGAAGAAAATCGTTGGTTACCGATTTACAGCATATGCCACGCATACATGCAGTATGTGTGTTCGATTATCCGGTTCCCTCGCCTATCCGGATATTTTCGTGGAAAGCGGATGTGTGCGGTTAAGCGACGTCTGACTGTACTACGTATGCTGCCTATTGGATACCCGAAGTTCATTTTAAGGGTGCACACAACCCAATGCACCGTGGAAATATGTACATGGAAGAGGATACGGAAGCACAAATCCAGGAAACTGACGTCCTTAATTCGCTCCAGACACACTGGACACTGCAAATCCGCTTCGGCGTTCTCCGCATCGCGCGACTTCTCAGCTTGATCATCACGAGGCTCAGATAGCCCCGGTGAGAGTGAGACTTCCATTGTGCGTTGTTCAGTTGGCTGCCTGTACACAACACTACTGCCTGTATTCCTCGGTCCGGATCATGTAGAAGGATGCAAGGCAAATCTTAGGTCAGAATTTGGCCAAATTAATGTCGATCACATTCAGCTACCAGCTGCATGAGAACGCACTGATATAGTGTCAATAAATGACTGCACGTATCTAGAATCCTGTACCAGCTACAAAGCAAGAGTGAAGTTTGTGGACTTTTTTTACTGACTGGCAGCTAGCTGTACCGCAGCTGAGTAGAATTCTATTCAAATAATTCTGAACAAGGTACAAACACATACAGCCACTGCTCGTTAGTAGCTATCACTTATCAGTCAAACACAGTTATGCAAATTGATGCAATGCTATGATGCTGCTCAGCCTATCTGCGCAGGGAATTAGGAGTCACGACTCACGACCAGACTGGTTTCTTGAAATGTCTTGACTTTCACAAAAAAATTATGAAATGCAACAGTACTTTCTATTTGAAAGAGCTGCACACGTACACACGCACACATAGATTATTGGTATTTTGATTGCCTGGTCAGTGCACATGCGCATATGCTGCGTCATGCAATGATGCATCAGCACGCGATTACGATTTCATTTGCATGCTTTGATGTCATCGCTGTTGCTTTTTACTTCATCATTATCAGTTCTTTTACAGTTTACAATCATGTAATAATTGTTACTTGTTGTATTACGTACATGTATGTGACTCTGAAGTCTGGACGTACGTCCGGACGTCTGGTGCGATCTGCTGTATCACTGCTCAGCTGCCAGCCGGCCTGCAGAGTTCAGTCGGTACACCTGGTTCTGCACAGGGGCAGTAGTCTTCTTCCGTGTGCATCCTTCCTGGCTTTGCTTTGCAAATTTGTCCTGCTGGCATGCTAGGCCTATGGACTCGTAGTCTGTGATCAACGATTGCAGAGACTCCCGGTCAATTGTTCGAGTAAAAATACCTCCCTACACAAATACATCTGGAGTTGTTCTCCTAGCTATAATATTAATCATCAGGGAGTCGTAAAATACCGGTATTTTACGACCCCTGATAATCAGGCCTACCCCTGTTACCAGGCAGGTTACTGCATGCTCACGACTCAGTGTCCCACTTCCTGAGAATCCTAAAGATACGACTAGACTTGGCAGGGTGCGTTGCCGTTGTCCTGACTCCTGGGCCCACTATACTACCGGTATACCACAGATAAGAGATATACAGGATCTAGACCTGGCTGGTGGGAGTCATCAGACATCACACATTCACACAACATTCACAGATCATCACCGACATCAGGGTACCCCGGGTCATTCCGGCAGACTACGTCATTGCATTGTTGTCAGGATTTTTTGTTCAAGAATCAAGATAGTAGAAAGTTGTTATTTGAGGCAGCGAGACAGTGCTTGTTGTTTTGTAGTTCAGTGTTCTCAGCCTCAGACTCAGAGGCCAGTTTTCCTTGGAGGGACACGAAGGCTGGTTTAGGGAATTGTGTCAGTTCAGTTTCTGTATCGTATATCGTCTGCACTGCACAATGTTGCGCCCCAGTTTCTTCTGTTGAGCGCTATGTTTCGGGGAAACGTGGTCGTTGATTAGTATAGGTCTGGTACTTTTTATAGTCTGGTCTTGGCCTTGCCAACGACCTGTACGTCTGGGATAAAGAGAGGTGGTTGGTGGTGGTGGCTAGTAAAAAGCAATAATGAGCCTCAGGTCTCTCCAGTCGAGAACTGACCCTAACGCAAGACGAAATCTGACCATTCGAGTCGTTGAAGGAATTGGACTTGCCAAGAAGGACATATTCGGACACAGGTAGGATTGGTAGATGTATGAAGCGCACTTCCTGTATGATGCCGGCTCTACTTACTAGTACTGCCTGTACTCAATCTGCGGACAGCATGCTGTTTCGTTCTTTTTGAACTCATCAGCGCAGCACAGAGAAAATGAGGCCGAACCTGATAGCAATGGAAATAAAAATTTCCAATCAGGCCCGAACGTACCTTGCCAGAGTGCTCAAACTGACAAGTCAGTGAGCTCTGCATAACGCAAACAGCAAAGGCACTACCCCACGCAAGAGTGCTCAACTGCTACAAGAGCAGGAGCGAAATACTCAATCTGCGGACAGCATGCTGTTTCGTTCTTTTTGAACTCATCAGCGCAGCACAGAGAAAATGAGGCCGAACCTGATAGCAATGGAAATAAAAATTTCCAATCAGGCCCGAACGTACCTTGCCAGAGTGCTCAAACTGACAAGTCAGTGAGCTCTGCATAACGCAAACAGCAAAGGCACTACCCCACGCAAGAGTGCTCAACTGCTACAAGAGCAGGAGCGAAATACTCAATCTGCGGACAGCATGCTGTTTCGTTCTTTTTGAACTCATCAGCGCAGCACAGAGAAAATGAGGCCGAACCTGATAGCAATGGAAATAAAAATTTCCAATCAGGCCCGAACGTACCTTGCCAGAGTGCTCAAACTGACAAGTCAGTGAGCTCTGCATAACGCAAACAGCAAAGGCACTACCCCACGCAAGAGTGTTCAACTGCTACAAGAGCAGGAGCGAAATACTCAATCTGCGGACAGCATGCTGTTTCGTTCTTTTTGAACTCATCAGCGCAGCACAGAGAGTAGTACTGCCTGTAGTAAGGCCGTCGCATTCCAGTCCGTATCGTGTGCATGCGTGGAGAATCGCTGAACTGTTACTCTGCACCCCCCTGTAACGTCTTTTCAACTGAATAAGTGAATTTTTGCAGAGTTTCTGTGATACTCCAGGCTTGTGGCGGGTACTGTACTGTACTGTGGTGTTGGGACTACTTACAACTGGGACATTGAGCCTGTAAAGCACAAGTCACGATACCAATAAATTATTATTTTTGCGATACAATGCACAACATGCTGCAAGTTCAATTGAGTTGCGACTGTGACGCGCACGATTTACGATCTTTGATTTCTTTTGCTATCCGAATGCATGCAGTGCACAGTACGTGCACGTTTACCGCACGTCCACCCAGCGTATAAGCTGTACTTTACTGACATGTGTGTTCCACACCGCACGTTGCAAAAGTTGAACTTGAGTCAACGTCTGCTACAGTAGCCTTGCGACTGCATTCAACAGTACACAACGTTCATTTCCTTGTCGCGCATCGCATGTTGCATCGCAGAAAGTGATCTTGTGAATCGTGCTTAAAGGGGAAGTTTAGGCAAAAATTAAAATTTCACCAGTTGTAGTCTTCGGGGTGCTGAGTCGAATGGTCGTGGTCCGAGGAAGCTGAGACGCTCCCTTCCTACTTGAATCCCAATCGAACTCGCGCACTTCCACCGAAACTGGGTGACTGCGCCCTACTAGATGGGGATTTGTATGCAAAATGTCACTAAAAGCGCCATTTCGTTCTTATAAAAGCATGGATGACCGCGATTGGCCCATATGTTGTAGTCTTTTGGACGCTGAGTCGACTGGTTTTGGTCCGAAAAGGCTGCGATGCAGCGTTCCTCCTTTATTCCCAATCGAACATGGTTGAACAAGCGGTCACGTGCTCCTGCGTACACCAGTCACCTGGTCACCGTGCCTGCAGGCCCAGTGCAGGGTACAACTTACTAGCCTGTTTGACCTTTTTTGGGTGCAGTCCTGTCACTCGAGTTGAACCTTGGTGTGAAAGTTGTCGCCTGCTGGCGTGGTGACCAGGTGATTTGGGAACCCAGGAGCACGTGACCACTTGTTCAACCATGTTCGATTGGGAATAAAGGAGGAACGCTGCATCGCAGCCTTTTCGGACCAAAACCAGTCGACTCAGCGTCCAAAAGACTACAACATATGGGCCAATCGCGGTCATCCGTGCTTTTATAAGAACGAAATGGCGCTTTTAGTGACATTTTGCATACAAATCCCCATCTAGTAGGGCGCAGTCACCCAGTTTCGGTGGAAGTGCGCGAGTTCGATTGGGATTCAAGTAGGAAGGGAGCGTCTCAGCTTTCTCGGACCAAGACCATTCGACTCAGCACCCCGAAGACTACAACTGGTGAAATTTTAATTTTTGCCTTAACTTCCCCTTTAACCTCTTTAGCACGATGCTACCTGAGCGCGCCCCACGTCAACACCTGTAAAAGTCGCATTTTCCCATGAAAGTACTAGCTGCTCAAGGATCGATAACTTTACCTTCCCTTGGACGAATTCCACGATCTTGAGCTTCCTGGAAAGGTCTTGAGACGAGGGACAAACTGATGTCAAAACCAGCTCGGAGCGAAACCAAACCCCCGTGCTATAGTCTGGCAAACTTCATCCACGCGCTCGACAGACTTGAGCACGGCCAAGAATATCCGAGCTCAAATATTCAGCTGCCATTTCGGTCTCCTTGCTCGTATCGAGCTCAAATTTTTTGTGAGGACTCATGGGATCCACTACCATCATTTGAATCTTGTTTCCATGGCGGCAGGTAGCGCAAAAATGATCCATGATGGAAAATACGCGTTCTGCAGACTGCGCAAAAAGATCGAGTTGAAATTTGCCGTGTCGAGTCGCATATCTCAACAACCGGTAGTCGCATCGCTTCGGCGATTGTCTCTATCGCTAGCTGAGAGTTTTCTCTTGCAGATAAATGTTTCGATTGTGAGAATCGACCAAGTATTCAGTGAGTTACGATAGTTTGAACAAGTCACTATTGACTCAACACGGACTCCGCGACTATGAGATGCAGGTTCACTGTACAGTGTACAGCGCGCGTCGTACTAGTACGACGGCCGTGGGGCATGCAACTCATGTGCGTCGTACTAGTACGACGCTCGCGCTAAAGGGGTTAATGGCCCCTTATCTCCCGTTTTCTCCTCATTTTGCCTGTGTCCTTCACAAGTCTCCTATGTGATGTGTGCGCTTTGCTCTTCGTGTAGCGACCCGTATGTCCGGATTCGTGTACATGTTGGTAAAACCCGTAACACACGCATTCTTCAGGAGTTTACGACGAAGACAGTGAAAAGGGTACGTTCCTCGTTATTGTCTAATACCTCGCTTCTGACCTGTATTATCATTTCTTGCATGCCACGGTGCGAGCTGTACAATGTGCTGCATGGCTCTGCAATGTAATTTATCGAATTCCCAGCGTGTGAAAGTTTGTTTTTGTCTGTAATTGTAGTGTGCTAATGCTGTTTAATGTACATGTGCTACTGTGGTCTTTGCTCTGCACGTATAGAGCCTGTCACCAAAATGGAACCAGGAGTTTAAAACGATCGTAAGTTCTTGATCTATGCAGATCAGGGGACGAGAGTGCATCCTCTTTGCTCGTCTGGCAGATAATGTGCGTTGGTTGGTAGGGAGGGGCATGTGCTTGTTGTTCTTCCCGTCTTCTGTGACTAGTGCTCTCGTTCTGAACTGACGTCGACTTCCACATGGCCTGATCTCGATGGTTTGCATTTTTCTGTATCTTGCGCGTAGGTGAAGCCGAGCGCAAACATTCTTGCATTCGACGTCTTTGACGAAAACAGAGTGGTAAGGGACTAAACTGCTTGCTGTTGTGCTGAATCTGTTGCTGTATGAGGGACTGCATTGTAATCGCTTGCTGTTGTGCTCAGTCTGTTGGCTTATGGCCTGAGCATTTCCATTTAGCTGAGATCACATCTCGTGGAGATTGTACTGTAAGACATGTTATTATAACGAGTCGCAAATTTAACGGTTGTCCAAAATCCATAGGTTAACGAGAAGAATTGTTAACGATCTTGCAGTATTCCGGCGTATCTACATACAACATACTAGTATATGAAGCAGTACGGCCTCAACGGATCTTATAACGAAGAAATGTCATCCGTTAAAACGTTAGATTTACTTCCTCGTTATATATACATGTGTTACAGTATGATGCAGCACTGTGTGCTGACTGTCTGCCTGTACTCCACCTTAGGCTGCAACCACACTATGTACAAAATCAAGTACGCGTTTGCGTTCAGCTTTTAGATAACGCAAAGTCGCATCCACACTGCCATTTCATGCGCAAGGAATCCTTGCGTTTTGTCTACATTTCTGGGTCCCAGAAAAAATAGCGCTGTGAAAATGTATTGTACTACATGTAGTAGTAGTTTGAAAAAGAGTCGCGAGCGCCTTGACATACACGTTCAAGGCCTCGGTCATCTCCTTCTCTCGGATTGTCCGCTCCAGGCTGTCATCTGGCCCTGCTTCGTCTTCATGGTACGCTGCCCCAAGCTGCATGAGCTCCTCAATTTGAGATTATCAGCGAAATACAATGTAGTTGCGCGGCATCTCGAACTAACAACAGCAGGCAACGGGACTGTCCGGAAATTATACTGAAAGCAAAGCCCTGGCAGATGAAATCTCAAATACTACAAACTGCACTGACAAGGAAGCCGTCTACTACCGACACAGTGCAAGCCTCAACAAGAAACATCTACCCGTATGAAGAACCGAGCGAAACGCAAGGAAAAGGCGAAAAGTTGCTTTCTACAGGGGTACCCGGTTTGCTGAAACGAAACGCAGTACGTTTTGCGTTTCGTACGCGTTTCCTTGACGACACAAGCAGAAAAGTTGCGTTTACGCAGTTTTGTACCTAGTGTGGTTGCAGCCTTAGTGTGGTAAAATCAATCTACCAAGTATATCCAACTACTGGTAACTACAATTACTACTACTATTATTATAATACCTGTATGCACTGTATCACAGCAAAACAGAGAGGTTCCAGGCTGTCCAAGAGAGTGCTCAATACCGTGAGGCAGAGCTAGTTCAAACAATAAGAGGACGGAAAATTATTGTATGCACTGCATTACATGAATCGTTAGCATTGTGTTATGCCTTGCCGCTAAGCACTGCATCTGCCACCTTGCTATATTCAGGCATGGTGGTTGCCTGTCACGAGCGAAACTCCCAAACCTGGTTGTGTCTCTCAACACATTTTGTTGCTGGTGGTAGCGCGGATGTGCAAGTGTTACTCTTTTTTCTAGTGTGTAAAATACAATTTCAAATTTGGACTTCACGGAGGATTTCAAAGTTTTAGGAAATTAGAGGCCACATGCCACGTACTGCTCTTTTCTCTCCGAAACTCAACACTTGCAAGGTGTGACTGATGATTTTTTCTTTCTTTCTTTCATATCTGGCTTGCAAGTGTTGAGTTTCGGAGAGAAAAGAGCAGTACGTGGCATGTGGCCTCTAATTTCCTAGTGTAAAATACTGTACACATGCATCAATGTAATCTCGCACAATCAGACAAGAAGGAACTTTTTTTGTATTGAGCGCACTCTTTAAGAAAAATGTTACATGTGTAGCAGTGGTGAGGCTTCCTGCAGCTTTATTCATAGGAAGAGGTTTGTTGAGCAGACTCGCTCTTTTTCATTTACTCTGCAACGATCGAACTCTTTTACCAATCAATTTTTGCAACATTTCGGCAAAATTGCCCTTATCAGACAGGTATGCAAGCTTGCAATGGAGTAGTTATATTATAACTTATATACATGTGCTTTGTGATACTATGTTGTGCTACATCACACATGTGTGTTGCTGGAAAGTGCAATGTAGTTCTTAGATCCAGGCAGTTACTTGGCAGATTGTGCAGTGATACGGGACAGTGGTGTGCACTATCTCCTAGCATAGCTGCTCATGCAGCATATACAGAGTAGGGAACCGATAGTCTGTGATAGTCTGTAATAGTCGGTGATGATAAGTCGGTGATAGTCGGTGATAGACAAGTCGGTGATAGTCGGTGATAGTCGGTGATAGTTGGTGACAGTTGGTGACGGTCTGAGCTTGTGTATGTATGTGTGGGTGGGTGTGGGCGGGTGTGTGTGTGTGTGTGTGCGTTCGTGGGTGTGCGTGCGTGCGCACGTGTGGGTGTATGCGTATATGCGTGTGTATTTTCATGTTCAGACACGAGATGACTTTCTTGGGCAGTTCACGATTTCTCCTTGTGACTTTGCCATTCCAGTAAGTATTTCACATTTTTCCCTTGTCACCCTCTTTAGTAAACTATGCCGCGTAGTCTTGTTGCAAATAGTAAGGTAGGCAGTACAGGGTCCACTTGTATTCCCTGTCACTGACGTATGGTTGTATAATCTTCGGCTCTTGTCAGTAAAATTAATAACGTTAATGTGTGTGTGTGTGTGTGTGTGTGTGTGTGTGCGTGTGAAGTTAGAAATTACTCCAAGTCCACCCATAGGTTGGAGATGTGGGGGTTGTCAGCCTTCGGGCAGTTCATTAGCCAATTGAGTTCTCTTTCGAAGATTTCTTTTAAATCTCTCTCTCGCCTCTTCCAGGTGAAGACCCACGGGACCAGTTTATGGCAGTGAGCAAGTACATTGTGCAAGTACAATAATGTATGTGTGTGTTTGCAATGTGTCGTTGTGTTGTTTCCCAACCAGACTGAGCCCGTTGGCAGTGCATCAATAGGAACTGAGTTTACGTGCAAACTTATGCCGAGAAGGTGAGTGTGTCCCGAGCATGACAGAGTTGCTGATGTTATTTCCCAAGCTATGCCAAAGGTATACACTGTGCGTGTATGTATGTGCATGTGCGCGTGTGTTTATGTGTGCGTGTGTGTAGGTGTGCGTGTGTATGTGTGCGTGTGTATGTGTGTATGTGTGCGTGCGTGTGTGTTGTTCACATGCATCGCATGACCCAATGATGGAGTGAGTGGCCAAGAGGTGTGTAGATCATTTGTTGGCAGCGACTCACATTGCCATATTCTATGTGTCTGTCTGTCTGTCTGCACATGTGTGTGTGTGTGTGTGTTTGTTTTTGTTTTGTTTGCCTATGCTTGTGCCTGGGCATCTGTGGTCCTGTGTGACTCTGCAACAGCACCCGGTCGACAGTGCGCGGTAGTCTAAAGCTACACCTTAAGTACTCCGACGGTGAACCGGTTTCACCTGGTGGCGTATCACCTCGTCAGGGTATGTGTTTGTGCAGTGCTTTCTTGTTCTTTAGTCGTCGTTTACATGAGTCTTTGCTCGCACCTTGACCGGTGGCCCAAATATCATGCTACGAATATATTTCATTTCTTAGTATGTTTCGTAAGTTTGATTCGCCACGGTCGTTGAAGATGATCACGAAATGTATACCGTTGCTACAAGTAAAACTCGTCACGATGCTAAGTTATAGTGTTTCTCATGGGTCACCAGAGTTTCTAATGATAGTTCGCGCGCAACATGTTAGAATGCGGTTCATAGTACTGACATGTTACAAGAGCAACAGTAGCGGTGCCGAATGTACAGCCTGTACCATTGTACATGCTTGATTTGCAATGTATAGTGCAGTGATGGCTTGGTTCCACAATCAGGAGCCCTGGCTTTCACGCCAAGGACTAGGTAGACATGATGTGGGGAAATTCGAACCTTTGCAAGTTTCTGTTGTATTCCTCTCTGCATTTAGCTTGATCCTCGTAGTTCAAATCAATAAAGAATCCAGTGTTTGGTGCTTGATTTCATCCTTTTCTATAGTGGACGTGGATTGATATGTGATTCTGCCTTCGTCGACTGTATCGAGTTGATATTTCCCCCCAATAGCGGATCCCAGGCAGAATGGTTGTGACTAGTCACTTCATGTGTACCTACCGATGGGCAAAGTGAGCAACAAACAAGAAGTGAGAAAGATAGAGGGAGCCCTAATTAATTGAAAGCAAAGGCGGCAGATCCAGCCCCAAAGGACGCACCATAGATGTAAACAGAGCAGCACCGAACTTCGCACTCCGCTTTTTACGCTCCCCGGAACTCTTTTCCGGGCCCCTGTTTTTCATGTCAGTCTAAATGCGCCCTAGCCAAGAAAGAGTGCTTGAAATAATTACAAGTTGCACAGTACGCAAGAGGTACACAAAAGGAAGTCAAATAGGGCTGTTTCGTTGTTACTCAGAGATTCATGGCAAAAACCAATCATCAGACAAGTTGCACAGTATGGTTATACATGTACTGGGTGAAGAGAGGGAAACTAGTCTACTCCATACCCTTGCTTGGCTGTGAGACTGGGTTCAGTGTCTAGTAAACGTTGTCTTATCTGCGTGAGTCTCACACCACTACTTGTACTGGTTACTGTGTTGTTTGTTGTGACTATGTGACTATGTGTTCTTGTACGGGTAGATGTTTGACTGTGCTGTTCTGTTCTGCTTTGTGTCTATTTGCAGATTCAACACTAAGCGAGAGCCAGTTAGCGGTAAGCACCGAATAGTGCACTTTTGTAGGCAGAGGGAGGGGCGAGAGGGTGAGATGGACACACACACACACACACACACACACACACACACACACACACACACACACACATACACACACAGAGGGATACACAGAGAGAGGGAGACAGAGAGGGAGAAAGAGAGGGAGAGAGAGAGAGAGAGAGAGAGAGAGAGAGAGAGAGAGAGAGAGAGAGAGAGAGAGAGAGAGAGAGAGAGAGAGAGAGAGAGAGAGAGAGAGAGAGAGAGAGAGGAGAGAGCTAAGGCGGCTATGGGGAGTCTGTGTTGTTATTACTATTTACTTCGTGATGGATTTTGATGGATATGAAAACACTTACTTAGAACAGGTCAAGAACAGTTTGTATCGACTACACATCACTGGATGAAGGTAGTTCAGCCTATGTACAGCGTCTTTACAAGAGAAACTGTTGGTGGAATGAACAGAGAGTTCCGCTTGCGTCGCTTTCGCTCGACTCATTTTTGACCCTGCGTCGCTGTTGTCATCTGCTACACGCGAGTCATCATCTCTCTCTCTCGAGTCATTGTTCAGCTCGTTTCAGCCTTGCCTCGGCTGCTTTGATCACACTCCGCTGAACTTGATGTCGCCGTCGTTCAAGTAAGTTGGCTTTCAAGCTGCGCGATCCCTGATCCGCCGCGGTGGCGAGTACTCGTTTCCACCAGGGAGTTGTAAAAATATTTAACGACTTCCTGGTTTCGTCCCCGCTCTCCAGAACTCCGCGAAACGAGGAGTAAAGGCACAGCCAAACTGTTACAATTTCTCTGATGGATACTCCTGCCAGCACTGAACGGCAGCGGCTAGCAAGTCCAGTCGACTTTTCTTAGCCACGAGACTCGCGTCGGACTGCAGACTTCTGAAAGAATGCATGGTCATCAGCATTCGAATCTGGGCTTTCCGCAGGTTGAACTAGAGCTTGAATTCAGAATTATTTCATTGCGCCATGGGTTCGGAGGAGCTCCTTGTTCACTCGCTCATTGTGTGGGCTCACTGCTCCGTTCCATCGCTCTCTATCACTCTCGAGCTCAGTGCTAGAGTAGTAGAGAGGCCAAGCAGCGCATTATCCCCTCGGAGAAGTGGTATTTCAGTTTCGCTGGCCATGACTGTCATCACCTATGTTGCCACAGCGCAACCATCAATTCCGCTCTGCTTGTTGTGAAAGGTCGCTCTCCTTGCATCGTACCTCTTTCATGCCATGCCATGGCCATGCCAGGGAAGCCCGAGAAAGTGATCACGACTCAATTCACGGCAGTTTGTGCGCAAACCAGTCCCTCGAAAATCTATCACGAAGTTTTTGTTAACGAAGGAAGTATATGTATGGGTTGCAGTATTTGCCACTATTTTGGGGGTTGTGGGGTTCATGGTTCTCTTTCTTTTACTCCTGGGTATTTGTTTCTGTTAATTACGTTGTCTGTTGTCCTCGCTTCTCCTTCTTTCAATATTCAGACATGGGAGGTTGTGGAAGAACCGCAGACTCTGCCCCCTGGATGGGAAGAGAAAATGGTATGTCTTTAGTCAGCTAAACAAGCGATGTGCTTATTGGTTACATATCAAGGGGTGCTGTTTTCCTTTCTCTTTGAATCGTGTCTGAGTGAATGAAGTCACTTGTTGGTGAATTACATGTGACCTTTTTGAACACCCTTCTGCATACTAGGTGACATAATTCGCATCTTTTTTGGCGCTACACTCTGCGTATATACTGCTCTTGTGTGGCTTCCACGGTATTCATTGTTATTACCTGACGATGGCCAAGTGCCGAAACGTTGTAAAAATAACGGAACTGGTTCGGATGTGATATGCAGCGCTATGGGAATGGGTGTGTCCACCCGAATTCTTTTCATTTTTTGAACATGTCGGCTGAATCGGTGCGTGCATAATATGCACAAGTTGTCAGCCTTTAGATTGACAGTTGAGTGTAACATACCTGCAAGGGGTGTAAAACAATCTGTACTGTATAGCCGGGCTACTCGATATCCAAGTACAGTACCGCCTTGATGTGGCCCTATCAATCACCATCATCAGCTGGTGCAGTATTATGTTTTAGTTGTACTGGAAGTGGAGTATCACATTCATAAAGAAAAGGTGTGTTATATGTCTGTGTTCTGTTTCAGGACGCCAATGGCCGTGTGTTCTTCGTGGACCATTCCACCCGACGCACCCAGTGGGATCGCCCTGTTGCCTCCGCGCCACCTGCGCAGGGAGGCTCTGTGCCTCCAGCGGCGTAAGTGCATGTATCTGTGTGTGTGTGTGTGTGTGTGTGTGTGTGTGTGTGTGTGTGTGTGTGTGTGTGCGCGTGTGTGTGTGTATCTGCGTGTATCTGTGTGTGTGGGGGGGGGGGGTGTACATGCACAGGTACCTACAGCCAGCCCTAGAGCAGGCGTTTTGAAGTCACAGCGCCTGTTTCACTAAATTTGGTGACGTGATGGCGTAATAATGTGTCATAGTTCGCTCGTATCTGTAGTGTCACAGAGATTAACTTTGAATGGGAGTAGATAAGGAAATAGCTCTCAAATGTCACAAGGCAGTCCGATAACTTGTCAAATTTTGGTATCTGGATCCAAACTGAAAAAATTGCTGGCCAGAAGTTTGTTTTAGTTGTGGCAAAACAAGGAAGAATTAGGCTACTCCCCAACTACTACCATAATTGTAGCGCTTATCTCTATGATGTAACGTATCTGGACAAATGATGATTTCAAGAATCATGTAACCAAATTCAGTCGAAATCCCTCTCTGCTAGAACTAGAGAACGGCTGCTCTGATCAGCGTGGGACTTTCACCATTGGAATCAGCGTTTTCAGCACAAGTTGTGAAGTTTCCATTTTACGTTGGGTGAACTGCCCCTCTAATAGAGCACTTTTCTCGCCAGCATGCCTGAGGAACAAGCACAGTTCTCATTAACCAGAATGTCTTGTTCGTGTGCCCACTTCAACAATAAATCGGAGTTGTTAATCCAGCACCCTCCCTAATCCAGCAGAATTTCCGTGGCATGAATAGTGCTGCCGGGTTGTACATGCCCAGGTACCCTGGTACATGCATGCTAAACACTGTTGTTGGTTGACGGGGTGTTGATTATCACTCCTGAGTCTTTTTCATTAAAGTAGTGTCCCTGACTCCATGCGATCTAGAGTGTTTGTGTGCGTGTGTGTGCGTGTGTGTATGTGTGTGTGTGTGTGTGTGTGTGTGTGTGTGTGTGTGTGTGTGTGTGTGTGTACGTGCATGTGTGGCTGTTGCTTAATGTTCCTACCGGTATATTCATTGTGTTGACATTGTTGTTTACTGCAGTCCTGCCGCGGCTGCACCGCCACCCATCCCGCCACGTGTGCGACGCCAGATTAGCGAGGACGCCAACTCTGCACACCGCTTGTCGAATGCCTCCTCGTCATCCGGCGTGAGCTCGGGTGCATCGTCGTTGCCCCCAGCTGTCTCTTCTCCCTCAGCGGCATCCTCCTCGTCACCCAATCCCCTGGCTCAGCCTTCCGGTGACCCGAGAATCATGGCCGCACTCGCCGGACCTTTGCCATCCGGCTGGGCATCGCAGATGGCACCGAACGGTCGTCCGTTCTTCATTGATCATAGCTCGCGCTCTACATCTTGGGTATGTACTTCAAGTATGCACATCAACACAGTCATTCATGGACTTACTGCCATTCACTGCCGCTCTATAAATGTATAGAGGTGTGCTCCCAGCTAGCGGTGTGCTCCCAGTTAGCGGTGTGCTCCCAGATATGTATTTGTGTTCAGTGTTCTGTCTTCCCGGGGTCCTGACCATTGGCATCAGCATAAGCTCTTTTCTGGCATGTATCACCCCAGTACCAACTCCTCTAGTGCGTCTAGAAGTGTTGCGCTTTGCAAGTCAGTTCTCTGTCCGCCGCCTGGTGATGTCTTTTTTGTTTGTTTTGGCAAGTTTCAGACGTGTGCTCTAATATATGTGTGCTCATAACGGTGTTTACATGTATATGTGTGTGTGCATGTGTGTGTGCGTGTGTGTGTGTGTGAATTGTCTTATGGCTGCAGGTGGACCCTCGCCTGAAATCCTTCACGGCCGATGAAATAGCAAATCATAGCCGTCTGCAGCAAGAGTCAGTTCGTGCGGCGGAGAGAGCGCAGCAGTCTTCTGATTTGGGCCCACTTCCGGTGAGGGTCGATTTCATGCACGGTGTTAATATTAATGGCCTGTGCCAACACGGCAACAGGGAACCCACAATCTAAGAAGCCACGGCGCAGCTGCTGGTCATTTTAAAAACGTTTCCTTGGCGTGAACTAGCCTGGATCTTGCATGCATGCTTTATTAATTTTGTATGCTTGCAGAGATATTGAAATACCTGTACTTGCGAACAATGGTGACGGTTCTTCACACCTGTTGAAGTGATCCGGGCACCGGGCAATCAAAATGGTGGTCGTTGGTTCACAGATTTTCAATTTTTTTCTCGAGAAATCAATCGCTTCTTGACTTCACTGCTGTTAGTGTGAGGAAATCTGTTTTCCGAGACTGGGAATCTCCGAGGGACGTTCTGACGCCTTTTCCGCATGTCTCCTTATCTTTGTGGTCAATGCGTCTAAAGTCCATCTGCTCTGTTCTGTGCTCGTTGCGTGTGTGCGTGCGCGTGGTTTGCTTGTAGGCTGGTTGGGAAGAGAGGCGCACAGCAGAAGGCCGTGTGTTCTACATTGATCACAGTACGTCACCATCTTCACACGAGTGAAGGAGTACTAGCATTGCTTTGTACGATGTGGGCAAGCGTTGTGCCCAGCTTGATGGAGCTCACATGTACATGTACCTACCCCAGCTGCATAGTAGTCTGTTGGTTACATTGAATGCTACTCTAACCTTTGTGTGCCAGGTGCATGTGTCCATGGCTGGTCCTCCCCCTCCTCTATGGGTTCTTCTAGCTCTGTATTGATAAGAAAGAACATTGGCACTGTGTAGATATAGATGGCTATGATTTTGTTAGCATAGAGTGTAATCTAATCTGAGAACGACATCATGCATGTGAGTCTTCTAATGCTGTCATTTATTTTGCGTGCTCTCTCTGTCTCTCTGTGCGTCTCTCTCTCTCTCTCTCTCTCTCTCTCTCTCTCTCTCTCTCTCTCTCTCTCTCTCTCTCTCTCTCTCTCTCTCTCTCTCTCTCTCTCTCTCTCTCTCTCTCTCTCTCTCTTGTAACCTACTCTTCTTCTACAGGTACCCGTTCAACACAGTGGGATGATCCACGATCCGAAACACACAAGCAGGAGAAAGTTGTGAGTGGATTCTCTTCTGAATGCCAGGGTTCACAACTATAGCGTCTCGTCAATTTTCCTCTCCTACTTGCGCCACTAGGCTCTTTGAGCAGTTGTTTTTGGTGCTGGAAACAGAAAACCGTGAATTCGTTGTTGTTCTTTGTGATACAGAGACAGGAACTCTTGCCTATCGGATTATCATGTCACTCTGCTGTGTTCTGCAAGTCCATGCACTGCATTGTGTGTGTAGTGAAGCTGTACAAGGGTATCTGTTTGCATAATGTACATGCACTGCATTGTGTGTGTAGTGAAGCTGTACAAGGGTATCATTCTGTTTGCATAATGTACATGCAAACAGATACCCTTGTACAGCTTGTACTGCTGTGTTCTGCAAGTCCATACACTGCATTGTGTGTGTAGTGAAGCTGTACAAGGGTATCTGTTTGCATAATGCACATGTGTGTGTGCGTGTGTGTGTGTGTGTGTGTGTGTGTGTGTGTGTGTGTGTGTGTGTGTGTGTGTGTGTGTGTGTGTGTGTGTGTTACAGAACGTCCCACAATATTCCCGCGACTACAAGCAGAAGTACGACTACATGAGGAACAAGCTCAAGGGTGCACCAGTGAGTCTCATTCGTAACCACCCAGCTCTCTCTCTCTCTCTCTCTCTCTCTCTCTCTCTCTCTCTCTTTCTCTCTCTCACCCTTACACACACATACACACACGCACCCTCATACTGTAGCGGACATTGAACTCCGTTCAGAAGGCAAGCAGCCATTGGACGCTAGCCTTGCATCCGCTGTGAGCACTGCTGGTCCATTTTTAGTTTTTTACAGTGTGTACATGAACTACATGTATGCAGTGCATGTGCACGCTAAAAGCAGTAAGGGCGCCGTTTTCCATGTCCACGGCAGAATGCTGTATACACACACACACACTCTCTCTCTCTCTCTCTCTCTCTCTCTCTCTCTCTCTCTTTCCTGTCATCTTGATTTGTAGAAATTATATACCGTATAGGCGCGAATAGAAGCCCCGGGGCTCTATTTTTCCAGAAGACACCCAGAGGGGGGCTTTATTTTTTCACCCCTCCCCTTTGATTGCACACATCCGTTTCTGGCGCAGTGTGTTCCCATTTTTGCATGTCTCTACGTTGACCCCAGAGGGCCAGAGCGATCCCGTACCTCAAATATGGATTTAGTGATCCGCAAAGCACACTGTGGTGATCGTGCATACCGTACATGGTTCATGTAGTGCACTGCAACGTACGGACTGGGCGCTCGATTAGAGCCCCGGGCTTTTATTCGAGACGGGGCTGTATTACTTCGAATGCCTCTGAGGGACGGGCTCTATTCGAGAGGGGGCTTGTATTCGCGCGCGTACGGTAACCAATTCTACGCCAGTGTCAAACCTGGTTGCTTCTTTCTTCTTGTTCTTGTGATTTTCTCACCGTGTCCGTGGTACGTGCATGTCTGTGTGTGTGCACATGTGTGCACGTGTGATATTTTGTGTGTGTGTGTGTTTCACTTTCTGCTGCGCAGAGTGGCACGCCAAATCGCTTTGAGCTCAAGGTTCGCCGAAAGCAAATCTTGGAGGATTCTTATTCTGCCATTGCTCTCCTAACCGGAAATCGCCGTGACATCATGAAATCTCGACTTTGGATTGACTTTACCGGGGAGAAGGGTCTTGACTACGGTGGAGTAGCACGGTATGTCACTCAACATCTGCATTAGTCTTTTGTGTGTGGGTTGGTGTGGGTGGGGATGGGTGTGCCATAAGAGAGAATCTGTTGGTGAACATCCGGTGTATTTGCAGATTTACAAATTTTGTACCGACCCTCTCCATAGCTGATATCATTGTTGGAGTGTCAACTTTTGCCACTGTTTCTGTTGATGGGCATTGCCTTAGTCCCATCTCCAATTGACTTTTTGTTTTGCTGTTTGCTTCTTCTCTTTGTTCATCACTTTCCATTTCAGAGAATGGTTTGAGCTGTTGTCGCATGAAATGTTCAACCCGTACTACGGCTTGTTTGAGTGCTCAGCTAGCGATAACTACACACTGCAGATCAACCCGAATTCCGGTGTGTGCAATGAAGAGCATCTCTCCTACTTCAAGTTCATTGGACGTGTGTGCGGCATGGCTGTTTTCCATGGGAAGCTTGTTGACGGTGAGTAGATCACGTTCTCTGCTTCAACTGGTTTGCCCGGGCATCAGCCTGCACATACTCAGCAGGCACTTGAATATCCAGTGAGTGCAGGCCAACTGCTGCACAAGACGCACAAAGCATAGCCTCTCTATCATTATGCGTATCTCTTTCTCCTTCTCTCTCTGCATGTAGGCAAAGGTGTTTTCTATCTGTGTCCGTGTTCGCTTCATTTATCTCCTCTTGTCAGGTTTCTTTGTACGTCCATTCTACAAGATGATGCTGCGGAAGAAGATCACCTTGGCTGACATGGAGTCTGTGGTAAGACTCTATATCCTCCTCATTGGGAAACTCGCGCCTTGACTCATGTTTGTTTTAGCAGAAATATCCGCTGCAAATTTTTAATTCTGTTTTTTAATTTGTATACTAGTAGCTTCACAAAGTGTTTCATGATCCATGGACGAAATTTTGAAAGGGGCCAACTGCCTTTCTTTGGAGTGGGATGAAAAATTTCACCGGCGAAATGTTCTGCTTCTACACTTCTACAGTAGTTATCGTAACCTTTTTGTTTGTTTTAGCTCTTACTTGTTGTTCTGTCCCTTACTGCTCTTTGCCTTCTCATGACAGTAATGGGGGGCTGTTTCTTCTTTGATTTGCTGGGCAGTGTTAGACCATGTTCAAGCAGAATACTGATGTCCCCTGCATGAGTACATGTATGCTCCGGGCCTGAGCTGCAACGGGATGGGTACGCTCCAACAGATGTAGTGGGCATCACTGCACACGTGCTGGCATGTAGTTTCTTTCAATAGTACGTGTATGCGGATAGTCTGTGACTGCTAATTTGTGCATGTTGTACAGGACGAGGAGTACTTCCGCAGCTTGAACTGGATCCTAGACAACGACCCTGAGGACCTGGATGCTCATTTCTGTGTCGATGAGGAAATGTTTGGCCAGATGACAATGAAGGAACTGAAGCCTGGCGGTGCCGACATCCCGGTGACCAATGCCAACAAGAAAGAGTATGTCGACTTGGTGATCCAGTGGCGATTTGTCAGCCGCATCAAGTCGCAAATGGATTCGTTTATTGAGGGCTTCAATGAGCTCATCCCGTTCAACTTGTACAAGATCTTTGATGAGCGCGAGCTGGAGCTGCTGATCTGCGGCATTGATCAGATTGACGTGGACGACTGGCGAAAGCACACACGCTATCGCGGCCGCTACAACGATCGCGATCAGGTGATCGTCTGGTTTTGGAAGGTGAGGGGCATGCGTGTGCAGACACTGCTTTCTTCAGCTCTTGCTGAATCAGATACTAGTACTGCCCAATGGGCAATGGCATCATCCTATAGTATAGGGCTGGGTTGCATGGGGATTTCCAACCCGGGTTGAAAACTCGGTATAGTTTGAAATAGTGATGGTTGTTTAACGTGAAGAAGGTTGACTCGAGGACAATATCAACTAGTTGATATGCCAGCAAAAGTCCCTTTCTAGCACCTTCTATGGTCGAGGGACTAATTTGAGGGCTACTAGTAATTTGCATGTGCAAACCTGGCGTGAAAATGTGTACGCAGGTACCTTAGTGAATTAAGTACAGTATTAAAGGCGGTGATAAAACAGCGCAAAGAAGAAGATAGCTAAAATAAACAGCGAAAATGCGTGTCCTATATACATAGCAATATTGACACAAAGGTGCAATTAGTAATTACCTTAGTACATCTTCTTTATTTCAACCTAGGTCGAGCCCAATGCATTATGTAAGCGCTCAAACTGTGTTCGTGGCGTGTTGAAGGATCTCGTATAATCCCTGCCTGTAACACCAATGTACTGCACACTGCAGTGCCTAAGAGCAAGACGTGCTCCTATCTGTACGCGGATTTTGAATTTCCATTTCTAGTTTTTTGTATGGTGTGTTGTTGTTCAGGCTGTCGGTACTTTTGACAATGAGCACAAGGCGCGTCTGCTGCAGTTTGTGACCGGCACATCCCGTGTACCCATGAACGGCTTCGCTCATCTGCAAGGTCAGTTGGCATGCACGTGTGTGTGTGTGTGTGTGTGTGTATGTGTGTGTGTGTGTGTGTGTGTGTGTGTGTGTGTGTGTGTGTGTGTGTGTGTGTGTGTGTGTGTGTGTGTGTGTGTGTGTATGGCATGGGCCTGTCTGCTGGATGCTAGTCTGTCACTGTGCCATCTGTGCCAGGCCTTGGCACATCACCCCCTCTGCACTTGTCTTTGTGACAGCTGACTGCACAGTGCATGCAGTGCATGTGTGCACATGGCAGCCAGGCTCTCTGCTATCTTGCCCCCACTCTCTCTCACACACACAGGACTCAGGAGTCTATGACAGTGTGTGTAAGCATTCTGGCTGACTAACTGCACAATGTCAATCACTATCTATCCACCACGGCACCAGGCTGGTAGTTACTGTCGCCTTTGGCATTGCGACTGTATGCTGTGCACCAACACTGGCCATGCTATAAGACTGCAGGTGTTTCATGTATTGACAGCAATGCGTTGCTGGTGTAATGGTCAGCATAGTTGCCTTCCAAGCAGTTGATCCGGGTTCGATTCCCGGGCAACGCATTTTTTTACCATTTTGGAATGAACTTTGAGAGGAGTGGGGAGGGTCAACATTTTCTTCTGCCATCCTATTAGGCTGTTATTACACTACGGCTCGTGGCTCGCGTCTAGCTCACGTTTGATCAGATTCTGATGGTTTCAGGTCACGTGATCCAAACGCGAGCCGTGCCGTGAACAAATCCAGACTTGGGCTTTCGAGGGCAGGTCAGCTTTCCGCGAGCTCTGCTGTTAGACGGCAAACGTGCCGCGAGCCATAGTGTAATAACAGCCTTACTGCGGCCTGGCTTGTGTGCTCCTCGGAATCCCACTTGCAACTTGTCTACAATATTGGGCCTAAGTATAATTATTGTTGTATCGTCTGCTTTGCGTATGCACTTGCGTGTGCACTTGTCCGTGCTTGCGTTTGTGTGTGTGTGTGTGTGTGTGGGTCCGTTGGTGCTCTTGTTTGCTCGACTGTTTACAGGTAGCAATGGTGAACAGACGTTCTGCATTGAATGCTGGGGCTGTGAGCGCGACCTGCCCCGTGCGCATACATGGTTAGTTTACGCTTACGAACGTATCAGCGCCTGTGTGTGTGTGTGTGTGTGTGTGTGTGTGTGTGTGTGTGTGTGTGTGTGTGTGTTGTACTACAGTAATTTGTTGCGTTTTAGAAAAATTACAAATTAAAAAAAAAACAGTGCTACAGTCAGACCTCGCTTAACCGCACACATCTGTTTTCCACAAAAATATCCGGATAGGCGAGGGAACCGGATAACTGAACACACATACTGTATATGCATGTGGCATATCAAAAGCAGTGACATCGTACATACATGTAGACGGGTCCTATGCAGTATAACTAGCGTGCACAGTATGTAAAACAAGCGAGAAAAATGACAAGTGCATGCAACTGAGTGCTGTCCGCATGCACCCAGCAGGTCAAGGACCTCATTTGCTTGTACAACTCCCTGATTCTAGCTTCTGCAAGCCACATGCAACCGGATACGACGAAGCTTTTTGTACACATTTTAACCAGTTCGTACACAAAATCATGCACCGGTATGCGGATCGCGAGGTCCGGTTCTGTTGTATGCATAACATATGCTGCACATCGGTAACCAGCGATTTTCTTCCGGATGGCGAGGGATCCGGATAAACGAGGACCGGATAAGCGAGGTCTGACTGTATCTTCGTCTCTCTCTCTCTCTCTCTCTCTCTCTCTCTCTCTCTCTCTCTCTCTCTCTCTCTCTCTCTCTCTCTCTCTCTCTCTCTCTCTCTCACACACACACACACACACACACACACACACACACACACACACACACACACACACACACTCTTTCCCTCTCTCATTTGCGTATGTGTTTGGTAGGGTGTGTCAATATCATTGTCTCGGTTGGTAATCTGACCGTGCTGAAGTAGAAACTTTGGGCAATGTTCCAATAATTGTGTCTAATCAATGACTCAACACAGCCTGTAGCACTCATCACTTTAATCGCACCTTCTTTTTTCTCGTTTCGTTCCGATGTTCAGTGCTTTGATACTCTACCCTGCCACCTATTATTTGATTCCTCCTAAATTTTATTCCATTCAATTGCGGCAGAATATGTCCACAGGTGCCCAAAATTCATTCCCCAAAAAAAGAAGTGACCCTCGATGCCAAAAACTACGCTAAGCCGAACTAAGTGTGTTTGCAGTATTCACAGCGTGGCTATTGTGGTTTTCCTGGACAAATCTGACCAAATGCACTGGTACTTGGGTAGATAGTGTGTGTGGGTAGATAATGTGTGTGTTTGTGTTTGTCTGTGTGTGTGTGCGTGTGTGTGCGTGTGCGTGTATACGTGTTTGTATATGTGCGTGTGTGTGTGTGTGTGTGTACGTGTGTGTGTGTGTGCATGTGTTTGTCATGGGTTTGTCATGTGTTTGTCATGTGTGCAGCTTCAACCGCCTGGACTTGCCGCCGTACACCAGCTATCACCAGCTGCGCGAGAAGCTGAATCTCGCGATTGAGAACACCGAGGGCTTTGAAGGAGTCGACTAAGAGTGGTCGAGCCAGCATTGGCCATATCCGCAGCCGCACCACTGTACTGCTCGCACTCACTGCCAAGCTCCTGGCATTAGCCACCTGCACGTGCACGCGCACCTTTCGCACTCACGGTCACGCTCCTGATCCTGCCCCGAGCAGGTGAGTAGCGTGACACTCGTCTCGTAGTCACAAAAGTAACTGTATTCTCGACCGCATGCGTTTCAATAATATTGAAGATGAAACGTGTGCATAGGCTTATCAATTCCTATTTCCATACTTAATTAACCTGAGCAATGTCTCTCTGCACGTCCACTTAGTCTGCATGATCACTGCTCACACAGCATATCTATTTTCTGCCTGCCTGGTGCATGGGTAGCTCGTATTTCCGCAATGTGCCTTCGCATGCCGTGTCATGTGACAGCATGCGTGCTTCGGTGATCACGCGCTCTTTTTTCTTCTGATCATCATTTGGTGTGCGCGCCTTTTCGCTGCCATTCTTCGCCCAGGGCTGTTTTTAGCCTTGTGCAACCGCTGCTTCCGCTCAACGTTGCCTTTCCTTTGCCGTGTGCCCCGAGGCCTAGCAGAGTATGGAGAGTACTGTAACCCGTCAGTTTTCTGTTCTTGCTCAAGTGTTGTCCTATGTGAAGCCAGTTATTGCCATTACCGAATCATTTGGTCGGGGTTTTCTTCTTGTTCTCTCTCTTTTTTTCAGTCGGTGTTGATAATTCTCGATGTGCATGTAGTCAGACTGGTCTCTGCATGTGTAATTATAGTGTTACTTGTAGCTGCAGTGATTTTCTCTAGGTCTGTACTGGTAATGAAACCACTCATAAACTGAGGGTCGGTCGATGTATTGTATTTTAAGCTGATTGTTCTCCGCTGTTGCTTATTCCTGTTGCTTCTTTTGCTATTGTGGCGTTTCCTGTTTGTTGTGGCTGAGTTTGCGTGCCGCTTGTTTTGTTTACTATTTAATATTTTTTCTTTCTCGTTGCCTTTCTCGTTGCCTCCTCTTTGCTACCGTATTCGCCGTGAGCTTCCTACCTACGTATCTCCGCTGTCCATAGATGCTCCTTACCTCCTTACTTGTCACCTGCGCTAACCCTGTCCCTAACTCCCTTCGGGGTGTCACTTTGGTCTCTTCCCTTTGCGCTGCTTGATGAACCGATAACCAGCCATGCGTTTGTTCTTTTGTTTTTTTGCCGTCTCCTTACATCCTACTGCTGTTCATAGTATCAGCATTTCGAGTCCTTTCCTCCCTTTTTTAGTTATTGAATTTACGTTCTTTTGTTCAAGTAACACCATCATGTGCTCTGCTGCAACGGAATAACAAACCGATTGAAAAGTGCTATTTGGTCTTCACTTCAGATTCCCTCTACAGTACTACCTGCAACCATCCAAACTCTGTCCTGTACTGTATTGTACTGTAGCGTCTGCTCGTGACACCTACAAATAGGCTACACCTTCACTACATACATGTACATGTAACGATGGTAATTGAAGGCAGTATTGTAAGTTACTTTCCAGATTCATGCCTGTACGTACATTTATGTTATGTACAGGGGCAGTGTGCCAGCTTTCAATGCCTGTGATGGGCAAAGCCCAGTACGCAAGTGACAAGACTCCAGAGACACGCAAAGGAAATGAACTCTGAATGCTGGCATGGTTATTTTTTAAACAGCCAATCAGCAAACAGCAGTGAAGGGCATTGGTGCAGTGCAGGTGGTATTCTGTTGAGTAACGTTAGTTTCATGGTACAGGTATTGTATACTCCTCCTAGGTAGGTGCTGCTATATTCTTCGGGGAATGTCCAACACTGTTTCCATTGCAACAATCCTCCCCGGAAAGCCGTAAGGCCAGTATCACTTGGATATTCCCTGAAGAATATACATGTACATGTACGGTACCAGCATCTACCAAGAAGGAGTATACAATGTATCATGTACCATGAAACTACTCAGCAGAATAATTTTTACTTCGAAGTATGTAATTATCACTGCTTCCAATCCCCTTCACTGTTATCTGGTGATTGGTGATACTGAGTTACAGCCTTCAAGTGACTTTCCTGTCACGGTCACGGTTCCTCTTGCGTATTGTGCTGAAGGCATACATGCATTGTACATGTACAATGTACATATACATACAATCATGTACATACAATCAGAAATGTGTTATTTTGCCCGTACAAAAGAGGCTGGGTGAAATCCGAAAAAAATTGCACACATACATACATAAGAAAGGGGTTGCTCCCCACACCGGAGCTCGCGCTATTCCGCCGACTTTACTTGACACTTGACTGACTCACGACTGCCATCCAGAGCACACGAGAAGTCCATCGAACCTTCGACTCGGCAAACCTGCAAGAAAGCACCACTCCCTGCTCAATACACAGTGTTTCGGGGAATTCACCCCTCATCAGTTGAGCTTGAGTAGGCTGAGGAAGATTGTGCCTGAAGAGCACCACTTATATAGTGCTCTCCAGGCACAAACATCACCAGGGATACAAACTTACAGAGACGCTCCGTTTCCAGCGCGACAAACACCTCGTGAACACCAGATAGCAGCGTGAGTCAGTGTCGCTCCTGGACGGTGAGACAGACGTCGAGGACCCTCGGTCATTCGCAACGCTGTCACCTCCAAACCAACTAGTCGCAAGCTCAAACTGTGTATTGAGCAGGGAGTGGTGCTTTCTTGCAGGTTTGCCGAGTCGAAGGTTCGATGGACTTCTCGTGTGCTCTGGATGGCAGTCGTGAGTCAGTCAAGTGTCAAGTAAAGTCGGCGGAATAGCGCGAGCTCCGGTGTGGGGAGCAACCCCTTTCTTACAAATCATCGCCGAAGTCGCAACCACTACTTCGTACTGTTGTGCCCAGCGCGGGCTTGCGACTAGTTGGTTTGGAGGTGACAGCGTTGCGAATGACCGAGGGTCCTCGACGTCTGTCTCACCGTCCAGGAGCGACACTGACTCACGCTGCTATCTGGTGTTCACGAGGTGTTTGTCGCGCTGGAAACGGAGCGTCTCTGTAAGTTTGTATCCCTGGTGATGTTTGTGCCTGGAGAGCACTATATAAGTGGTGCTCTTCAGGCACAATCTTCCTCAGCCTACTCAAGCTCAACTGATGAGGGGTGAATTCCCCGAAACACTGTGTATTGAGCAGGGAGTGGTGCTTTCTTGCAGGTTTGCCGAGTCGAAGGTTCGATGGACTTCTCGTGTGCTCTGGATGGCAGTCGTGAGTCAGTCAAGTGTCAAGTAAAGTCGGCGGAATAGCGCGAGCTCCGGTGTGGGGAGCAACCCCTTTCTTACAAATCATCGCCGAAGTCGCAACCACTACTTCACATACATACATGTACATGTTATTGTACATATGATCAAGAGTACATAACCCTGTACTCTTGATATGATACATGTACATGTACACACAAAAGGCCCAACGGAGGTTGCTATTGTAATACTATTTGTACAATAGTTAGTGCATGGCAGGGAGGGCTATTTTAGAACGAGGTTACAATTACATGTACATGCATTATTTCATTATTATTAATTTTATTATGCGTACAGTACCCTTATATTCAATATTGGGTAGTTGTGTGGTTTGTGTGCAGAGAGAATTGGTGTGGTAACTCAGCACCACTGAGAACTACACAACGGAGAATAGAAGCAAATGAAATGCTCCGCTCTTATTGCGAGCTTCATTCTTACATTCATACATGTACATGTACATGTAGCTTGTGGAGCTATTTACAATTGTAGGAGCCTCGAGAGCCCTTTTCGATGTTGTACATGTACCTATAATGATCTTCGGGGTTTTTTTTTTCGGTCTTCGATCTTCGGTTTTATAGGGTTCGCAACCTGTTGACAACAGAAAATCGTACAGATGAAAGAGCACGGGAGAAAAACCGTACACACTTCTGAAATGTGTAGCTTGTTGTAGTATAACCGTACCCTTTTATGCAGAGTTCATTATCTGCATCGTACTCTAATGCGTACAGGGAGTTGTACGCTGCTGTTTAGAGTATATTCACTGATTCAGCGGTGAACAAAGAGTAGTAAAATTACGATTGAGCGGGCTTTAAACTCTGATAAGGCGGGCTCATGCCCCGACATGGCTACTTCCCCTTGTCTAGCCCCCAAGACGAAAATGATAGTAGCCGACTGGCCGAAATTAAAAAAAAAAAAAAAAAAAAAAACTCTGATAAGGCCCTTGGCGGGAACCTCACTGATTGGTCGTAGCCTGGACAACATGACAGACCTCGTTCTAAAAACTGATATTACTATCATGGGTGCTGGCAAGAGTCCATTATGTACTCTTGGTGCTGGCAAGAGTAGATAAACAGGTTATGTACTCTTGGTGCTGGTCATAGCGGTTTTGTGGTGGAGTGCAGAGCTAGCCCGTTCACCTGGCTGTTTAGTCTGACCAAGCGTACATGGTTATAACAAGAGTCGTAACCATTATGTACTCTTGGTTATAATAATAATAATAATAATAATAATATTAAACTTTATTAGGATATGAAAAGGCGACGAGGAGACAATAACTTCATCAATGCGATTAATAGTATTAGTGAAGCGGACATTACAAAATGATGAATGAGAATACATGTATCTAAAATGGTTGTTCCTAATCGATTTTCTTGAGACTATCATCAGGGAAAATCGTCTCACAATAGAGGCTATACGGAGAAACAAACTACTTACATGTATAGGTTATTGGATAGTGGGAAGTATACAAGGTGAGGTGTGAAAAAACTAAAGTGGGAGAGAAGACGAAAGAAATTAGAAGAAAGGATGTGAGAGTGTTCCCGACGGTGTGAGCTACTACATAAGGTGAGTGAAATGAAGGCGTGGAAGCAGGTGGATGTGATACAGTGAGGAACTGTGAGGTGTAGGTGTATGCGAATGAATACGTGTGTGAATGCTAGGTGAAGAGTCTCAGTTTTGTGACATTTTCTTTCTGAATGCATAGATTAGGATTGTGTTTACGGATGAAAACAGCTTCTAATAGGATAACCCAAAGGCAAATCGCCTATCGAGGGGTTCACCGCATTGAATGGTTGTGGTATGACAAAGCAAAGAGGCAACCATTGAATTTGTGTGTGTGTGTGGGGGGGGAGTTTCGAACTACATGTATGCACAGTGAATTGTATGTCCATGTACATGATTGTACATGTACAATGTCATGTACATGACCAAGGATAGGGTGTACCGGACAAAGTATTAGTTGCCATTTTTGGGAGCAACGGATTGGGAAGTATAACAGTATTGGGGTAATGAGTTACATGTACCGGTACATGTAGTATGTACCGGTACATGTACAGTGTACATGACATTGTATGTACTCTTCGTCTGACCTACATGTACATGTAACTGTTTCATGATATTGTCTGTATTTTTGTTGTAGCAATTGTGCTATTACCGGTACATGTAACTAGTTATAATGTTGGTCATGACTTGATGCAAGTTGATGGTTGACTTACTCGTTTTCTTTGTTTGTCTTTAAAATATCTGGTTTTTCTCTTGTCTGGGTTGTTGCCTGTTGGATGAGTTGGGTAAACGGTGCTGCTTGGATGGTGTTTGCGGATGCAGGTTTACTCTTTGTTTTGGTATTCCCTAGTTGACTTGATTCTTTAATCTTATTTTCTACTTCGAAGTAATTGGATTTTCCTATTTATTTGATTTGATTTTCCTATCTACAATGTACATATACATGTACATGTACATGTACTTGACTCATGACTGGATTTGTCACCCCCCCCCCCCCCCGTTGCCTTCTTTGCTTGCGCTTTTCGAATTCTTCATTCCGACACCCAGTTTGTTATCAAATAAAGGCACTTGAAGTTCTCAGTCAGACGGAGTCCTGATTCGTGTAAGTAAGTATTAGTTTAAACTAAAAGTGAAACTTGAAAGCCCTTTCACGACTCCCTGACCTGCTCCGCACGACCGCAGTGCAGGTACAGACTAGGTAGTAGGTAAGAGCGACGTCAAAATAATCAGCAAAGTCTGATATCTATGAGTATGACTATGACTGAGTATGACTCTGAGTACCGGTACTTCAAGTATGAGCATTTCAATCTGGATATCGCTGTGCATGTACATGTACGTCCCAGTAAGGATGAATTATTTTTATGATTGTGTCGGCAAGAGCTGCAGTTATAACACCGACCTGTCACACACATACAGCGACAGGCATTTACTCAGCCGCAGAAAAGGACCGCTTCGACAGGCTGAACGCGCTCAGCTGACACTTGCTGCTAGCCAGCAGAGACGAGAAAACCCGGCTAGGCAGCCGGCGATTCGTGGCTCGCAGTCTGCAGAGATCCTGGCACCTGCACAGACTCCGTGCGTTCAATCGCTCCTCACAACGGCCGAGACCATGCTTCAGTGTGCTTGGCTTGGCCAGAACTTACTTGGCAGAAGCCTTTACCTGGTAGTAAGCATTGCCATTAGTCACTACTAGTTACTGTCTGTAGATTCATTTGGGCTGCCGTGAAGATATGCCACATGGCTCTTCATTCAAAGAAATACATATTGTACATCTTTCACTGATTTCCACGATGGTCGCAGGTCACATAAAGTACACAAGCATTATGAATTTATGATTCATAATACACATACGTACACGTAGTCGCGAACAACGTCTCGAACAGGCAACAACAGGCACCGTGGGATGGAGAAAATAGTATTAGTATAGCTTTATGCCTATTGACTATTGTAGGCTACAGACAATCCACTGATGATGGGGTTACATCATCACAATTACTCCTTACACCACTGTAACCAGTACCGCGTACCCGGCCGTACATCATATACTATAGTTACTACGCTAGCTACTTGTAAAGAACTCTTCCTCTCCTCTCCTCCATGCGCTCTCACAGCCGACTCACTGCTACCCTCAGTAGCCATTACACACACCAACCAAGGAAGGGTTGCAGGTAGATACTGAAATTCCTCCTGACAGCTGTTTCGCCTTCATAAGGCTCATCAGAGAAGGTGATATTGAATAGGATGATATCAGGTGGAGATGGTCAGATTTATACTGCAAAACATGGGCGCAAGATGACGGGCAAAGTGTGAGAATGAGAAGTTACAATTCTCCAGCAACACAGTGCCAGGGGTTCCAAGAAAATGGCAGGTGAGTAATCCAATCACAAGCTGCTAACCTCTCCAGCTCCAGCAACACATTGCCAGGGGTTCCAAGAAAATGGCAGGTGAGAAATCAATAGTACTCTACTGTCTTTGTTTGGTGGCTCGCCAAAATCCTTTTAAAACTATCACCTAGCCGTTAGAAAATTAATGTTAGCAGCTTGTGATTGGATTTCTCACCTGCCATTTTCTTGGAACCTCTATTATATAAATAGTAATACCACGAGTTCATGAACTTTTGGTAATACCAAGAGTACAATCATGTACTCTTGCCGTCTTGGTAATACTGAGCGTAGCCGTAGGATAAAAAGCAACCACGGTGCACCGGCGCGGTGGTGACTCGTAGACTCGTACTTCAAAGGGAACTGCATTTTCCAAACGCTTCGTATACGGTATCAGATCTTGCAACAGGCCGCCGGCGCGCCTCGGCCTCCATCGATCGAATGTCCACGCGCGAACAACACCAGGACCCGCCGTGCATGCATGCACGAGCTTTTTAATTTTATGCTATATACGTGCATGCGCTCTTGCAGCATGCACGCTGTTGACCCGTGCACGCATTCAGCTAGCTAGCTCGATATACGCGATCTACTCTATAGTACACGTAACAAGCGTACATGTACTAACTAATACTTGCCTCGAGCACGTGCCACATCAGCTGGCTAGCGGCAAAGCTGCCTTCGGAGCTAGCATCCTACTCCTAGCTACGGAAAACGAACCGTCAAGGTGACTTGAGCAGCGACAAGCATTCACCACCACTACACCAGTCAGTTCAAACTCGCATTGTTTGAGATCTGGGTGGCGATTCGAAAATTTCGTTTCTTGGTGAGGCCGAGGGGTGTTCTGTCCATCAAGGCAAGCTGAAAAGTTGAAGCAGAATCGTGTACTGATGGAGTGGAGAGATTACAAATACAAGATCTAGGAGCTGGCAATGATTAGTCAACAATGGAGTCCTGAGAGTTGAGTGCCATACTGAAGCGGAAGCGGTCGTGACTGAACGGACATCCAATTAATTGTCATACGGATTTCAATACAGTTCTATGAAGTTCTAGGTCGGAGTGTATTTATCGAGGAGAATGGCGGGAGCGCTGTCATCAGTGGGCTTCCTTGGTGCTGGCAAAATGGCCCAAGCGCTCAGTAGAGGCTTCATAAAAAGCGGTAAGCAGCGTGTGTTGAGTGCCTTTTTGTTCGTTACCGACAAAAAACAGAACCGTGTGTTTTCGGACGTTTGCCATGTAGCGTGTTTCCAAGAAAGTTTCATTGTCAATGACATTTTCCGAAGCAGGATTGTTTATCCTTAGTTGGTAAAAGTCACCATAGCTTATTTTATTGTTTTCTTTGTTCTGCTGGCCTGTAGGAATTATTGAAAGCACATCCATTTTGGCCAGCGCTCCGCAAAACACGTCAGTCAACCTCAGCCTGATCAAGGTGCGTGCGCGTGAACTCCGGATAATGCATGCCATTCATATTGTGGTGTCACGTAACGGCGCGGCACCGCGGTAGATCTACTGCTCACAGACTCAGTACATGCACTGCTGACAGTACTGAGTAGTAGTAGTAGTAGTACATGATTGTACTCTCTATAGTGCTGAGCCCGCTGTACTGGCTTGAGAACTGGTGCTTCTGTAGCACTCTGTGCTCCGTACGGTTCAAATTGTGGACATGTGTCACTGTGGGAAACTGAATTTCCGTAGCTTATAAAAGCAACCACTTGTGCCGTGATAATGATGAGTGCCGCCATGTCCCCGGCACCGTGATAATGATGAGTGCCGCCATGTCCCCGGCACCGTCTAACTTACAGTACTGGCATGTTGTGGCAGCGCCGTACACAGGGCCGTGACGGCGCCGTACACAGGGCCGTGACGGCGCCGTACACAGGGCCGTGACGGCGCCGTACACAGGGCCGTGACGGCGCCGTACACAGGGCCGTGACGGCGCCGTACACAGGGCCGTGACGGCGCCGTACACAGGGCCGTGACGGCGCCGTACACAGGGCCGTGACGGCGCCGTACACAGGGCCGTGACGGCGCCGTACACAGGGCCGTGGCGCCGCCGTACACAGGGCCGGGGTGGGGGACCTTGTCGGGTTGGTCGCCGACCCTGACCATTTCGCTTCCAGAACTCCCCTTGAGTTTGCTCGGCCCGACCACTGGAAAACTGCTTCCACGGCTGACGGCCTCGTAAGGGGGGGGGGGGGACTATTGACTAACTATGTCACTTGCTGGCTTCAATGAGGTGTGCGTATTTCCCGCATTTGCTTCATTTTTGTATTTTTCTTTCAAAATGATTCTGGTTAAGATTCAATCAACTATCAAATCTTGAAACTGGTGAAGGAATCCCACAGTGAACTGCTATTGCTCCAGTATTGCTTGGGACAGAATCATGTCTCTTTGCGGACCGTGAAATATGATTTGCATGGCACCTGTTGCGTCAGGTGATAACATACTGCGGTCTAGGGGTCTAGAGCTTTGTACCCGTGTTGTGCCATGGCAGCCAGGGTGCTGGCTATCTTGCAGGACAGTTTGGACAGGTGTCAGACTGCCGAGTAATATGGCGCTGGACTGGGGGCTGGAATAGTGCACGGGGTTGGACACGCATCTGGTGCCTATCAGCTACCAGCCCGTCAAGTCTGTTTACATCGAGATGCCGCTTTGAAGTTTGCTGCTCTGGGGGCTCAGTTGAGTTCTGATGCCTCAGTCTGTGGTGGTTGTCAACTAGCTGCAGTAGATTGCGAGTGCTTGCGATGACGCTTCAAGCGTCAATGCCTCATTTGACATGCGCACCAGCATCAGCATCAGGATTCTTGATAGAATTATAATAATATTAGACCGCCATGTGTTCTTACAATCGGACATCTGTGTTTGTATGGCTTTGGTTTTCCAAGTCAATTGTGTCTTTGCATTTTCTCATAGTTCGATGAAAATATTCGTACACCTCGCAATTTCAGTCTCACATGTTCCGGTAGACGGCCCGGGCCGTGAGCAATTCCAGTGTGTTCCTTTAATACAATGACTGTTCTCATTGTCCTGCTGCTCCTGTATATTGTTACCTGGGATGTTGTTATGCGACACATGGGCAGCAACGATTTTTTAACTGTGTGTGCACTGTATTCCGCATACCCTGAGTGCTGATTGAGAGATTAGTTCACCGGGGAAACGGCTGATTTGTAACTAAACTTGTGCTCGAATGTGAGCCTGTGTCGTACCGTATTTTCCGGAGTATAAGCCGCACTTTGAACACTCAACATTCAACATTCAACAATAAAGAGGGTGCAGCTGATACTCCGATGATCAAATTAACGGTGATAAATAGGGTGGGTAGATGTCTGTATTTCGTGGCAGAAAATGGGGGGGGGGGGTGCGGCTTATACTCCAGTGCTGCTTATGCTCTGGAAAATACGGTGATTGCTGCAATGCATGCGCTGCTTAATCTGTTCGAACTTGTGTGTGCTTTTCGCTCTCAGGATCTAGGTGTGCGGACGACGACAGACAACCGAGAAGTCGTACGGAATAGTAACACGGTGTTCGTATCCGTGAAGCCCCACGTGGTAACGTCTGTGCTGGACGAGGTGGCGGAAGACGTGAACAAAGACAAGCTAGTCGTCAGTATAGCGGCCGGTATCTCTCTCAAGGTGCTACAATCGGTGAGTTCTTGCCTAGCTGTTGCCAGTATTCCCATGAACAGGCGCTCATTGCCGTGTTTCCCGCAAGATGACAGGCCACGCTTTAAACACCAGTGATGCAGTGAAATTCATCCAAAAATTTAAAAATGTCTGCGGCTTACACAGTACCATGGTCAAACTAAACCGGTGATACACACTGTAACACACTGTAACACACTGTAACACACTGTAACACAGGGTAGATGTCTGTATTTCGTGATTAAAAAAATCCAGGTACTCCAGTGCAGCAAAATACGATGCTTTACACATGTAACGTGCATGTCTCTCGGGGAGGGGGGGGGGGGAGTATCAATCATGCATGGGGTTTGTCCATGTGCCCCAGCAACAACCTACATACTAGTGCAGCGGCACAGATTACTACTGGCCACTGTCATGACTGACCGGAATGCATGGAGATGGTGTAGACCAGGCAGGGTGATGAGGGTATTCTATCTGGCTACTGGCCGTGCATTCCGTCCGAGATATGAGCTTAACAGTTCTCTATCATGCAGTTGACTTGTGTGATGATGAGGAACTGTGTTGGTGTGGCAATGCCCATGCGAACATCTACTTCAGTGTCATGTACTGCACAGGCAGAAAATTTCGTCGGTCAAGAATTTCGTCCAACTCCAAAGAAAGGGAGTTCGTCTTGTTGAAAATTTCGTCCATGGATCATAGGAGTGTATTGAAAAGCTGGACAAATGGACATTAGTCCGGCAGTTAATTTAGACCGAAAGCTCCTCGGACGAAAAAGACGAAATTAAATTACCCAGACGAATATTTCTGCTTATACAGTAGCATTGTAGGTGACATGTTTTCAGCATGACAGTGCATATACCAAACAGCACATACAGCACATGTAGTAGGGGTACATGATCCGCACACTAAGGCTGGTACAGGGCGTTACTATTGTTAGTGCTGTTGGTTAGGGCACTGTGACAATGTCAAGTCGTGTTTAGTTAGTCGAGGACAATTTGCGTGATGTGTGGTGCACTGCAGCCATGTCATCATTGCATGCTACTCCTACTCAGCTCAGTGTTGTGTACCAGACTGTACTGGCCTGCTGGGGGGAAGGGATAAGTGCTATATGAAGTGGTTAGGAAGTGTGCCATGCCATGACAAGGCAGTTAATTTCCCCATGCTTCCGCGGCGTGGGTATGCAATCAGCTGATTTTTTTAATTTGCCCCAGTGCAGTATGCATACTCGGTCACATGACTGTGTCACGGTGTGCACGAACATCATGGGCGTGAAGAATCCCCGTACCAATATGTATATAGAATGGCAATGAATGAAACAAATTATGCAGTCATAACAATGTAGAAGATAAAATATGCTAGTTTCCAAAACGTTTTCTTGTTACACTCATCAGTGGAAAGTTGTCACTAAATTAGGATTAGCATTCCGCACACACAGACGGCATGCAGACAGGCATACACCACACGAATAAGGTTAGGTTGTGTTGGGCAAGTACTGGTGACGAGGAACTGGTTGGTCTTTGCCGCAAGGTAGGCACGAGCCCGTGAGGCTGCGGGTGCCGCAGAAAGGCAGAAGCCCGGAGGCTGTGATTGCCGCAATGGAAAGGCAGGACCATAAGGCCATAATGCCGCAATGGAAAGGCAGACCAGTTTTGAGTGACTCGCCACCAGGTTTATTGTACTTGAAGTAGGAATGATGCAATGTGGTATTAATGGTTAGTGGTGGGATGGTGGGTCAGCAAAAGACAAAGGCAGCAGGATGCAAGTCGGGCATGAGCCAAAGCAGAGAAGACTCAAAACTGAGAATGGCAAGGAGATGTGCCACGTTGCTGACTCGAACCCGATCAAAACTGAATTAATTATTGTGATGGCGTATGCATAAATGTGATGTAGAGCAGGCAGTCTTGCCGGTCGCGGCAAAGCGCGCTAAACAAGTGACGCAGCCAGAACAGTAGAGGGCGCTGTTGCGCAGCAGATACGTAGTTGCAAGATGTGCGCCTACGCTAAACTGAACTCATTACATGAATACATCAATAACCAAAACAATCAATATTAGTGGTGAAACGAATATTCGAATATTCGAACATTCGTTCGGTTTGTCACATTCGAGTATTCGTTACGTCACTTCGAACGCAGCGCATGTATATACAAGCACGCCGAACACATATACAGTGCAGTGCGTACAGCCCGCCTGTGACTTTGTACTCCATGTTTTCTCATGCATGTGCATACTGGACTGCCAATGTTGTACATAACATGTATGAACTTCGAAGTAGCCTTAGGGGTCATCCATAAATATCGAAGTTTTTTCACAAAACGAAATAATTTCGTTATGGTGTGGGAGGGGGTTGACCAATTTCGTTTCAGAAAACATTGATACATGTGCACGGCCATAGGAGCAGTGACACACTTGCGACTTTTGCATGTATTATGTCAACATTTTTTTTACGTTCTGAGGGGGAGGGAGGGAGGGGTTGGGTCCAAACTAAAATAATTCGTTTGGTGAAAACGTTCGATATTCACGGACGGCCCCTTATGTGGCAGTGCATTTTATGTGGCACTACCGTTTGTCATACCTAATAATAATGACAATATCCATCAAATGACTGAGAGGAGGGCATGTGATGGCATCTCTGTTACCAAAAGAAATTAACGAACATATGTACGTTCGTTCGATAAGCCAAAGAATATTCCGTTACTAGGTTTTGACATTCGTTTCACCACTAATCAATATTCTATCCAACAAAAAATTTAGTGACGACTTTCCACTGATGAGTGTCGCGTGAAAACGTTTTGAAAACTAGCATATTATTTATCTTTTACATTGTTATGACTGCACGATTTGTTTTATTCATTGCCATTTTGCGCTTAGGGGCCATCCGTAAATACCGATATTTATTTAGAAACGAAAACTAGTCATTTCTCTTCAACCCACCTCACAAACGAAGTAATACAAACGGTACATAGTATCGATCTTTTTTTCTTTTTTTCTGGACATGCCCACACATACACACTGTGCATCGATATTTTTCGAGAAACGAACAGGTGCTCAACCCCCCCCCCCCCCCCCTAAACGACTAGTTTTCGTTTCTAGGAAGCTCAGGGCCCTACGCTATGATTTTTGTCTGGCTCATCATGCATGTTATTTGAACTGGTGGTATTGTTTTTCCATTGATTGGCTATAGTGTTTTATGTCGACCATGACGGCTACAATGCCCAACCACACCACAACGAACTGATCGGCTACATCATTGTATTGCAAAACATTTCCATCTGTTCGAATAACATGCATGATGAGCTAGGCAAAAAAGCGTAGCGTAGGGCCCTGAGCAAAAGAAATAAACTTTCTCTTTGCATTCGAGCGTAATACGACACCGTCTACCAATTTGATGACCTAGGCAAAAAAAAGCATAGGGATGTTATAAATTTTTCATTTCTCCTATTTTTTCAAGACATAACCTAGGATTCTAACCCGCACTATCGCCCTGCATGCATTCCCCATACACTTCGCATACATACTCATTCTTCCAAGTTGCTTCACGTTATAATCTTGCATTTGAAAGCCCTATTTGAATATTGTGGCCAGCTGTCCTTGATGGTACGGCACGGGACAGGTACGGGATAGCGCCAGGCATGCCGACAGCACAAACAAACACGGAATTAAAGCTGTGTGGACCCTGGCTAGCGCCAGACGTTACTGAAGTAACGTCTTTTGCATAGCTACGGGAATAAATATCAATAGTTACGGATGGCCCTTTACTGTCTCCTCAACGATTGTTTATTTATTTAGAAACGAAAACTATGCAGTCATTTTTCGTTTTTCCCTGAGAAACGAACACATACAAACCGTACATCAACATCGGTATTTTCTCTTATTTTCTGGACATGCCCACACATACTAATAGTGCATCGATATTTTTTCGAGAAACAAACAGGCGCTCAACCCCTCCCCCCTAAATGACTAGTTTTCGTTTCTAAATAAATATCTATAATTATGGATGGCCCCTAAAGACACATATATACGTCATCAAGACTGCATAAACAAGAGTATGCTGCCGGTGAGTTGTGTATTTTGTAAAAAATAAAAAATGCAGCTGTGGTTATGGGCCCGTTCACGGCGCGCTGCCTTCAAATACGCTTTTTTCCGTGTGCGGAAGTGCTTATTTTTCCCTGCCAATTTATGTAATCCACACATTTTTATCACTGGGTTCCTTTCGTATCCTGAACATGGGCAATACATTCCGAATAAACTTCTTCAAAAAATGATATGATACACGGTAGCTGAGTTATCCTGAGATACGCGCAGTGCCCGGTCCCAAGGTGCCCGGATAAGCGACGTCCGAGTGTACTATACTTTGGCTGGTACCTGGCAAGATCTAACCAGGGAAGTCCCCTTTTTTCTTTTTTCTTTTTTTGTTCGTGACACAAGCCTCTTTTACGGGCAAACAGAATACGGTGGCATGGTGAATGATTAGAACACAACAGAATACGGTGGCATGGTGAATGATTAGAACACAACAGAATACGGTGGCATGGTGAATGATTAGAGCACACCACCAAAAATGAAAACAATTGTATGTGTAAACAGTTTATTTTATAACAGTGTACCCAAGCCTTTTGTACGGGCAACAATACACACAAGCGCAACCTCAACATGCAGGAAATGAGCTAAAAATGGAGTGAAGTGAACACAAGCGCAACCTCAACAGCTAAACGCATGGTGCATGGCTAGCTAGCGTTCAAGTGCAGCCTCCACGGCAACCAGTGACGCCGGTGAGGAAACATCGCGAGACACTCTGAGGGAACGCGAACCGCGAAGACATATTACGCTTGATCTAAGCAGAGCGAAGCTAAGGCGGTAGCGAACCCAGGCCATTACAACGCTGTACGACTCCTGGGTCTTATCTGACGACAGGGAAGCTATCCTTTTGTATAGAGGTGTGCAGTGACGACCCATTCCACCAGTGGTTGTGAAAACAGCCGGGACGAACGACGCCTGCTCAATATTAAGGATTATCTGCTCATACTGGCAGCGCCTTTCCTTCTGCTCCGCCTAGTAAAGCGGTACGATTTGAAGACGCGAAGGGGTTAAAAACACGTACATCAATGAAGGTGCGTTCGAATCGACCACCCCAAATGCCACTCACAGCTACATCCAGGCGGGCTTGGTCAGCCGTGATAGCGAATCTATGGCGGAACTGTTCACCAGTAACCGGCTGCAGATGGGGCTCAACAGAGACGTTGTGCGCCGCACGCCGCAAGAGGGAGGCAGTGACGTCCCGCACCTCATTATGCCGAATGGATGGCATGGCATACGGAGAAGGAGGAGCCACAGGTGCAGATAGATGGCAAGCGCGGAATCAGCCAGTTGTAGCGTAGGTGGATGTCATCACGAAACTCACCCTTCAACAAGACTAGGCCGTGACGTCGGATGTGCCTGCAGGTTAGCCAGCTTAAGGCTCCTTTCTCACCAGCGAGAGCTAGAACCCGTTGGAAGTCAGTGTCCAGCGAGGCCGAGAGAGTGGCGAAAGCTGCATGAGTCGAATTGGCAAAGTTTCCTTTTGAAGACGTCATTGAATTGGCCTGACCATGTGGACTACACGTGCCAAGATTGGAGGAAATCCACGGAGGCGTTCGCGCAAAAAATAATTGAAAGATGACTTGGGCCGCCATGTACCATGCTTGGCGCTTTAGACTGAGTATTTTATTCATAATATTATTCATGGTGGTAAACACGCACCTGGCAATATGGCGGTAAATACACGCCGGGTAGTAATTAGACAACAGGAAGAAAGGAGATAAATGGCTGTGAATACAGTCTAATGTCGAGCCAGACGCGCCTCAGCCTGGACGAGGTCGACAGGCGCGAGGTCAAAGTGACGACGGCGAACAGAGCATGATCCGCGGACGCAACGGATGGCAGACCTGGCTAGAGAGAATGCCAAGCAGCACCGCAGCCGAGCTACAACCCGGCTATACGCAGCGTTGCGCTTGGTGGCCAAGCCGTGCGCCAGCCTCTTGATTACCACTGCTGCTTCTGAGCCCATGTCACCACAGGAAGAGAACACTAACGGTGTGAAGGAGCCATGCTCGACTTCATTGACACATTTTCCATAAGCACGCTTCTTCTCACCTTCAAACCTTTGGTAGAGGGAGGGGAGGGACTTGGCACGATAGCTTGACACGTGGGGATAAAACACCCTTGTATCAAAGAATGCGTTGCGGCTATCGGTCCAGAATCCCTTCACCCGCAGGTCGGTACGGGCATCAGGATCAGTGTTGGCTGACTGATGGTGAAAGGTTCGCCAGTTAGGGTCTGCAATGATGGCTCCACCTCCACATCATGATGGAGCTCCTTCATGCACAACGTGTTGTGAACCCTCTGGTTCTTTAAAGTGTCAGGGACGAACGACCACACGGCACGAGAACAACTATTTATTCTCAACAGTATATTGACTTCGATCGACTAATTAACAATGAATGAACAAACACTAAAACCACCAGGTAGTTATAGCGTGAGAATGACAGCGTATATGAGAAAAGCATACACATACAACATACGACTACAGCGCACACAGCAAACCGCACATAGCGCCTGTAGCATATACCACGTCGTAAACATCAGCGGTACGGCGGAGTCGGGATACAACTGCATTGGAACGAACACAATGTCACAAGCGAGAAGGCCTTTCACTCTCGAGAACTTGTGGTTTCGCAACATTCTCCCCACCAAAGAGCTTCTCACGGCCGTACAACAACTCACAAGTCAAAAACGACCGGGGCTCTGACTACACGCCCAGAACGAGTCATCCGCTGCTGTGGCAGTGGCCAAGGTGGAATATCCCTACTGCTCACCACTTCGGCCAACTCGATTTCGCGAAGCTTGCCGCTGTTAGCTGTCACACACGACACAGTCACCGGTACACTGCTTCGACCCGGGGCGGGCGCGGAACCCGAGAACACACGTCCGATCTCTGTGTTCCACACAGTCTCGCCGTTGACCTCTTCCGTGTTAACCAGTATCGCCCTTCTCATTTCCTTAGCTTCTACGCCTTGCGCCTCTACGTCTTGCTCCTCTACGTCCTTCGTCCGAGACTCCAGCTGCTTCTGAGCGTCTCCGACCAATGTCGCCATGCACTGCACCGACGCAGTGGGCCTTGGATCTGATCCTCCCACTGGCTTCAAATACTCCTCTGACCGCTGCTTGTCTGCAAGCAAAGTCTTCCACGCCTTGTCCGGCGTCCTTCTGAGCGAGGCAAGCAAATCTCGCTTTGCTTCCTCATATGTACTGCTGGCGATGCGCTCGTTCATCTTCTTGAGCTTCTCTGTGCGGAGCGCACCCTCTTGCCGTCTAGCACTGCGCTCTTCAAACTCCAAGGACTGTCGGAGCCTCTTCTTCACATGTTCCCTCAACTCATCGCCTTCCAATCCTAACAGAATTCCATTGGCGATAAAGCGGGCTTCAATGATCCATAGTTCCTGTGCCATGCTCGCTTCGTATCTTGGCGTGGTCGCCAAATGTTGTGAACCCTCTGGTTCTCTAAAGTGTCAGGAACGAACGACCACACGGCACGAGGACAACTATTTATTCTCAACAGTATATTGATTTCGATCGACTAATTAACAATGAATAACTAACACTTAAACCACCAGGTAGTTATAGCGTGAAAATGACAGCGTATATGAGAAAAGCATACACATACAACTACAACGCGCACAGCAAACCGCACATAGCGCCTGTAGCGTATACCACGTCGTAAACATCAGCGGTACGGCGGAGTCGGGATACAACTGCATTGGAACGAACACAATGTCACACGCGAGAAGGCCTTTCACTCTCGAGAACTTGTGGTTTCGCAACACGGCGCGAGGAAGTAGGTGGGATCATTGTGCCGCATGTGGATGAACCCCGGCAGCTTGCAAATTTGGGCATGGTCGGCTGAAAACCTTGAGCCACAGGGACAGGATGCTGGCAGGTTGTCCTGGGGCCAACAGCACCGGAGCCGGATACGGTCGTGAAAGTCAGCTTTCACATCAAAGCTGAAACCGTGCTCAGCCATAGGGACGGTGGTGAGGTTACTGGACCCGCCCTTCTCGCGTGCCAAGGACATTGCTCACTGTTGTGGCTGTGGCAAGCAGTCTTGGATGGCGGTAGCTGTTGCGTCCAGTACTGCGCGGTGGCGAATCCGCACTGCCGACTTGGTTGCCTGGTCCAGCCGAATGCTCTCCAGCAACTCCGATGGCGCGTTTGAAGTTTTGAATGACAGTGACAATACAGTGACAATACAGTGACAATTCTACTTGTTCGGTGACGGCCATCTTAGATGCATACCTCCGATTGCCACATTCAACCATCAGGTGATGAGGGTCTATCGAGGACCGTTCGAGGGCAAGTTGGAACGTGCATCTGCGAGACAAAATGACCAATGCCAACTTGTAGATTTTAATTTTTACTCCTGGCCGGCCTGCGCTGAGCCTGACCCGCGACCTGATTTCTGCGATCGCCATTTTTTCTTGTCGGCCGTGCGCCTCATAGATTTTTTGTATGCTGTAAGACATGCGCGAACACGCTGCGCAGTGCGTTCGCTGATATCCCTACTCTTGGGAGCTTACATACTCTTCCCTACTCTTGGGAGCTTACGTACTCTTGACGTCATTGAAAATGACGCCCAGGCGCTGAGGACGTATAATATTATATGTGTCTTTTCGATACCAAATAAAGAGTGCAGAGCCTGGGTGCCATGACCTGTAGCCCATTGGCGGATGGAATTCGGAAACCACTGTCTGCACTAGACAGTGAGTGAGTGAGTGCACATGTACGGGTGCCGTCTATGCATAGTGCATCCTGATCAATAATTGACATTCAGTAACATCAGGCGCCGAAGAACAAGCCAGACTACCGACGAACATCCTGGCTTGAAAGACACCAAATTTAAGAGCATGCCCGGCGTGCCAGGCCGGAAGCAAATATCTAGGAACACCGGGTTTTTGGCATTTGTACGGTGTCAGTGTACAAGGCACAGAATGAGAACGAAGATGCTGGAATCTTGAAAATGCCAGAGGCCCAGAGCCCATCATTGGACTGAAGCGGAGACCCCACATACTAGTATCTCAGTGCCCAATGTTGCCGCAAGATCTTTTCCGTCCGTATTTCCCGGTTTACAGTATACTCGCAGGATGTGGTCTGCCCCCCCCCCCCCCCCCCTTTACTTGCTCCATTCGAGTTGTGAAACCTGTCAGGAATCCCACTATCTCAGTAGTGGCCGTGAAGCTGCGCTGAAAATAGCTAGCAGCTACATGTTTCAAATTTTAAATATTAATAATAATGTACTTTTCTCGGCTTCAGCATGCATTTTTGCATCGCCCTGGAGTGTACATGCACTCCAGAAAACTAACTTCATTCCTTGCCACTTGTTTGTTTCTCCTTCTATGCGCGTACCCTGTGCAGAGGTTGCCAGCATCCGCTCGAGTAGTCCGCGTTATGCCTAACACCCCGTCATTAATACGAGAAGGCTGTTCGGTGTACAGCGTGGGTGAGCATGTAGTGGAGGGCGACGGTGAGGCGGTCGACAAGCTCATGAGCAGCGTCGGTTCCTGTGCCAAGGTCACTGAGGCACTAGTGGAGCCCTTCCTGGGTATCAGCAGTAGTGGAGTTGCCTTCGTAAGTTCTCATTTTCCGTCTGTGTGCTTGCGTGTGTGTGTGTGCACGCGCGCACGCCGGTGTGTGTCTGTGTGTGTTTTTGTGTATCTGTGTGTGCCGGTGTGTCTGTGTTTGTGTGTGTGTGCGTGTGTGTGTGTGTGCGTGCCGGTGTGTTTGTGTGTGTCAGTGTGTGTGTGTGTATGTGTGTGCGTGTGTATGCGTATGTGTGTGCGTGTGTGCCGGTGTCTGGCATAAGTGTGCCCACCAACCTCTTGCTCCATATCTACTTGGAATTCTTCGAATCCATGTTGGCCCAAAGCAAGATTTAGTTTCTGGAAGTAACGAGGCCGTTGTGCTGTACAGTCAGACCTCGCTTAACCGCACACATCTGTTTTCCACAAAAATATCCGGATAGGCGAGGGAACCGGATAACTGAACACACATACTGTACATGCATGTGGCATGTCAAAAGCAGTGACATCATACATACATGTAGACAGGTCCTATGCAGTACAACCAGCGTGCCCAGTATGTAAAGCAAGCGAGAAAAATGAAAAGTGCATGCAACTGAGTGCTGTCCGCACACACCCAGCAGGTCAAGGACCTCATTTGCTTGTACAACTCCTTGATACTAGCTTCTGCAAGCTCTAGCCAGCCACATGCAACCGGATACGACGAAGCATTTTGTACACATTTTAACCAGTTTGTACACAAAATCATGCACCGGTATGCGGATCGCGAGGTCCGGTTATGTTGTATGCATAACATATGCTGCACATCGGTAACCAGCGATTTTCTTCCGGATGGCGAGGGATCCGGATAAACGAGGTCTGACTGTACTGTGTTTACACTTTGATGCCTACTTTCAGCTGTTCCTGGCCATGGAAGCAATGGCAGACGGTGGAGTCAAGATGGGTATACCTCGAGCAATGGCCTACGAATTTGCAGCGCAGACCATGATTGTAAGGCATATGTTTTCTGTTGTAACATGAGCACGGGTGTCTGCACACGTGTGTGTCTGTGCATGTGTGTGTGTGTGTGTGTGTGTGTGTGTGTATGTGTGTGTGTGTGTGTATGTGTGTGTGTATGTGTGTGTGTGTGTGTGTGTGTGTGTGTGTGTGTGTGTGTGTGTGTGTGCGCAATGCTGCACAAGCATACGTTCAGGTGACTAGGTTCCAGTTTTGTTGGCAGTGTCCACTAACACCACCAGTTACTAAACAATCACCTCATGCGATAACATTGCACGACACTGACCGACAGTCCTGACGTTCTACAACTAACTGGCTATCAGCTCTAGCACATCTTGGATGCGCACTCCAACAGCCTTCCAACTTGGACGGTTCTAAGTTATAATATTATGGTAACATAGGAGGGGAAACCACGGCGATATGTGGAATGTTGCTTTGCATCCTTGAATCATGGTTTGACCGTATTGTCCAATGGTCTTGCCAGTATCGTCATCAACATACATGTACATCAGCAATGTCCTTCACAGCTGAGACGTTCAGCTCCTGCTTGTCTTGGTTGCGCTCACCTTCCCCCTCCTATGCTATCATATAACTTAGAACCTTCCAATAATATTCTGAAATTCGAAATGCAGAACCTCTTTCTCTCCCTCTCTCTCTCTCCCTCTCTTTCTCTCTCTGTCTCTCTCTTTTTTTTTCTTTTTTCTCTTTCTCTCTCTCTCTCTCTCTCTTTTTCTTTTTTTCTCTCTCTCTCTCTCTCTCTCTCTCTTTCTCTCTATCTCTCTCTCTTTTTCTCTCTCTCTCTCTCTCTCTCTCTCTTTCTCTCTATCTTTCTCTCTCTCTCTCTCTCTCTCTCTCTCTCTCTCTCTCTCTCTCTCTCTCTCTCTCTCTCTCTCTCTCTTACGCTTACTCTGCAGGGAGCTGCCAGAATGGTGAAGGACCTGGAGCAGCATCCAGCTCAGGTAAGCTTGACCCACCCGACGTTCTTCTAAGTAGCTCAGGCAATGCATGGCGTGGGCTGCTATGTGTGACCCTAGTCCACAGCATGGACAGCTCTACGTGCACAGTCTAGGCTAGGCTAGGCTAAGCTAGAGCATAGAGCAGAACTGTGCATGAGAACTGTTACTAGTACTACGGGGCCATCCGTAACTCTCGCCATTCATCACGTCCGTGTGCACGACTTCGACTTTGTGCGACCCCATCCTGCCACCTGCACCGACACATAGTGACATCAGTTTGATGCCCTTGTGTGATAAATGACGGCTTTGCTCTGTGAGCGTACAAATTCCCCCCCCCCCCCCCCACCGTACGTTTTGCATGGTCATGATACATGGCGACAATTGCCTAGAAAAGCAATGGAGATCATCAGGAGGCAACAACACCGTTAGGGATACTTGCTACCTGTGTCAGTTCTCTGTTCAGCTTGCTACCTGTGTCAGTTCTCTGTTCAGCTTGCTACCTGTGTCAGTTCTCTGTTCAGCTTGCTACCTGTGTCAGTTCTCTGTTCAGCTTGCTACCTGTGTCAGTTCTCTGTTCAGCTTGCTACCTGTGTCAGTTCTCTGTTCAGCTTGCTACCTGTGTCAGTTCTCTGTTCAGCTTGCTACCTGTGTCAGTTCTCTGTTCAGCTTGCTACCTGTGTCAGTTCTCTGTTCAGCTTGCTACCTGTGTCAGTTCTCTGTTCAGCTTGCTACCTGTGTCAGTTCTCTGTTCAGCTTGCTACCTGTGTCAGTTCTCTGTTCAGCTTGCTACCTGTGTCAGTTCTCTGTTCAGCTTGCTACCTGTGTCAGTTCTCTGTTCAGCTTGCACACCTATGCCGCCATGATACTGTGTATATACTAGCTACTGAATGACTGGAGTAAATGTGTTATGGGACAGCGCAAGCATTCCGGACTCACAGGTCCGGCGATGAGTCCTGCGTGAGAATCGTCACTGCATGGCCGGCGAATGCACTAGTCACCAGTTCTGCCGCCGTGCCACCACCGAACCGCCTGCCATCGCATGCGCATGCTGCTCTGTTACATATGTGCCGTAGCTCAGCATTCGGGTGCAGTTTCTGTTAGTGTTGAAACGAGCGTATCTATAACAAACGAGCGATCAGTTCCACTAACGAGCAAGCTATCGAGCGAGCTAATGAGTTTCATTGATGTGGCAAATATGATTATTTTTTTGAATATTTTTTTCTGAGTTCGATTTTTTTCAGCTGGTTCAAATTACATGAATTATCACCGCCGGCATTTGGGGTTGCTGCTGCTTCACTTCGGACTGCTGTTTGGTGTCGAGATGTCTTTTCAGCGCCATCGTCGATTAGCCTTTGTAAGAATAGACCGGTTTGCAAAGATTGCAAGTAGCCCTGGTCTTCGCTGCATCGCGGGAGAAAACTTCCAAACGACTGAGCGTAACTTTCACTCGAATGGAGAGGTGACCGAAGCATATCCTGCGACAGGTCAGCAGATGCGGAACAAGACATCAGTAGAGTCCACCAAAGCTGCAACGACAACTGAAACAACTCAAGTGTCGTGCAGGCATACAGTCACCTGTAACTGCGAGTGATTTTCACTTTGCGCGGGACTGGACTCTCGATCGACCAGGGAGTCGTAAAATATTTTACGACTCCCCGGTCGACATGTACTGCCATGTGTACGGAGTACGGTGTACGGTGTTCGTTAGTGCAAACGAGCTGGCCGCACAAACGAGCCGAGTTTCTGGCGAGCGAGCTAATGAGTATCCGGTGAGATCGTTTCAACACTAGTTTCTGTACTATGTGAGTGGCCTGCGGTGTATTTGTGTACATTGCTCATTTACTGTGTTCTGTTCTGCTCTGTTCTATATGTGGTGCCCTTTTCACCTCACCCAGTGCAAGGATGATGTATGCTCCCCAGGCGGTTGCACTATGGCCGGGGTACATGTGCTGGAAAAGGCCGGTTTCCGCGGATCCCTCATGGATGCTGTCGAGGCAGCGACAAAACGAGCGCAGGAGCTCGGAAAGGATCAGTAATATATTATCACAGCAGAATGCTTTTATTAAGATTTCAGAGGTGCTGGTATTTCTCTAACCTATTCCCGGATTCTCCCACTGTACAAAGTTTCCCCGGTATTTATCCTCCGACAACCTACACTCATCGCCCCGTTATCTTGAGAGCTTTGAGTGCTTATGCATATTCTGTTTCAAACCATTATACTAGTAGTAGTACATAGCCTAGGAAATAGTTGTTTTGTTGTTTGAAATCATCATTGTAGCTTATGCCCCCTCTGTGATGTTGATTATGTGAGTGCTAGAACCACATGTTCAGCCTTGCACAGCCCGGGCAGGTCAAACGCCGCGCACTCACGCTCGCCCCTCTAGTATAGTGGTGATCACGCTGTGCCGTGGATACGGTGCACATAGCCGCCTGCAAATACGCAATCACACACGCACATGTCGCATGATGTGCACTCACACACATACACACACACACACACACACACACACACACACACACACACACACACACACACACACACGCACACACACACTGATAGAACTGCAGTTGATTTATTCCTCTTGATCTTTTATTATTGTTAAAGGCACTTGTTGGCGACCCTACCAACAGCACTAGCTATTACATATGCATACTAATAATTATGTCATAATGACACTGTACTGAAGTACTTTTGCCAAACGGTCTTCTGAGTTTCTTACGCGGGCTCACCGTAAGCGTAACTCGGGTGCAGCTGTTCCACAAGCGGGTTTCCCACCAGTAAGTTACTATTAGGGCATTTTCTTATTCTTGGAGTGGCCCGCGGTGAGAGCGAGGGTGTTCACACTTTTAAAAAATTCACACCCTTGCTCTCACCGCGAGCCACTCCGCCAATGCTGCTTATAAACCTCTCTCTGATCATCGTATATGACCTACATTTGTCTGTAGTCGTTGTGGCAGAGTTTCGGGTTGTGCTTGTACGTTTGGCTGATCGTATGAACTACACATGAATGTTGCATAAATAGGAACCCAGTCAGATTAGATTGCTGGAAAATAAGAAGATTGGAAACAACGTTCTTGGGCGCACAACTCTACGGTACCATTGGGGTCCATAACTTGCTTGCACACACCTAGTACCTGTGCGTGTCGTAACGTCATAATTGATACTCAGACTGTCAGAGAGACAGACTCTGACAGACAGACAGACAGACAGGCAGACCGACAGACAGAGACTTCCACTTCCACATGCCATGAGCGACATAGCCGGAACAAGCTACATTTTTCATTGCTATCGGGTTCGGTCTCAGAGTCATTTCCTCTGTGCTGCGCTGATGAGTCCACAAAGGACGCGTGAAACAGTTCTGTCCGCAGATTGAGGATGTTAGCCATGTATATGTAGCAACTAACTAAATAAAAATGCTACTTGCGCAGGGAATCAAGTACTACTTCACTACTAGTACTAGTGCACCATTCAACAGCTTGCAAGGCTGATGACCCCCTGGCCTCAATCAGCTGAGACAGAAAGGAGAGAAGAGAGCTAGCTGGTGGGAGATAGTGGCGACGCTGGCAGGTTTGATACGGTAAAAGTGCGTGTTGAGGAGGTCGAGGAGGACACTAGCAGTAAGGATGATGGTGGTTACGAGATGGACAGGTGCCTCGGGCGGTAGGAGAAGCCGTTTGAATGCCGCATTACCACACCTCCGCTCGTCGATATCACCAATCAGATCACGGGGCTTCTACAATCGACTTGGAGGGTTCATGGATATCAGTGATACTGGTAATTCCAAACAGGGAAGAACAGCCTGTAACGGTAAGCGCCATCGAGCTGAACACAAGCTGCATTTGAACTCTAACGCATAAATTATGCCTGCCCCACTGTTTTCCTCATTTTCAATCTGAATATCTCCTTGGCCCACAAACTGAGTTCCGGGTAGCCACTGGAGAAGCGGTCATGTCTTAGTAGCTTATGCAGTAATGGGGATGTTGCAGCAGCTTCAGCAGCAGATTGACTATGTCACAGTGCGTGTATGTGCATACCTTCCTGGAGGCCAGTGGAGGGTTGACTATGTACAGGGCCATTCTCCCTTTAGTAGTACTGTAGTAGTAGTAGTAGAAGTATTCATGATTTTATTATTTTGTTAGGCCACACGTTTTTATTTCTATGTTTCTCGTCACCTGAAAATCTAAAAACGTATGCGAGAGGTGGAAAAAAATAAAAAATGACCCAAAAATAAAAAAAAGTTTATTAGACCTTTGTTCACACTAAAATCCACCAATACACCGTACACCATCATGCAAAATAGCATCCATAGTTAGCAACTAGTAGTAGTATGTGGTAGGAGCTTCTGTCACAATCTGTGCATGTGCAGCTAGATTGCGCACAATTACAAACATGCCGTCCTTGCATCATGTGTTGCGCAGGCCAGGCCACGTTATGTACATGTGCATGAGTGTGCTAGTCCCCACATGCACAGTCAGTGCAGCACAGTTTTTTTCTTCTTTTTTTCTTCCAGACTCCTGAATCGTATGCGCGCGGGTGACGAGAAACATAGAAATAAAAACGTGTGGCCTTAGGGAAATCCCTACAGACGTTGCCCTTTGTGTCTGAACTATGAGCATTGTGGGCTGGCTACTAGTATTCAGTGTAGGCTTTGCCGAAGCACTATTATTAGCCAGCATTCAATATGAGGTAGTGTTTGGAGCCGCATTATGGTTAGCATTATACAGACATTTTTGGAGCCACCCCCTAGGCCCTGGACCCTGCCGGTGCAAATGCCGGTAGAGGGTATTTTCAAACTTTACGTCAAGTTGCTGGCAGCGAACATTGAGCCATCCGAACAGCCTAGTCCATCATCGGACCATTGCTTTGTCTTGTAACTTGACGAGGGCCCTGCATGTGGGACAGCTGAAGCCCAGCCTGGTGAAGGTTTGTCTTGTTGTAGTAACCAATGTCGTTCTAACGAGGGACAAGGGTAGACGTGTACAATGATTGTAAGTAAATAACTTACTCAATCTGCGGACAGATCTACCACCACATGTGCAGCACACATGCAGATATCTGTAATACTGTACAAGCAGAAATATTCGTCTGGAATTTAATTTCGTCTTTTTCGTCCAAGGAGCTTTTGGACTAAATTAAATGCTGGACGAATGTCACAACCTCGTCACGGTTGTTTTCGACTCTTGATTCCTCCTTGTCTTTTACTTCTTCTTTTTTTCACTGTTTTGGATATTTGCCGTGGTTGGCTATCACCCTTCATTTCACATTCATTTGTCATTGGCAGTCGTTTGACGAGCCAGGAAATGTTGAATAAATGCAAATACAAATGTCGATTTGTCCAGCTTTTCAATACACTCCTACGATCCATGGACGAAATTTAAAACCGGACTAACTCCCTTTATTTGGAGTTGGACGAAATTATCATCTGACGAATTTTCTGCCTGTACACTGTGACGTACATTGAAGTCATTTCAGGGCTACATTATTTATTATTATCAAATTTTTGATAGGGCAATCCCCACAGGCCTCTAAGGCCTTCTTACAGGGTACCCTAGAAATGAAAGTACTGAATTACGGAATAGGTGCAGTGAAGAGCATAAGCGGACTGCAGCGGGGAGTGCATTCCAACGGTCGGAACCGATGAAAGAAACTGAAAAGAGACCGAAACGAGTTTTAGCTTTTGGTAGAGTGACGGACGAAGATACCTGAGAGCGACATGTGGCATACGTGCATACAAATATACATGTACATGTACATGTAGCCTCCCTAGTGTACATGTACCAGACCATTTATAAAAATACAAAAGAATTTGAAAGGCGCTTGGACTGAGTTTCACTTGCTTTAAATATCAGTACACTATAGTACACTATAGTTACTGCATGCACAGTACTGTGCGTGTAATAACTACCGGTATTTTTTTGCTTTGCCCGTACAAGAATCTGATTTATGAGAGTAAAAAAGATGTACATGTACATGTACATGATTCAGGTCTTTCTTCTGTTTGTGTTTAGCGCCGCAAGTTGACATTTGGATCAGGGAGTAGTACAATACAGTGCCACTCCCAGATTTGGATGAGGTCAGGCATGGTTAGGGGTGTGCGGATAATGCTCGAAAAGGTTGCAGATTCTGCTTGAAAAGCCTGCAGTGAAATTGGCAGAACCATACAAACCTCATGGCGGGCAACTCCTCGAATTCTGCTCCATTTCTTTATCCACATACCAAACACGCATGAAACTTACCAGAAAAAGTACCGACTTCTGCCGGCATTATCCGCATATGCCTAGGCATGGTACTTGTACATGTAAATGAACGGGTACGGGTACGGGTAGATCTAAACCGGGTCGACGGTCCGGGTCGTGTCGCGCCGGTACACTGCTTTGCATTATTATTATTAAACTTTTGAACGCTAAGAAACTGGGAAATCCCCATATATCGCATCCATCTCGCAGCTCACGCAACTAGCAGCTAACTGCCGCAACTGGGCCATCGCCATGCGACGAGCGATTTGGCGTACGATCTTGAGTCCTTGACCTTTTTTGCAGCAAAGTCGTACGAAGGTTCAAGAGTTGTCTGTAAATGTGCACAAGTAGTTGTAACATGGTGACGTACCCACCTGCAGAACTACTTCGCGCCAAACCAGCAAGGCGTGGTCGCATCGCTGAATTCTGTGAATGTTCGCATCACACGCCGCTGTCGCAGATTGCGTCGCATCTCCCATCACTTTTTTCTTCCGTAACGTTTCGTGTTCTTACCATTATTATTTTGCCATGGCGACCCAGGCGTTAGTCCACGTACGTACTGCAAAGAGATAAAACTTTTGTGGCGCGCAAATTTTGCGTTTTCAAGAATTCGGCTGGTTCACGATGAGAAACTTCGCGATTTCATCTACCGGGTGCAGTACTTAGTTGGATCTTGTACTGTCTAGTAGTAGTAGTAGTAGTAGTAGTAGTAGTAGTAGTAGTAGTAGTAGTAGTAGTAGTAGTAGTAGTAGTAGTAGTAGTAGTAGTAGTAGTAGTAGTAGTAGTAGTAGTAGTAGTAGTAGTAGTAGTAGTAGTAGTAGTAGTAGTAGTAGTAGTAGTAGTAGTAGTAGTAGTAGTAGTAGTAGTAGTAGTAGTAGTAGTAGTAGTAGTAGTAGTAGTAGTAGTAGTAGTAGTAGTAGTAGTAGTAGTAGTAGTAGTAGTAGTAGTAGTAGTAGTAGTAGTAGTAGTAGTAGTAGTAGTAGTAGTAGTAGTAGTAGTAGTAGTAGTAGTAGTAGTAGTAGTAGTAGTAGTAGTAGTAGTAGTAGTAGTAGTAGTAGTAGTAGTAGTAGTAGTAGTAGTAGTAGTAGTAGTAGTAGTAGTAGTAGTAGTAGTAGTAGTAGTAGTAGTAGTAGTAGTAGTAGTAGTAGTAGTAGTAGTAGTAGTAGTAGTAGTAGTAGTAGTAGTAGTAGTAGTAGTAGTAGTAGTAGTAGTAGTAGTAGTAGTAGTAGTAGTAGTAGTAGTAGTAGTAGTAGTAGTAGTAGTAGTAGTAGTAGTAGTAGTAGTAGTAGTAGTAGTAGTAGTAGTAGTAGTAGTAGTAGTAGTAGTAGTAGTAGTAGTAGTAGTAGTAGTAGTAGTAGTAGTAGTAGTAGTAGTAGTAGTAGTAGTAGTAGTAGTAGTAGTAGTAGTAGTAGTAGTAGTAGTAGTAGTAGTAGTAGTAGTAGTAGTAGT